TCGTTATCCCTATGGCTATGGCACTTGCTTTCTTCTATCTTTTCGAAATCAATAGAGAGGGGAAGTCAATAGTTACAGAATCCCAGCCCTGATCCTCGTAAGTTAGCATTTCATTCAACGAACAAATCGCGCTCAAGTGAGTAAGGGACGCTATACACTAAACTAAATAAACTTTGTTTTCTTAAACAAAATGCGGTAACTTACGAGGACTAGACGCACTAAGCGGGTTAGTTTGGGTGAGTCTGCATTTTCTTGATTATTATCAGACGGGTAAAACCACAATAATAAACACGCGCTAAAAGCGATGCGTTGCTTTTGAAGTTAGGCATTTTGTCAAATGACGAACGTGCAACTGGGCAAATGGTAAATGCGTTAGGCAAATAACAAAACGATACTCGACGTTTAAAATTCATGTGGTTTATTGCCTTATATCGAGGCTACATTTCCAGAAGCATTATTATTCGACTGTCAGTCATCAGATAAGGACATGTCTTTTGGGTTTTATGCTGTTCAATCACAATTTTATTTAAAAAAAAAAAAAAACATATCTACAACTTTTAAATTAATTATTCTACTTTATTGATTTAACTATTGTCATAAAATGTCGAATCCTTATATCCGATAAGGATTAAATCTAGATGATTTACAAACGTTGCTTCTGGTTTTTAAAGCCGATGACTCCTTCTTGGCAGCTCTAGAAAATTTAAACATTATTGGTTCCTTTTTTATAGTCGTCTTCTTTTGGGAGTTTCTGGCAAATAACCCAGATTGTTTGGATGATCGATCTACTCTTGTGCCTATTCCAGGTCTCCTCAGCCGAGCTACAATCTCTTCTCTTTCTTCTTTTATTGCAGTTCTTACTTTTTGCCTCAATATTGGATCTCCCCTGGCCATGGAACTGAAGGAAGACGAACTTCTCACAGCAGATAGTAATGATTTGGAATCCAGCAGCCTTAAAATAATGCACCATACTTCTATGGGCATTTCTGGAAGCATACTAGTAGTAATAAACGGAAGCAAAGAATACATGTTGATAGCGCGATGGATAAAATAAGAATGACCTTGGAGGAGATTGCACCTCTATTTATACCTGCTGAAACTCATAAATTATGGCCAATTCTTGGAAATATAATTTTTCTGAGAAATCGAGGATAAATAGGGAACTTTCCTGAAAAATTAAATTGATTATTGTTTATTGCAAACTGTAGGAAATCGAAAAAAAATCTATACGTATTTTTTTATTTTGTCCAAATATGATTATTCCGAAAGTTATACAAATAGTAAGTTTTGTATATATAGATATACTGACCATGGTATGACGTCATAGAGTATGAGAAATAAGCACATTTCAAAGCGTTGTATCTTCGTAAATTTTGGTCTAGCAAGAAAAAGAAAAAGCACGGGTTGATTTTTTTTCATCGATTAATGAAATCAGCAATACCTAAAAAAAATTGAGTCAAGTTCCCCATTGGAATATATATTAATTCTTAATCCAACACCTACAAAAAAAAATCAACGCAGTCCAGACGCGGTAGAAGTGAAATTTTGAATTCTAGGTAATTTGCGAGAGACTCATGAGATGTTATACACTATGAAGAGGTAAGCAAAGAGACAGGGAGAGATTGATTATTCTCTTATTTATTGCCCAAAGAGGGAGATAGAGAGAGAGAATGAGAGAGATATACCCACTCTGGAGGTAATGAAACAGAAATCGCTGGATTAGGTACTTATACAGGGTGGGGCAATGGAAACTTTTCACCCAGATTTTTTGGATTTTAGATGAAAATCCAAAAAATCGGAGTAGAAAGTTTCCATTGGCCCATACTTCAACAGATTTTTTATAATATTTTGACAGCCATTGATACAGGGAGTTAAAAAAATAGTATTAAAAATAAAATTGAGAAAACTGCCGAAAACACATTTTTACAAATGAAAACCCCCCAAATTTTGTAATTTTATCTTATTTAGCATTGAAAATAAGGGTAAGTTTGTGTAAAGTTATCTATTCCGAAAATGATTAGTTTTCGACATATTGTTAATTTAATATTTTTTTATGGCGATTGCAAGTTCTGTTGTCAATAAGGGCGTTAAAAAAAATGAACTGATTCTAAAGAAATGTATTAAGCTCCAAAAACAGAAGCCGCCATTACTGTCAAATTTTCAATTTTTTTAATTTTTTTCATATACAGATCGATGTGGTTTCCGGTTTGACACCCTATATAGATCGATTTGGTTCTGTAAAAATTCAGTAAAATTGATGGTTATTTATTCAATTGACCGCCCTATAAAATCATCTCTGTAGACTTTGGTTCGCCCAAATTGAAATATTTCACTTTTTCTACTGTCAATCGTTTGATAGTGTTTGATAGTCCTGTTGAATCGTTTTCCAAAGTTATTATTATTTCTTTTTTTTTAAATGTTCATGATGAAGATGAAAGTTGATTTTGCAACAATGTATAATGTATGCATGGTTGAATCAAAACCTCCATTACGGCTGGACTCAATAGGGAATCAACAATTTCATCGAGAAACTGCGTTCCAGGAGAGTTTTGCCATAGGATTCTGGACACTATAAAGTAGTCGGGCCATATTTTTTTTTTTGAAGGTTCGGGAGGCGTGTAGTAAAATTACACTGACAATGTTAAAGAACATTCAAAAACAGGTTATCATGAGAACTTAAAATTGTTTGCAAAATAACGGTGGCTAGTTTGGACTCCGATATCTCGATCGTCAAATACAATTTTGGAAACACAAAAATTTTATTTTGTAGACAGGAAAAAGACAAATATTTTTTGTCTTTAACTTTTTTTGATAAAGTTCATAGTTTTCGAGATATCAGGGTAAAATGTTTCGAGCAATTTTCAGTTTTTTTCCAATATGTCGAAAACAATTTATTTGGCAACGCTGGGGGTATATCAGAGGACTCGTCACTAAAAATGGCTACTCTTTTTTAATTTAACCGACCTCGTACCTCTAACTATTTCCAAGATAGCAATGGTGGGACATGGTATTTTGTACACCTTGTATATTGATAGCCAATCAAGAAAATGCAGACTTACCCAAAACTAAGCCGTCCCCTTGAGCGATCTGAGGCGTTATTCTGTAACAGATGGAGATCGTTATTCCTGACCCTATCGCTATGGCACTTGCTATCTTCTTCTATCTTCTCGAAATCAATAGAGAGGGGACGTCAATAGTTACAGAATCCCAGCCCTGATCCTCGTAAGTTAACATTTTATTCACCAAACAAAGCGCGCTCAAGGGAGTAAGGGATCTACACACTAAACTAAACTTTGTTTTCTTAAATATAATGTGGTAATTTACGAGGACTAGACGCACTAAGCGAACGGGTTAGTGCATTTTCTTGATTATTATCAGACGGGTAAAATCATAATAATAGAGAGTTTTCGTTGTATTGGCAAATTCGAACGGTTAACCATAACGAATACGAAAACAAAGTCGCTATTTGACAGATCGTAAAAATAGTTTTCATTCAATCCGCTCAACGTTAACGTTAAGTCGAATTCGACAAACATAACCTATCTTTAATGGTTTGTGTTTATATACGTTTTGTACTTTGTTTTAATTTTCTAATACCCAAATACCCAAAATTAATCAATTTTCCATGTGGGCTTTAGAAAATTGGCTACTACCTACCTATACAAAAGCCTATTTAGATGCATTTTCATATGGGTTGTTGGCCAATATTTCTTCTAATAAAATAATAAATAAATAAATCCTCATCCGTGAAACGATTTCTCGATCTTTTGAGGGAATTTGGTATCGAATCTATTTTCAAAATCAAAAACATTTAAAAATAAAAACAAACCACAACAAAAACATAGGAAATACGCATGCTTCCCGTTTTCACTATAGTTTTGTCTTCCGTCCGTAAGCTGCCGGCACTTAGATAACAATAAATGACAGCTCAAATGTCAAATAGCGGCTATTGGAATCGCTTTTAAAAGACAACGTAAACTCTCTAATAAACACGCGCTAAAGGCCATGCGTTGCTTTTGAAATTAGGCATTTTGTCAATTGACGAACGCGCAACTGGACAAATGGTAAACGCGCAAATACAAATTGCCTTATATCGAGGCTACATTTCCAAAAGCATTATTATTCGGCTGTCAGTCATCAGATAAGGAAATGTCGTATGGATCAGTGGCGGCTCGTGACAATCCAAACTGGTGAGGCCCATGGTCCATCGAGTTAACCCAAACAAACCCAAACAAAATTTTCAAGTGTTACGCCCAATATTTTTTTTTGTATATTTCTAATAAAAATTTTCATTTCTTACAGTTGCAAAACAACAGCAGTAGGTACATACATAATTATTATTTTAATACAAATATTGAGTTTCAAATTAACAAAATAAATTCCAAAAAACAGTTTTTTAACCCGCAACAGACGAAAATAAAAAGTATGAGCCAATTAAATCACGCACTGGCATTTGCTACTTGTCACAACAGCAAGAAATGCAAGTTTTCTTATTAACAAGCCCAAAATTGTGCGCCTCAATGCCTATAAAAATTCGCTATCGTCTCACCTACAGTTGAAGGGTTGTGGTGGGGAGTGCCATGGCATCGCTTCGGCGTTCTTTTACGCACATGAGGCCAAAATTTTTGGGATTGCTATTTCATTTTTATGCTGTCCGGCAACGACTTGAGCGCCTATAAGGATAAATAGGTAGAAGCGCGCGCTAAATTCAAGAAATAGTATTATACTTTAATGAAAATTCGATGTTTTGATACTTCTAATGATTGAAAATAGTTGAAAAACGTTAAATATTTAATAATTATTATTTCAAAATTTTACATCATTATTGTAATTTTTACATGTGAGGCCCGGCCTCAGTTGCTTTATACGACGAGCCGCCACTGGTATGGATGTTATGCCGTTCAATCACAATTTTATTTGAACAAAAAAAAACATGTCTACAACTTTTAAATTAATTATTCTACTTTATTGATTCTTAATTGTCATGAAACGTCGAATCCTTATATCCGATAAGGATTAAATCTAGATGATTTGCAAACGTTGCTTCTCATTTTTAAATCTGACGACTGCTTCTCGGCAGCTCTACAAAATTTGAACATTTTTGGTTCCTTTTTTATAGTCGTCTTCTTTTGGGAGTTTTTGGAAAATAACCCAGATTGTTTGGATGATCGATCTACTCTTGTGCCTATTCCAGGTCTCCTTAGCCGAGCTACAATCTCTTCTTTTTCTTCTTTGATTGCAATTCTCACTTTTTGCCTCAATATTGAATCTCCCCGAGCCATGGAACTGAAGGAGGACGAACACCTCACAACAGATAGTAATGATTTGGAATCCAGCAGCCTTAAAATAATGCACCATACTTCTATGGGCATTTCTGGAAGCATACTGGTAGTAATAAACGGAAGCAAAGAATACATGTTTATAGCGCGATGGATAAAATAGGAATGACCTTTGAGGAGATTGCACCTCTATTTATACCTGCCGAAACTCATAAATTATGGCCAATTCCCGGAAATATAATTTTTCTGAGAAATCTAGGATAAACTGGAGTATATTGATGATTTTATAATTACTAGTAGAGTCTGCATATTTAAATTCACTCTCCTGGATGCTTTTAAAGTTAAATAGCTGTCTCAAATGGCATATTCCTGAATCTAAACTCGGCATTTGACAAATGACGGTTGCATAGGGAAATAACAAAATATTTTAAATTTTTAACTGCATTGCTATTCGCCATAGCACTTAGTAAAGGACTGGGCAAATTACTATATTATGTCAAACATATTATTATATGTAGGTACGTAAGATCGGATAAAATATATATTTTATAATGTTCTCGGTTCGTCTGTTAGAGTTTTGAAATATTATGTTTTGCACAAAAATATAATAATGTGGGTGTTACATAATAGTCTATTTATCATAATAAATGAACGAATAAACAGTAGATATCGATCTTTCAATAGCGACAAAAAAAAATTAACGCAGTCCAGACGCGGTAGAAGTGAAACTTTGAATTCTAAATACCTACCTAATTTGCGAGAGAATGAGATGTTATACACTATGAAGAGGTAAGCAAAGAAACAGGGAGAGATTGATTAATCTCTTATTTATTGCCAAGAGAGGGAGAAAGAGAGACAGAATTAGAGAGATATACTGGAGGTAATGAAACATAGAAATCGCTGGATTAGGTACTTATACAGGGTGGGCCAATGGAAACTTTTCACCCAGATTTTTTGGATTTTAGATGAAAATCTGGAAAAATGCTCGGACACGTCGATTTTTGATTTGAGGAAGAACTATTTTTCAGTTTTTTTCATCCCCGTAGCTTTAACCCCCTAGCTGGGGGGAGAACAACACCCCAAATTTGAATAGGGGATAGAGGTCGTGTCATATACCTCTTCTTAAAGGTCTCATCGAGTTCTTGATGACCCTAGAATTTTGTCATATCATTTTTATATAGACTATTGTTTTAATAGAAGTAAAAGCGAATGCGAAACTTACCTTCCTTAATAAGAATACTTACAAATAAAGTTGTTTTATTGCACCTAATTAATGTTAATAATAAAGCAACCTTAATTGTGAGTATTTTTATCAAGGGATGTAAGTATTGCGTTTACTCCTACTAAAACAATAATCTATTCCCAAGATTTTGACGAGCTGTCATTTCGTTACGGATAAAAATAATAAGACAAAATTATGGGATGGGGTCATAAAGAACTCGTTGAGACCTTTAAAATATGACACGACCCTTATCCCCTATTCAAATTTGGGGGTTGTTTCCCCCCCCCCAGCTAGGGGCCCAATGCTACGGAGATGAAAAAAATTGAAAAATAGTTCCCTCTCAAATCGACAATCAACGTGTCCGAGCATTTTTCCAGTTCAAATCCAAAAATCGGGGTGGAAAGTTTCCATTGGCCCACCCTGTATAGTTTTCATACATCGATAAAATCAGCTTATATATTATTATTATCAATATTTTCATCATTTTTAAACATGTTACTAACGGCTTATAGATAAATAAAATATGATACTAATAACATGTTTTAGTTTGAATTCTACTCAAATAAAGGAGAATACATATTATATCGGGTCTTCAAAAAAAAAGTCAATCAAAGATTGCTATGGTTTTTTGAACGTATGTCTTAGCAATATTTTTCTTTAATTTTGTCAGTGAACTTCAATGTCAAAATGTCATGTCAAAAATCCTGACCAATAAAGAAACAATAATGCGACGTACGTTTTCGTAGTCAAAGCAATATTTGATTGTTTTTTTTTTGAAGACCCGATATAATATGTAGCAGTGGGTGTGAGAGTGGGGGGACGCTACGAATCACCGCACAAAGAGGAGACGGAGTATAGGGGGATTACATAGATATGTGTTTTGTTTCATTCACTCGCAGGCCAAATCCTTTTAATCTATATCGTTTGTCTCAACTTCCGTTACACTTTTTCGTTTCGTAACATCCAATTCACAAAGTTTCAAAAGTGTCGACAAGGTTTGAACCCGGGATATCCAGCATCATAGCCCGGTCCGGTCCATTACCACTGAACTGAAAATTTAGTACACATAACCACTACCCCTTCCTTATAGCTCCTTACATGAAAGCGGCATCGATGGTTAATTCAAATTATCCAGAAAAAGTGTGTTCCGACAATGGATTTTTTTCCTGATAAGTTCAGGTTATATTTCAGGCATTAAACGTGCTGGACAATTGAAGTGAATATTTGATTTTTTAAACAAACTTTTGGAATCGAATATATCTTGAAGAATCGTATGGATATGCGATTTTCAAAAAATTGATGGTAAATGTGACCCCTGTATAACTTTTTCTAATAAATTCTAAAGTTCATCATATTGCAAACATTTTAGAACCTCGACAAGAAAAATCGGTCGAAAACTAAGTGAAATATTGAAATTTTTGTAATATCAAATCTCAACTATCGCTATCCAAGACCAAAACTAGGTAATTTTTGAAGAAATCCGCCATTCCGAATTTTTCTCGAATGTGAAAAGTTTCACTTTGTTACGTTAGCATTTCCCCTGTTCCACCTCCAGCATTCTCAGTGCTCCATGCTGGAGGTGGAATAGGGGGAAATTGTTTTGCTTCTCTATTTAACCTTTGACTTTTTCTAAACATTTCATTCTATTGCATTAAAATAGGCATGTAAGATGTTGACTTGCCAGACCTGTATATAAGAAACACGCAAAGAAATAGGCATATCGCGACCCTATATCCTACGCCCCCTCGATAGTTCGATCTTTTAAAATTTCAGGGGTGAAATATAATTATATATTTTATTTTCTCAATAACTGCCCATAGTGTCAGGTTCAAATTAAAAGTGAAGTGATGGAGTGAGTTTAATGTGAAAATGTATGCCCTTGTAAAAAATTTAAAATGCGTGGATTTATGTAGTTGCCAAGATTCATGTAGTATGCAAACAAAATAAATCCAATCCAATAAATCATCGACACAAAAATCAAGTACTTTTTTATCTACCTACCTTTATATAATTTGTTGTAATATTCATTATTAAAGAGCAAAGAGTTATTTGTAAAACGAATTTTTGAAACCAAGCTGAACCTATAGGTATTCGATTTTAAAATTGCTGCATAATTTCCTATTTCAAAAATGAAGACCTGAAATTTCGGAAGAACTTCTTTACACGTACAATGTAGGTACCTACTTTGAGGCTGTGTATTAAAAACTTGTCACTCAAGTCTTGCGATTCTATGTACGGAGTCAGGATACCGCGGGTAAAACAATTTTCGAAGTTTCCTACCTAGTCGAAAAATGCTTCGCAAATTTCAGACCGCTTTTGTTGCTTCGATAATTAATCGAATAAAATAATTTTCATATGAAAGGATCGATTGCCTACTCGGCGAGTTATAGCGCCAGCGAGTCAAAACGCCGAAAATAAGATAATATTGTTACTTGATTTTTGTCTAGAAAGTCGATTTTGACAATTTTCCCCCATTATAAGACAAAAATAAATATTTTAATCGGATTCAGCGACGTCGAAAACATGGGCATAGAAGATTATTAGCGATTAGGAATGATCCCTCTATCAGTAGCGCGCAACAAAATTGCCAATAATTTGTCATTTATTTCTCCATTCCATTTATTATAAACCCTCATCCAAAAGCTCAGGGACGAATGGAACAGGCGAGAGACCGGGAAATTTTCCGGTGGGAGGGTTGGTGGCGAAAAGTAACTAGGTACTTATGAAATTGGTTAAAATATATTTTGAATATTGCAAGTTATTTATCTCTTCAGGAAACGTTTGCTAGAACCGACATTTCCACTTTTAGGCCAGATTGAAACGGTCCAAGTGCACTTGGATACGAACTCGGACCAAGTAAGTTGGCAGCCAGCCGTCCAAGTGAGGCGCGCGCAGCGTCCATAGAAACTTGATCCAAGTACACTTGGAGCGTATCAACCTGGCTATAGAGAAAGTGAAGATGTGGATGATAAAGACAATGCGCATAAAGATTCCAGAGATACAACAAAAACCTGCTCCTGCAGGGATTGCGTGTATTGCTGTTACGTCGCTATTTTGAAATATAACCTGTATCAGGAGGCGTATTCGGTTTTATTTAGCCACAGTGTATCGATACGTTTTGAGTTTGGCAATCACCCAGGTGACATGTGAAAGATCGCTTTCCATTCTCAAATATATTAAGAATAGGCTAAGAAATAGGTGACGAAAGCAGGCTTGAATCTTTCATGCTTATATGAATATAGAAAGATCTCTACTCAACCCATAACCAAATAGATAAAGAAGCTATTATAAATGAAGTCAGACTAACAACTTTCAACAAAACACTGTTTTTTTGAAAGTTCTTGATTGTCTTTTTTTCATATACCTATTTGTTTCTAGATGAGAACTTATTTGAAGTTTAGCACTCGGCTTAATTTACCATGAGAGAAATTCAAAGCTACATTTATAACTTGAGAAGATAAGTTTAAGCCGGTCTTAGTTCATGATACTATTATTTCTATTATACCTAATATTTTTATGTTGTGTTGAAATGCTGTTAATTTTAGGACCATCCAAGTTCATGATTCACAGTTTAACCGGTAACAGAATATTGAGACTTAAGTTTTGGTTATAGCATAATGTCGTATAACTTGATGTTTTTGTTGCTTTAGTGTAATGTTAATGTTTTCTATAAGGTTATTTTTGACTACTAAATAAATGTCTGCTGCAGGTCGTAGGTCGTAGCGTAATTTTTCTTTTAGAAAAAAATATAACTTCTACACAACATGAAGTGCCAAGTATGGTGGACATGGAAAAACTACAAGAGGAAGAAATCGAAGAAAATGTATGCTTGCAACAGGCGCCCCCGAAAATGGAGGAGCTGTAGTATAGATAGTAAGTTGATTAGAAAAAAACTGAAAATTGTAATGAGATAAAGGTTTTTGGTTCAAGATGATTCTATTTATGAAGAATGAAGATGAAAAAATAACAGGAGCAGCAGCTGAATCCATCTAGCCGCGTTCAGATTGGAAATGCGGAAGCTTACAAACCATAACCATTAGTACATAAATGGCCGTGTTCATTTATTTCATCTTTTTAGTCGATTTTCTCCGAAATTTTGACAGGCACGTGACTGGATTAGACAGTTTCAATTTACAGATCACGTGCCTGTCAAAATTTCAGAGCAAATCGACGAAAAAGATGACAAAAACGAACACGGCTAATATATCGCGGTCAGTCAAGCGAAACTTAGAACAAGCACCTAAGTATAGGGTCTTGTTAAAAGTGTCAAGATAACTTAGGTAATGCAACGAATTTACTGAAGAAGCTTAAAAATTGTTATACATATTATATATAACATATAAATAACAGTAATGTTAGTCAGTCAGTTGAATAGCGGAACCGTGCTGGTCAGTCAGCCCCATCAATGTATGTAAAAATTCCTCAAATCAAATTTACAAGAAATAATTACTATTAATTTATACTTCAACCTACAATTTTGAATTGTCACTGTCTCTATCACTGTCTCTCTAAAAAAATAGACCTATCATCTTCTTACATACAGGGTGTTTAGTACATCGATAGGAAGTTGTCAATGAGTAATAGTTGGGGTCATTTGGAAGCTGTTTGACCATATTTACCCCTATGCAAAACTTTGTCGTTTTTAAGATATCAGCATTTTTAGATATTTTTGGGAAATATTTGAATTGTTCCTTAAACATATTGTTTTTTTGGTAGTAACAACAAGCAATTTTTTTTGACATTGCTAATTTACACTCTTTCAAAACAATACGGAAAGATAAACCGAATGATTAATACAAAAAATATGTGACCCAAGTTATGTGTTAAGCATGGTTTCAAAAGATCTAAAAACGAAGAAACTTTTCATGAGGGTAATATGGTCAAACAGCTTCCAAATGACCCCAATTATCACTCATTGAAAATTTCCTATCGATGTACCAACCACCCTATATATTGGGGCTAACCTACCTCAATGAGGCTGACTGACCAGCACGGTTCCGCTATTCAACTGACTGACTAACGTCCCTGTTATTTATGTGTAATATATAATATGTATAACGATCAGCCTTAGTAAATTCGTTGCATTACCTAAGTTATCTCGACAACTTTAACAAGACATCCTAGGTCCTTGTTCTAAGTTTCGCTTGACTGACCGCACTATATTTATGTACATAACTATTGTGATCAACTGTCCAAAAACTGCCTTTAGTAAATTCAGAAAATTTTGCTGTTGCATCCAGTTACTTGCGGCATTCCGTCTGATTTTGTTATCCACCATTGGTTATTTAAAGCTGGCGTTTGCCTTTGAACTTCTGCTTGTGCTTGTATTGGTTTTACCTTTTTTTTTACAGTCGAGCTGGGGTCGCTTTTCCATGCATCATGCTGGTGCTGGTATCGATGCGGCTTCGCTTATCGCTAGCAGTAGCAGTAGGTAGGTATAGGTACCATCTCTTCAAAATCCTTGTATGTAACAATTCATAAAATATATTTTCCTAACAGTCTCATGACTCTCATGAGTCTAATGAGAACATTTTGTATAAAAGTAATGGTGAAAATTATTATATTTCATTCCACCTTTGTTATGGAATTTTGAGTCAGGATGAGATGATAAGAAGATGTATTCATGAAGTATGAAGTAATAAAGAAATCTTGCCCTAATCGAAAGTCTAACAGTTAAAACCTTATCTCGATCCCCATTTCAAAAGCCATAAAATTGCCTACAAATTATTGAGAACAAAAAGTCAACAATGGAAGCACTAAAAAACTTATCACACAATTCTCAACGTATTATAACATTATGAGCTCTAGATCAATAATAATTCGGTTTAGAACGACGTGTTTCATCGTGGCGATGAAAACTGTCGTTTTTCATCGTAGTGTATGGGGTTTTTTATAAGGGCCAAGGGCGTCCATAGAACATTTTTCAGGGGGGGCAAAAACCTGACTTATTTTTATTTTTTAAATAAGACCATTTATGGCATTTATGTAGGTAACCATACGTATATTACTGAATCAACATTAACAGTCTATATAAAAACTATACTCATTTGTAATGACGTCATTTTGAAAAATAAACACACATTGCACAGACAGAATGTCAATTTTTTTTTTTTTGAAAAATAACTTTATTTAAAAAAAAAAAAAATTTAAATTACATAACAATTTATGATCTCGAATCAGTACAAAAGTATTGGTCTCGAGAGTCTCTTACTACGTTTAGCACAGTGTTAAGGTTGGCTTAGGAACATAATACAATATCACTTTTATAGTTACATATGGTTAATTAATGAGCTTTTAGATACAATTCTAACCTATACTTAAACCTATTAAAGGGGACTATAGTCTTAATGTTTTCTGGTAATTCATTCAGTGTTAAAGATGAATTTGAAAATTATTACTTATAATAATTTTGGAGCTAAAAATAAAAATATCGAATTCCTAGACTAAATGCTTAGAAAATAAACACAAAATTTGAATTTTTGAAGGGAAAATAAAAATGTTAAATAGATGTGGAAAATAAACAACAGCCGTATTCAACATCTTCTTTTAATTTTAAAAGCGAATTTGAAAACTGTCTACAAATTTTTAAAAGTGACATTAAGTTCCAAAGCGTTTTTAAAGTTAAAAAAAGAGGATGTTGAATACGGCTGTTAATTATAATTTATAAATTTTGATTTGATTTATTATTTATGTGCTATAAACTATAAAAAAATGCACGAAAAAACGCCTGAAGAAAAAAATATCGTGTTCTATTCCGAGTGCAAGCAACTTTTAGTATCATTTTTGCTATTCTGTTAGCAATGGTAGCATCATGAAACAATATTAATCGCCAGGCCTAGGGGGGGGGCAAGTGCCTCATTTGCCCCCCCCCCCCCCCCCCCTATGGACGCCCCTGATAAGGGCCCCATACACTACGATGAAACACGACGGTTTTCATCGCCGCGATGAAACACGACGGTCTAAAACCGAAGTGTGTTGTAGAAAACCGTCGTGTTTTTCTACCACACACTTCGGTTTTGGAACGACGTGTTTCATCGCGGCGATGAAAACCGACGGGAAAGAACGTAGTGTATGTATGGGCCCTTTAGAGGGCCCCACAGACTACTATGAAACACGACGGTTTTCATCGCCACGATGAAACACGTCGTTCCAAAACCGAAGTATGTGTGGTAGAAAACCGTTCGTGTTTACGAAATGTTGAACCGTCGTGCCAAAAATCAAGCTCGGACTGAATTTTGAATCGACGATGAAACACGACGGTTTTCTACAACACTTCGGTTTTGGAACGACGTGTTTCATCGTGGCGATGAAAACCGTCGTGTTTTATCGTAGGCTGTGGGGCCCTGTAGAAAACCGTCGTGTTTTTCTATCACTCACTTCGGTTTTAGAACGACGCGTTTCATCGTGGCGATGAAAACCGTCGTGTTTCATCGTAGTGTATGGGGCCCTTTAGAACGACGGTTTTCATCGCCGCGATGAAACACGTCGTTCCAAACCCGAAGTGTGTGGTACGGTTGATGGACGGTTTTCTTTTTTGAACAAAATATTTTTTCTCAACATTTGAGACACGTCTTAAGGTGGCCCAAACTTCGTGTCTCATTGTAGCCCATGGAAGGTCTGAGTTACAAACTGCAATATTTTGGTAAAACGTGAAAAAATCGACTCGTAATATACATAACAATGAAATTAATATTCATATGTGTTAGAAACCTCAGAATAAAATGAAAATACCTATATTGGGAATGACTGATGAGGTGCTGAACTCACAGCAAAAGAAATTTCACTATGGCGAAAACCAATCGAAACCTGCAAAAAATTCAAAAGCGCACGTGCAGCTTCTCTGGCAACAGAGAGAGAGACTAACATGTTTAATACTTGATGTATTGCGAAATAGAGACAAATAGCTCACGTTATTAAAAAATAATGGCGACTGTCTCATGGTGGCCCACCCTCCCCTATACCTATCACAATTCAGTAAATTTCTCATTACTCTATTTTGTTGAATTTGTTGTCTATGCACATCTTCCTTATTACAAGATATTAACAAAGAACTGGCATAAGAGAAATGGGGAAACAGTATTGTTTGATATACCAGCATTCTTGCTGAGAGATACAGTAAAAAAAGCCAATCTTCTTCCCTAATTTTTCCCACACATAATCAATGTGATTTCCAAAAGTTAGCTGAGAATCCAAACTCACCCCCAAGTACTTTGATCTATACCCGACGCTGATATCGGGGTCTCATCAGCAATAAGATAAACAAAAGAACAATTCAGCATTTGATGAATGTCATTGACATAAATAATAAACAATAAAGGTCCGTACGCCATCTTAGTAGCCTGAAAGAACGCCCTGGTGTTGTTGGATTCAGCTTTTTACTTGTTATTGCAAAGATATTAGGTCTGTTTCCACAGAAATTACAAACCAGTCAGAGCGTTTTTGATTGGTTCAAATCGCGAACAACTAGTTTCCTGACAATTTTCAACCAATGAAATTCGCTCCGACTAGTTTGTGATTTTTGTGGAAGCAGACCTTACATAATCATTGTGATGCATGCCAACAGCAGCATTTTGTCATGGGCATTATTCATTTTTTTTGTGCTAACTAGGTACAAAGAAAGCCCTATTGAAATAAATTGTAACAATATGAATATGAAGTTCAGAAAAAGGCAGATAAAATTATAAAATACTTTATTTACGTAAGGACCATTCAACCAGAAAAAATGATTACAAACTAGATCGACCAATAATTCTTAATTTTTAGTTTAATGTTTGTCAATTTAGTTTCGTTTAATTTTAAAGCATAACCAGCTAGAATAAAACGATAATATCATGATTTATTCTTTATGTCTCTTAACAGAGCCCATGGAACTCCAAATAAACCCAGCAGTAGCTAAAGGCCTTATAGGCACATATGGCGTCGTTTTAGATTTATAAAAATCTGAGGGTGCGTGCATAACAAAATCGAAATATTCCAGGTCCCTTGGCAAATCTTCTGCTGGACCTAGAACACAATATTTCCATCAAATTGTATTATTTCGTCCATAAATGGAATGTACCTAAAGTGTAAGTCGCTGGATCAAATTCTTCATTTGGAGGAGGACTGTCCTTGGTTGGCAACAGCCACTGAATCACAACGCTTTTTTTGAAATACTGATCAGTCATTAGTCCAATAATTTGGGCGTAGAAACAGTCATTTTTTTCATCAGTTGTAGAGACTATGTCACCAGTTTGAAAGTAACTGCCCTAAAAAACAATACTGTATTTGTTATATTGGTAAAATAAGATTTACTAGGTACCTTATGAAACACGTAATCGCTAGTTATAACTGTAGCAACCTGTGAAGGAGACTTTTTGGGGACTTTCTTAAAGAGACTTCTTCTGCCTTTACCTTTGGGTACAGAAGACTGCTTACGAGTTGCATTAGGATTATGTCGGGTCCTGTAGGCCTTGACTGCTCTGGTTTTCTTTTTTGATGTAGATTTTCCATCTCCGTCCTCTTTGGAATCTCCAGTTTTGTCTGCGTCCTTGTCCTTTTTAGCCTCGGTGACGCAGTCCAAGCAAATGACGCCCAAATTTTCGGCGTTGGTCCAGAATGAGGATTCGGTGACTTCGCATTTCAAACAGACTATTGGAGCTTTATAAGGCATATTTTTCGATTTTTTTGAGCCTCAGACGGGAGGCACTTCGTATCGGCAAATAATGAAAAATTATCAAAATAAATAAAAATTAGGGAAACGGGAAACCTAACCTCATAATCCTAAAATCAAAATTAACAAATAACAATCGATAGAATGACAAATGACATATAATTTATCTGTTTAGCTTGTAGGGGTTTTCGGAAACTGTTCCGATTGATCCGATCAACTGGTAAATAATCGAAAGAGTGCTTCCTAAATATAATCCCCGTAGGGCCAGTTTCTCAAACGCAGGTCACTATCAGGCTAAGCCAACTCCAGGGTGAACATTGCACTTAACACGTTAACCCTGGAGTTAAAACCAACCAGGGGTGACTCGCTATTAGTTGTATTCCTTTCACACCTGGGAGGAGCCCCAGAACAGTTCCGGGGCGTTACGCGCTTATTCCTTTCGAATTGAGTGCTACTGTTTTTCAAAAAGGAGGGTACTTGCACATTTTTGGATTATAATATATATTTTTTGAATCCTGTGGGTAAAAAAATTATAGCAATTTTTTAATTTTTTTCCCAAAGCGATTTAGTTAGTGATATATGTTTTTGTTAATTCAATTTATAAAATTCAAACGCGCGCGAAAAGGGCTTTTTCGTTGTGACGTCATTACATAGTAAATGGCGGTGTTGTCAAATCTTCGTATAAATACAATTTTGGCACAGCCCTTGGGCATTGTACATACAGGGTGTCCAAATTTGGACGGTTTTAAGAAGAAACTCAAGAAACGTCAATTTCTGAGCGAGATACAGAAAAATTAGTCCCCCACTCTGAGGCTCAAAATTCATGAAATCTGATTGATGCAAACCAAGGTTATTTGAGAGAGGTAGGTTGCCTGATATTGTATATTCCTTTCACATCTAGGAGGAGCTCCAGAACAGCTCCGGGGCTTCAAGCGCTTATTCCTTTCGAAAAGTGTTTGTTGCACCACGCATCTGTTCCCTGCAAATCGGGGGCGTCCAAACACCGGAGCGAGTAGCTCGAGTGTTTCAAGCTCTTGAAAGGAATACAACTATAACTGTATGATGTCATCTGGGATGACTCAACCAATGAACTATAGCTAATAACTGGAATGCACACACAATAGGGGTATTCTTTCGATCTAATCAAACTGAACAAACTAATCTGATTTAACTGAAAGTGATTTTTATATTCACATCACTTCGCTCAGTTCTGTCGCATCGAAATAAATCGCAATAAATAGGTCAGTGTGACGTCATGAAAGTAGAATTCTACTTGTCGTGATCCCATCTCAGGTTGTGCTTGTTTTTTCGTCGATTTTAAATGAAGAAAAGGTGATTTCAACAAGATTATAAAACGTTTAGGAATTCGTTTTTTTGACCTATACTGTTTAAAACTCGGCTAATGCATTTTAAGCCAAGGGTTGAGATTTGCAGCTGAAATTGCAGACATTTTCAGCTCAATAAGCTAAGCAGTCCTAGGTTAAGTGTTCTTGGGCACAGGCATCCACGATGCTGCTTTCGCTTTTCTGGGATTCCCCCAGACATATAAGTGTTGACAGGTACTTCCCATTCCAAAGAAGAAAAGCAATAAAATAGAAAAAAGTGCCCCCCCCTCAATTTTTCTGGCCCAGTCTGGCCCCCCCTAACATAAAACCCTGGCGTCGCCACTGTCCATGAAGCCCTTACAACATACAGACACATCGTTTTCCTCCGTTAAAAACCTGTGTTGTGTCTCTGCAAGAACGTCATGAAGAGACTTTCTCGCGATTAAAACGGCTTCCACAACTAAGTACAATACATAATGTATGCATTTTCAAAAAATCAACACTTTACAGACTTTATACAAATCAAAAATCGCAATAAAACGGCATTTTTTTAAAATAAATAGGCATTGACCTCCATTTTGAATTTCTTTTTGACAGATCGTTGGATTGCTCTATTGAAATTAAAACCAATAGAAACTGGTACGTCATGACAATATCCTTGTGTCATAACGTCATTTTCATTATTGACCTAGGTTTTTCTCCATTATTTTCATTATTAACCTAGGGAGAGGAATTCATTTTTTTCTTGAAAACATAGATTGAATAATGACTATTTCTTAGGGTAATAATAGTAAAAAAATTATGTTAAGAGGCGGAGAAAAACAGTCATTGATCAAGGATTATAAGCGCAAAGAGTTATTGTCAAACGCCGATACCCTTGTGACGTCACTACAGATGCGCGCCTCCCGATTTCGAGATATTGATCAAATTTCGATGTTTTTCAATACGAGACCCTTTTAGCTGGTTGCTGACCTTAATGAAACACCAAGTATGATCTGACTAGTTGTTTGGTATTTATCTCAAATTCTTAAAATTCTAGCTTCTGCTTTTAACAAAAAGCCGCCCAATCATGGTTATTCAATTCAAGATAAAGCAATTCCAAGAATGCAACTCCAGTGTTCAAACCAGCCCGAAAACCAATTTGATAAATAGGAATGTTTCACCTCATCCTATGTGACAAATGACGCCAAAAGTCTCGATCTGTTCAAAGGCACAGAAAAATACAAGCTCTTGTCGTTTTGAATCCAAATAATAATAATTTTTACCATTTAAAAAAAAGTCATTTCCGTGGTGTTAATTTATTTGTCAAAAAAACGATTTCCAGAGAATTACATAAATATAAATTTCTTTCGAATATTTGCGAAATTAGAATGGAAAATCTCTCCTGGTAATTCCATACCTTTATCTATACAATGGCACTAACCCTAAACAGTAGGATCTGTTCGAAACTTGCTGGAAACATCATTCAAGTAAATTTTCTTCCCAGAGCATTTATATCAATGCACTGAGCAGAAAAAAAAAGGCAAGTTTGGACCATACCTATATTTATACATAAATACCTCTATATAATATTATCAATAATTGAAAAAAAAATTAAAATAAAATTGTAAAATTTAAGCAAACTTAATTTTTTTAAAATGTATATATAATTAATATTTCAATAAAATCATTTTACAGTATCTATATAGTTAAAAACCACCCTAGAGCGAAAATATACAAAATATAAACATAAATACAGGTTATTATCAATAATTATACACGTGCACAATGATCTCTTCTATAAATATTACAAAAAAAATAAATGAGATCGTTCAAACCTTCCAAAAAGACCCATTTAAATACTAATATAAAATTAAAATTATAAATTTTCATAGAAACTACCCTTTTAAAGCTAAGAGGAGAATTTTAGGAACAGAAATAAATTTTTAAAATCTTTTCATAATTATACCAAATTTAAATTTCAAAACCCTTTCACTTATGAGCTTAATAAATTATTCACTTATTCACAATAAAAAAAGCTTAAAGCTTAAATGAAATTATTAATTATTAATCCATGCTAATCATAATGTCCACGGCCAGTTTATTTTTTGGGTTGCAAGACATATGAGTCTAAAAATTGAAAAAGTGTGGACTGATTTCTTTATATTTTGATACCGCGAGAATTAGCTTGAAAATTTTACACAAAGCCGCCTATAGCGATTTTGTCAGTGAAATGTAGTTGAAAAAAGCCCAAACTAACTGATTGGCAAGAAGCTTTACCAAAAAGAAAAAAAGCATTAAAACGTTATAAAGCCGATTGGCGATTGGCAAGAAGCTTCATCAAATAAAAAAAAATATATATTAGAACGGTATAAAGGAGGTAACATTAAAAATCTAGAACGATTACTCTTAAGGTAGCTTTTTCGTCTCCAGTTGGTTAAAATTCGATTCATTTTTCATGGTGCCAAACAGGTTAATTAGTATTGAAGATGGCGTAAAGCCACCACAGGCATTAGTAGTAAGATAGGTGTTTTTTAGTCTGTTCATATATAACTTTGGCTCAAATGAATCCGAGTGACTCATCAAAATTTTCGTGCTACTTGCCAGTAGATAAGCAAGTTGAAACGTGTGTGTGTAGTTGTGACTTGGTCTCAATTTATTTTGGCGACAACTGCTGTCTCTTAAATTGCCACTCTTCAAGGTTTTTTTTTTATGCAATCGCAAAAATCCTCTGTGGCGGCCTTTACAATTATCAGATGCAAATGAGAAAAAATAATGTTAAAAAAATAACAAAATTCTCAGCTGACATAATCTAGTACCTACATATATGTATAAATAACCAACCATAATAATATGGTTTTAGGTCCTTTCAGAGCAGCCCCTTATCATAAATTTAAAGCTAGAAATAAAACTGGTTCTTATTTAACGTTTTCAGAGAGTTTGTCTCTAAGGTATTTGATTTTGTTAACAAAGAACGCTTCTAGCGATTCTGCACATTTAAAAAATGGTGATTCTTTGGGGTTATAATATCTACAATTATCGAAAATTTTTGTCATGTCTCCAATGAACTCACTTAGTTTCGTGTAGATTTTATCGTTGATTTTTGCCTCTATCATTTGAAGATCTGAAAAAAATATATTAATTTAATTTGAGTTTCTATCACTGTATAAGAACACTATAGTAAGATAATCTGCCTGCTTAAAATGCGACCAGAGTTAACCCCAATTGTTTAAAGTCCCTCCCGCATTCAATGATGGAAAAATTATTTGAATAAATGGTTTGTTTTGGTGTTTTCTCGATGCATCAAATTCAAATTGAAATCCCTTATTGCATCGAAAAAAGCCACAATTCTGTGACAAGGAAGAGTCAGGATTTAAGATATGTCAGTATTAAAAGTTATAGTGTTTGCCCAGTATTTCAAGACTATACAGTTTACTGTTAGTTAATGCTAATCATAATCGTAGTCATAGTCGATAATTACATTTATAATCGTTTTATTATTAAATACCTTATTTTAGAATAAATATTTAACTTACCCATAGGCTCCTTAATAACTCTATAATAATCAGGTGCTTCATTGGGATCCACAGGTTCCATAAAAGGCCAAGAACTTTTGTGAGCCTGAAAAAAAGTAAGAATATTTCAAATTCAAATTTCTTTGTGTATGAATATAGTAATGGAAGACGTTGTCAAAGGATTAGAGCAAATGAACATAAATATTGCAGTGCTCACCAAAACTAAGAAAAAGGGCAACAGAATAGAATACCTGTCAGATTACATACATATACAGTGTGATTTTTTAAGTGTGCAACATATGGGGATTTTTTTAAGTAATAGCACATCCCAAATACAAACAAGGCCAAAAGTTGGTGCATGTTGTATACAGTGGAGTACCCAAAGATAAAAGCAGTCCAAAGAGTCTCATTATTAATCCATAAAAAGTATAAACAAAAGATAAGCAATTGGAACACAATAAACAAACGTGAACATTTCAGTTAGGGAACATAGAACTACTGTTGTCGGCCTCTATGCTTCAAATGAAGACGCAGGACAAAGTGAAAAAGATGAGTTCTATAAAACAGTAGACAACACTCGGAAATCAGAGGGAATTGATATTGCTAAGGGATCTAAATGCAAGAGTAGGAAGATCTCGGTACAGTGACATAGTTGGAAGGTATGGAGGAGAAACGCAAAATAATAATGACCTTAGACTTATAGAGCTCTGCGAACAATACTGTTACGATAACGCTGCCGCCAGAATAGACGTCCGCCAGGCTGTCAAGAATCTTATGCATCTGCTATAGAATATCCTAGAATCTAGCGAATTATTCTACTTTAATCGGGAAAATAAGATTAACGTGTGTATTCTAGATTTTACAGGAATAGATTTAGGGATATATAAAGGCCGCTATTGCTTTGTAGTTTTTAAGTTTCAGTTCGACTGTGATGTGATTTAAATAGTGATTATTGTTGTAAAGAGTTTAATTGTTGAGTTAGTTATTAAAGTAATTAGTGTCAGAGTGTATTGTTACGTGGAATAAATTATTGCTGTGTTAATTGGACTTTGATTTTTGGAATAAACGAAACTAACCCAAGATTTCTGTCCGGCAATCCAAAGCCATGACAATACAAACTCAAATCATAAAGACATACACATGGCATCAAGATACGAGAGGTCTTAAAAGTATTATTGATTATGTAATTATAAAACAAGAAACGAATAATTGGCAACTCAAAGATACAAAAGTCTATAGAGGGATCGAATGCAGCTCCGACCACTACCTGCTTGCAACAAAAAACCCGAATCAAATTTAATAGAGACACATGGGATATTAATTCCTCCGACAAAATAGATCAGAGCAGATATAAAATAGAAGGATTACGAGAACCAAGCATGAGAACTCTTTACCAAAATCGTATAGATCAAAAACTAAATGACCACTATCTGACAGCCGAAACATCCAAACTATATGAACATGTTACCCAATCCATTTATAAAGCAGCAGCGGAATATTTAGGGTAAGAGGACACAAATGCACGAAAAAAACATCGTCTGATATGGAGTGCCAAATTAGAAGAATAGAAGAATATTAAACTACAAGGATATAATAAATGGTAAGCTACAAAGGATGATAATGCGTTAAATCATATGAAGAATAATAAGGCACCAGGACCGGAAGAAATACCGGCTCAGCTTCTGAAAAACGGCTCCCAAAAACTTCTTGGTTAACTGAAAGAACTTTTTACCAGATACATAAATGGAGAACAAATCCCACCAGGCTGGAAAGAGGCGTGGATAACACCCATTCACAAAAAGGGTAATAAAGACGATTACTCTAATTATAGATGTATCTCGGTCACAAGTACAATGAGTAGGCTTTTTGGTTGAATAATTGGTCCTCACGAAATAGAGGAACAACCGGGATTTCGAGCCGGACGATCTTGTGTTGATCATATATTTAGCCTTATGCAGCTCAATGGGAAAAAACTGCTACAAACAGAGATGTCCACTTGCGGTTCCTGTCCAAAAACTTTGACAAGTGATGGAAAAACACTCAAATAAATAATACTGCAATAAAAACAATAAAACAGCTGTATCACCAAGCATCATCAAGAATAAAAATAGGATCTACTCTGTCCGATAGCTTCTCCATAACTAAAAGTCTACGTCAAGGTTGTTGTTAATCTCCTGAACTTTCCAAAATCTATTTAAATGAAACACTAAGAAAGTGGAGAAGATCATGTATTGGTATAGGGATACAACTAAATAACGAAAAGAGTGTATATAAACTCCATTTTGCAGACGACCAGGTGGTAATAGCCCAGGATAAAGAAGACCAAGAATTTATGAGAACAAGATTCTTACCGAATATGAAAAATGGGGGCTATCGGTGAACAAATCAAAAACCAAATACTTATGCATCGGCCAAAACTCGGGAAACCTAACATTAGACAATAATGTTGAAATATCCGCATGCGACAAATATACCTATCTAGAAACTTAAATAGATAAGATAAGCAGAACAGAAGCAGAGATCGAAGCAAGGATAGTAAAGGGAAAAAGGTTAATCGGATGTCTAAACTCGATTCTATGGTCAAATCATATATCACGTGACAGAAAACGGCTTATAAATAACTCTATATTCTAAAGCATAATCTTATACGGATGTGAAACGTGGCAATTAACGAAAAACCTAGAAAGACGACTCATATCACTCGAAATGGACTTTTGGAAAAGATCTGCAGAAAAATCAAGAATGCAAAGAATAACAAACGAAAGAATAAGAGAAATCATGCAAGTAGAAAAAACAATAATAGACAAAATAAAAAAAAGACAACTGACATGGTATGGAAACATGGAAAGAATGAATGACGAACGGCTTCCTTAACTACTAATGAAATGGACACTCCACGAAAGAAGGAAAAGAGGAAGACCTAAAGCAACATGGTTCGGAGGAATAGAAAGAGCCATGTCGGAGCGGGCTTACACCCAGGAGATTGGAAAGACAGAAGGGGCTGGAGACCTTGAACCGAGGGGCGTAGGACGCTATAAACCGGAAAAATGAAAAATAATAAATATAGTATATTTTCTGTGCCAAGAGGGATGATTCTAAAATCATTTTAGGCCAACTCATAGTTGCCTTAGTACCACTACTAATATAAAAGAGTTTCTTACTTGTATCTGCTTTATAAGTTTCTTCAAATTCTCGAAATCTCTATGAATAAGGTCTTTCATGTTCACATAATTCACAGCACTATTTTTCTGACAGCGCGGACAGACGTACTCGTCAATATTATCAGCTTCTGACTGTAAAATACCAACGCAACGTCCGTGGAACCAATCCTGGCAAGTGTCACAGCAAATGTAGAACCTAGAACAATAAAAATTATATTTTAAAGACACGTGCAGATAGTTTTATTATTGTGAGAAATGTGGTTCAAAATTATATCTGTCAAACCTAGAAAAATCTTGTATTTTAGGCTTATATTGTCTGGTTTCAATAAAGGATAAACGAATCACATGTTAAATTCATTATCTGGAATTGAATTAGTTATTTTAAATAAAATATCATTTTAAAAATCAAGATTCTTTAGATTTCAAAAATGAATGATATGCTTACTGTGAGTCATCATATGGTTGCTGGCAAAGGCAATACACTTTCTGACTTTCCCGCGCCTGCCGACACTCGTCGCAAATAAATTCCGTCAAACCTTTGCTGCTTTCCTCAGTAATGCCCACACAATCACCATGGAACCAATTATTGCAAAGATCGCAACCGACGTAGAATTTCGTTTCATCATACGGCGTCCGACATATGCAATAAACCTATTTAGAAATAAACAACTTTATATTTGTAGATTGTAAATTAACATTCTTACCTTTTCTTTTTTCAGTTTGTTGAGAGCTGAATTAGGCAAACTATGAGATTTAGAAGTCTTTCTACTTTTGCCTCCACCTGCTCTTGGAGTAGGCATAACGTGAGTTGTACTTGTTGCAGTTGATTTTCGTCTGTTAGTTACGGTTCTGACTTCATCTTGTTTTGTACGTTCAATTTTTGTCCTCGCTGCCAATTCATCAGCTACTTCCTTCTAGTTAGAGAAAATTTAAATTCAATCAATAAAATAATAATTTCGAAAATAACCACAAACAATACTGTGTCCTAATTTACAAAAAATATCTTACCTGTATCTCATATTGCAATTCCTTCTCCAACAAAGCTCTTTTTCTAAGAATATCCTTTTTCAGTAGTTCTTTTTGACGATAAAGAGTAACCATTACTTTGGCTTTGGAGATTTTCTGCTCAGAGTCTCTGCTCTTGGTGCGTACTCTCGGAACTATAACTCTTTCTTTTGCTGGTATTAGTTCTTGGCTGGAGAAACAAAACAAATGAAAAAATCCATAAAACAATTGGGTTAAGTCATTCAATCTTACGAATATTATTGAAAACAATTGAAGATACTCAAGTTCCAGCCAACATTACCCATAAGCAAAACTTGACAATACTATATCTTAAGTGTATTTTTTTCTAAGATGGATTATGACATTGAAAACTTTGGAACATAAACAATAATGCTTGGCTCTGATTTGTCACAAATTGCTGTATCCCTGCAGGTTGGAATCAGTTTTACAATGCATGTCGTGCAAATGGCATCTTGCGACCAATAAGCGGCATTGTTTATGTTTCAAAGTTGACAGTAGTGTCAAAATCTATTTTGGGAAAAAATACAGTTTGTATAGAAAAAAATTCGACCTCGAACCATGGCCAAAAACATTGAACCCAAATTTAATTTAAGAGGTCAGTAATGTTTTTCCAATATATTTAGACTAAAAAGACGAAAGTCAAATTAACGAAATGTGTTGGCAGAATAATCCGTGTCTAGCGTGTTTATTGAATATTTGCCACTTCTGCTTTTCTATTTTTAAGGCTATTATTATTTGTTGACAAACGCTCACTGATTTCAAGTTTGCAAAAAAAAAAACCCTGGAATGGACATTGATGCAGTATAGCAATACCTCCAGGGCTCGAACACTGTAACGGATAGAGATCGTTATTCCTATCGCTATCGCACTTGCTGTCTTCTTCTCTGTTGTCGAAATCAATAGACAGGAGACGTCAATAGAGATAGAGAAAATATCTCTATTCATTACAGAGTCTCAGCCCAGCTACCTTACCAGAATAATTCAGTGTACCCTAACGTACGATTAAATTGGTTATGATTTTTCCATAGGCAGATTTCTCATTGTAGTAATTTTAATTTATTATAGTAGACTTTTGATAAACTTTGTAGTTGGACTAAAATGAGGTTATTTGAAGTACCCAAAACCAGTAACAATAAATCAATATTGCATATATTTTTACAGGTAATAAATCCATGAAATGGAAAATGGCATACGTTTTTGCCAAAGAATTTTTATTTTTTTTTTTCACTCAAACTCTAAGCTGGATGCCACACTCTGCTTGTCTCTAAACAGAGACGAACTGGAATGAAGGCGATTTGCAGAGCAATTAACAGACTTCAAATAATCCACAGACGAAAACCAAGCCTAAAAGCTCACAACTTTGATCATATGTGCTTTTTTTCAGTGTTGCAGTTTTTCATGATTTTTATTCCAAATAAAAAAGAGAATTTTTCAATAAATTCAACTAAATAAATATTATCAGATGTGGAAGCTTCAGATTTGGTTATTCAGATCCTTGAAAAATACTTACTGTCCGATAGTCTCAATCTTTCTATCATGATTCCTATTCGGTCGGCTTCTTTTGGGTGACTCCAGTACCCAATCAGCATCATCAATCCTAGAAGAGCTGTTAGTCCTCTTACGTGAATTCAGCTGACATTTGTTAATGTGTTGTACAGGATTCACTATAATTCTTGCCGCTACTGGTGAAGGATTTTCCAGTTCCTGTTTCATCTGTTTCTCCTGGAACCTTTGCAGTTGGAGTAATTTCTCCTCGATTTCTGGGTTTAGATTTTCTTGTTTTAAAGCGGTTTTGATTGCTATTCAATTCCAAAAAACGAGAATTAGAAAAAGCCTAGGATGGGTTTGGAGGATTTAAATCTACTAGAAACGGCAAAATAAAAAAATAAAAAAAAGAAAAAGGTTCCAAAAACAAAAACGACCAACATCAAAATAAAAAATTAAAACGATAAAATCAGAAGTGCAAGGGTTTCTTACAAAAAGTCAATTTTAATCTTTTGAAATGAATTTATTACACAAAACTCGGATACAATTTTTTACAATTACTTTCGCAACTAATTATCAAAAGTTTCCAAATGCATGCACATACTTTAAAATTTTTAAAACAGAAATAATTACCTTTTTAACAATCTTCTTGTACGAGGCATGTGCAAGTAATTGCTACACAAAATTTGAAACCTATTTAGAAACTTTTGCTTGAAGGAACCCTTGCATTTCCAATGTTCATTATCAGTAAATATGAATAGTGTAAAATTACATTTGATGAAAGTTGAATTGAAATATTATATCTCATCTTCAGTTTATTTTTGACGTTATTGGTTAATAAGGCAATATTATTTTTAGAATACAGTAAAACCTCTTTAATTTCAAATTTGGCTCTCGAATTTGGAAGTCCAGACATACCTTGGAATTTTCTTTGTTGCAATTTCTTGAATCTTACGTTTAATATATGCCATATAGAAGCGCAATTCAAGATTCGATTTCTGATGTATGAAAAACATTGAAAATTCTCATAGGTGCCAATGTCATGTGGTTCTATATCAAGTTATCGAGGATCTAATATTAAATCTGCTAAAAATTTATCTTAGATAATTTTCAATTTGTGGAAATTTGTTTGATTTTTGTTTGTTGTTAAGATTTTTTTACAGAATATTGCACTGAATTAGTAGCTCATATTTTTTAAACAAATATGAGAATCATTTCCAGTGAATTTTGAAACCAACTGGCAAAATTAAAAGTAATCATAATCCATTCAAAATCATAGATTATGTAGAATTATTTTTGATATTTTTTGTTAATTAATCAGAATGAAAGAGGTTCTACTGTAATAATTTGTTATATTGTAAGTAAGTATCATCAGGCATAAAGGATTTTTTAAAATAAAATTAACAAAAGCCCCTAAATAGTATGATGGGGATTGGGCTTTCTACCCATTTTTTGTGTCTTAATTTCTAATCACCATTTTTACTTCTATTCATTACACATACATTCTAATAATGTCTAGTACAAAATCACAGAACACTTAGGGGCTTTTATTTACTTCAAATTATGAAACCAAACAAATTGGATTAAAAGATAAAAAAAAAAACTAATATCCCAAAAATGCTAAGCAAAACAAATGAAATATTTGGTCAAAATGGAGCAAAATGATGAGTCAAAATAGAGTGAATTTTTAATTTTGAGAAGCATAAGGATTTTTTTCCTGAATAGATCCCTCCGGAAATAATCCCTCAAGAAAGCCTTGCTGCGTGATTCTCCTCTCACCTACTTTTAGGCTTGTTGTTTTACAATCCTAGCCCCCAAGAATAGCAATTCTGGCCCTCTATTGGACTTGTCGCTGCAAATTGAATCAGCTAGATTTTCAACAACAAGCCTTATTAGGTTAAATTGTTAAGACCTAATGTACTGGATAGGCCCTCCAACATAATTCACCAAGTCTCACACAGCAAGAAGTAAGAGAATTTAAGTGCAGAGACACAACTGATTTATAAACTTGAGGTTTAACGAAGACCAAGCAAAAAGGAGGTCCATTTGTTTGTTAAGTTGCTTTTCCAGTATATTCAATGCTTTGAACATTTCCAAGCATAAAGAATAAAATAAATAACTAGCAATCTTAAAACTTGAAAAAGGCCCCAAGTTTACAAATCTAGTTTTACGCTTTGTTTTTCATCTTTGACAACTCTGACAGCCAGAATTTGATTTAGTCGAAACATTTTAGAATAATTATCAGATTCCAAACTCCGAAGTACCCCCAAGGAAGTAATCTATTGTGTATAATACCGTATGCACCCAATGTCGTTTTGCAATGGAAAAGCACAATTAGGATTATAGACAATAACTGATGGTTGATAAACTAACATACTTTGTTGAATATAGTCGGGCGTCACGATAAACTGCTTATTCGTATCAGTGCTGCTACTAGTGGACATGGTCGCTACGTTCGCACTCTGTTGCTGTTGAGTTGATGGCGTTGAGGAGATAGCATTCTCCAATTTAGCTTTCATAAGCTGCAGAAGAGATGAATCAACCTGTTGTCCATTGAGAACTCGACGAGCCGTAGTGGATGGGACTGTGGAGGCCTGCAATTTGCATTGAAACTTTAGCTATATAGAAAAATATTTACAGAAAGAAAAAATGTAATTGTGGCAAAAAAATAATTACTTGAAACTTAACTTTTTAAAAGGCCAAATCCCAAGTCCAAAAAAATCTTACCTTATTGAAGAATGGTAAGATAATGGTATAAGAAAATGACCGTCACCAAAAAGTTACATAACAAACTTATCTACTTTTCAACATGATGCAATTATTATATAATGGGAATTCTAGATTAAGTGGCAAGTGGTAATGTAAAATACTGTCAATGATATGCAGTTGTTAGGTAACGTGAAGTGACCAAAATAGAATTTTATTTATTGCGATTCTGCCCTGATACACTCTTACTATTTTTCTTGATCCATTAATGCATACTAGTCAATTGGGTAGCTAAACTAATCCTCTTATTAGGTTCAACTACAGTTTACACCTTGATTGAATATTTTCCCAGAGTTAACTGAAAAACTTTATACAATAAGTGGCGATAATAATTTTGCTTGAGGTTAACAAATTGCATATTTAAAACCCTGATTCGTTCAACGGCTTATCAAAGTCGTTAACCAAGAGCAAAAGTAGAAACCATAAATCTCATAGTTGGACAAAAGAAATTAAATACTAAATAAATACTCATACCACACACACCTTTAGGTAAATTTGGTAAAACTTTTGTTCGACTAAAGAAGCCCATGTGATAGGTAATTAAAAAATTCAATAAAAGAAATACCTAAGATTGTTGTTAGCGTGAAACAATAAATAAGAAATCAATGTTGGTTATAGAAATATGCTAAATAAAATTATTAAGAGAGTAAAATAAGGAGTTATCTATAATAATATAACCCTGGCCACTTAAAAATGTAAAATATAAATCGTTCATTCACCTGTGTGTCACTCAATTTTTCTGGCGTCGCATCTGGCGATGCCAGAAGCTTTTGCGGTGGCTGTTGCTTCGCAGCATTCACTGGAGCTAATGGAGGTGGGTTCGAAGATGTGGCCTGTTCACCATCCAAACTGGGTTGCACTGCAAGGTAGACTTTCGTCGGACCTAGGACGCCTTGTTTTCCAGCAGAAGCTTGCGCTACAAACCATAAAAAAAATATTATTATTTGAATTAATTCAATATTAAAAATGTACCTTTCACCAACTGTTGTTTAACTTGATGCTGAACAGTCGCAAGCTGCTGAGGCGTAAAGTTGGCGCCATGGATACCTTGAAGTACAATCCTCGGACCTTGCTCTGTGTTTAAGACCTGCGCAGTAACGCATTTTATGACGGTACCTGGCGGTTGATTTGCCAATAGCTGTTCCATTGTTCCTTTCTCAATTTGATTGGCTGCTTGCTGGGTAACAGGTTTTTGAGGCTGGATTGATCAAAATTAATTTTAAAATATGAGATTTGTACTGAGTAGACAAAAATGATAGATGGGTATTTTTTGCTGATTACTTACAGTAAGACTACCGTTGTTACTGAAGCTACCGCCTAAGGTGGTTGTGGTTCGAGGGCCGCTTGTGCTAGGAGGGTTAACACTGCTAACACCACTAGCACTGCTACTTTTAGCGGGAGACTGTTGTACCAGGGGACTAGTTGTAGATTGAATATTCTGAATACCGCCTGGAGCTAACTGAGCGATAACCTGGGCCTGAGTGGTGCTAGTAGGTCGTATTAGCATTTGTTGGCCATTAATAGTGGCCACTTGGAGTTTTCCAGATGCCAATTGCTGGGCTAAGGTCGGGTTATTGACTATAATTTGGTTTGTTACCACCTGGAAGCAGATCAAAATGTACAACATTAATATTTAACCAATTAGTGATTAAAGGACATGGCACACATCTTATGGGTTTTCGGTGATAGGTAGATTTCTTTAAAAATTTGGTATCTTGTAGTACTAGCAAAAATAAGCATTTTTCATTGTTGCACCAAATCTCTAACTATACAGGGTGACCCCGTAATGTGGGTTCGAAAATCATAAAACAAGCCTTTTAATTACTGATGTTGGCGCGTCCTGCAAGCCATATATCGGGATTTTTGTTTTCGATTTGGCAAATAAATAGTCTAAATAAGCCTAATTTACTATACAGGGTGGCCAAGCTTGCGTATTCTTTCAGAAGTCCTGCTCTATTCTTGGAAATAGCAATAGTGTTATCAAAGAACAGCATGGATTTACAGTGGGTAGGTCGACATCAACAAATTTGGTTTTGTATCAGAATTTTATTGTGGACAGCATGTTTCCAGGTTGATTCTGCATACTCGGACTTCTCTAAAGCCTAACGCTAATTTTCTTGTTGGGAGAACTCAGGCAGTTGGGCATGGCAGTGTTGTGTCTCATGTCTTTGATGTTTCTTCTGGCGTACCCCAGAGGTCTCACTGTGGGCCAATCCTGTTCAATCTGTTCATATCCGATATGGGTAGTTCCATTTCACACATCTCATTTTACAATGCAGATGATCTTAAACTTTATCGTCAGGTATCATCGTGGGAAGACTCACAACTGCTGCAGGATGATATCGATTCTTTTGATAGATGGTATGGCTCGAACGAAATGGACCTCAATATTGCCAAATGTTATAAACTTTTTCCAGGTTAGCCGAATCAGTGAAATTCCCTTACACAATATTAATAACACATCAATCAGAGAAGTAACAAGCATTCGATATTTTGAAGTGGAATTTGATGTCATTTAATGGTCATATTACCAATACTGTGTCAAGGGCTGTTGAGATGTTTGGGCTTTATCTGTAGATCCACTACTGATATGTCTCTGGGTACATTGCGAACATTGTACTGCGCGATGGTGCGATCCATGTTGGAATACTCATTGGTTGTTTGGTCACCCCAATATGCTGTTCACATTACAGCTCGGAAAGGGTTCAGAATAGATTTCTGAGGCTGGCTGCTTGCAGGTTGGGCTTGGCTCATGATGAGTATACTTTTTTTTAATTTCCAGCTAAATCATATGTTATTACATTCATGATATAAGCTTATGGGTTGTTTAAGACCTAGAGCACCAGGCTATATGGGTGATTCAGTATAATGTACGCTAAATCTATGTGAGGTTAAATATATCTATATCTATAAAATTTAAAGACGGAGCAAGATAAAAAATTTAAAAAAAAAAAGTAAATGCATCTCAATTGTGCTTACAGAGTAATGAACAATAAATAAATACATTAGGGAATGTTTCATTGTTGTCATGCTCTTTGTGCAGAGAAAAAATTGTTGAAGATTAGTTCTTTGAGTCTGTTGAAAGGGCCTTACTCTGCGACATTCCTTTACATCTTGTGGAATCTTGTTGTAGATGTTCAAGCCTTATGCCATCATGCTGCGTTGTCCACTAGTGGTTCTTGTAGCTTTCATGTCATCAATGTTTGGTTGTTACGGGTGTTGTATTGGTGGATTTGGTTAACAGTAGTAAGGGTGATATTGGAATGAATGTTTGATATTTGAATGTTGTGGATAAATGTGCACGTTTGAAAAATATACAGTGATCATTTTATTGGGATTGTATAGTTCTGCAGTTGGAATATAAAAAAATAAATATATAAAAAAGGTCGCGCTGGATTTTATTTGCCCGTAACTTTCTTAATTTTTGTCCGATTTGAAAAAATGTAGGGATGTCATGAAATCTAAAAATATTTCAAATGTGATAAAATTCGAGATGGCGGAAAGTGATAAAAGTATAACTTTTTATTCGATTGTGGATTCTTACGAGCATTAACCCCAGTTTGCAATTGGAAACAGGACCCGAAGGCCAAAAGGGTGTAATGTTGAGAATTACCTAATCCCAATTCATCATTTGTCACAATTGCTAAAAATCGGTGTGATATGAGATAGTCGCACATATTCATCGTGTGGTATAATATCGCACAGGTCAATTAATTAAGTGCGTGGCCATTTCTAGTCACTCCGTGTAGTTTATTAAAAGTTTTGGATCAAAAAGTTAAATTAAATTGAAACCTTCAAATCAGGCTCACCCTTGGGTTGATTCACTTAAAAATTATACTTATTAATTTTCCTATTCTTACTGTTGAGTATTAAAGAACTAAAACTTTCGAAACATATCAAGGAATTTTTGTTTCAAGTTCAGGAATTTGAACCTGGTCTTCTAAGGGCCAAAATATTTTCGCGGTTCACACAAGTAACGAAACATTTTCTTTCTGTGTCATTTTCGATTCCCCCTGTGCTGAATGGAGGGGATCCAATATTGGGCACATACTGCACATGCAAAGTTGGTGCTAGAACTTTGGGAATGTGCTTCTACATTCCTAGTGTTGTTTGTAGCTTAAGCTACGCTCGACATGAAAATAATGTGAAGTACCAGCCTTTTTTTTGGGGGTTTTGGGGTCCTTTTGTAGGTATCAAACCCCAAAAGCGTCAAAATCGGATTAGTATTTTTCGAGATATTCAAGAAAATCTATGTAGGGATATTTCCTCGGATATTTCCTATGCATACCATAGCAGGATCTATGTACTTTGACAAGCTATATCTTCTATCACAGACATACGATTCTCTTTACATTTCAAATTTTTTTTTGCAATGATGATACCTTTAAAATATTGAAATTTGGTTGAATTTTACGGGGGCCTATTTTCAATGTAAATCGTGCCTCCTTTTTCATAAATTTGTATACATGATTGTTCAATAAATAAATTGAAATTGCCCTATACTTTTACCACTTTCCGCCATCTCAAACTTTTCACATTTGTCATTTTTTCAGATGACATCCCTGTGATATAAGCTTCATTTTAAGACATTTTTTTAAATCGGACAAAAATTAAAAAAGTTACGAAAAAATCAAATCCAGCGTGACCTTTTTGGTAACACTATTTCTAGGAATATAGGGCCGGATTTTTAAAAGAATATGTGAGCTTAGCCACTCAGAATACCTAGTATATTAGGCTATTTATTTGCCAAATCGAAAACAAAAATCCCGATATGTAGCTTGCAGCATCGATAATTAGAAGGCTTGTTTTATCATTTTCAGACCCACTTTACTGGGTCACCCTGTATAGTTAGAGATTTGGTGCAATGATGAAAAATGCTTATTTTTGCTAGTACTACAACATACCAAATTAAAAAAAAAAAAATCAACCGGTCTCCGAAAACCCATAACATGTGTGCCATGTCCTTTATGTAGGAATATAAATGACTTCTAATAATTAATTTAAAGCAATTCCATTAAAACTACTTCATTCATTCTTGTCACTCTAAGCTAACTAAAATTGGCTGTATAAGCCGCAAAATCTAATGAGATCATTTCTATTAGCTGTTCAAATTCATGTTGAAAAGAAAAATGCACCAGTTGAATATCAACAATTTATATTGCAATCTAACATATTTTTGAAAAAGTTCTTCAATGAAGCGTTGACAGTTTCTTCACGAGAAGCAAGTTCCAAGGATAAACCACTCTGCTTTTGATAAAACAGTTCAGATCAATGTTAAGTTTTTTGTTTTTAAGTTTCGTCTGAGGACAAAATTAGCATTTCGGGAAAATATTACGAAATGTGATGACGTTCAGAGGAGTAACAGCCATTCTTATATGTTACAATAGGATCTCAGCACTTTAATAATAATTGAATATCAAATGCATTTCAAACAAATATGTAGTAGAATAAGAATGTGTACCTATATTAAATGATAATAAAAAAATTATAATGGTGATGCTTTTCGACTAGCGACTGTAGTTGAATCAGTCAAGTCAAACTGACCTGTTGTTTTTGACTATTTTTTTCCTATGAAATTTTAACCATTTAAATCGGCCTGAAGATAATTTACTAATCACAAATGGTTTTTATAAAACAAAAATCTTACCTGTTGTCCACCTTGAGTTGAAATCATCTGATTAGCCCCAACAACTACATGTTGTTGAACCAGCTGTGGCCCACTTTTAGTTGCCACCACAGCTTGAGCAATGTTCTGCGGCTTGAGCCTCTGCACCTTACGTTTAGTAGCCGATTGTAGCTGCTGGCTCTGTAGCTGCAGGACCTGACCTAGTTGCTGAGGACTAATCTGTCTGATTGCGACTTTCTGACCTGCTGCGGGAGTGGTTTTGATAAATTGTTGTGTCGCCGGTGTGGTGCATGTCGACATGGTTGTGGACACAGGTGTCATTGGCGTCGCCGCCAAAGTTGTCGATACTGGTGTTGTGGGTGTCGCCATGGTTGTGGCTTTCACTGTAGATGTAAGATTCGCTACTTGGGCAGCGGACAGTACTTGAAGTTTACCATCTGGGTATTGTACAATTTGTTGCCCTGCCGTCAAACCTTTAACAGTAAGACGACCGTCCTGGGTTCGCATTATTTGAACACGCTGAGCGTTATCTCTATTAGTAGATGCAGGGGTTGTTGTAACAGTAGCTGGTACTGTAGATACGACTGCAGAAAAATGGGTATCTCAGTTTTCAATATAATGTTTAATAAATTTTCAAAAAAAAAGCCAAGTTATAATCCCTGTGTATTTCACATAACCATTCAGCGCATGATGTTTTCTTTGTCTGGACTAATAGCAAATATTTGTCAAGTACAATAATAATCTAAAGAGTTATCAATGACATATAAAAAACAATTCCATTTGATTAAAAGTACAGAATGATTGAGGGAAATTCCAAAATTATGTGTATAAATATCAATCGATAAAAATTAGTATTTGATTAATCATTGAATCTTTTCTTATTGTTGGCGATTTTCCAATACGTCCACAATTTGATTTTTTAGATAATTTTCATTCCTTTTATGTTTACACAAAGGCATCAGAAAGAGGTTAGACTGAATTAAAAAAAAAAAAGTAACCTCTCTTCAGAAACACATAACTTCGTTAAAGATTTTCAAAATAGTTCATACTGAAAATAATTCACATTGGTTAATTCAGCAAATAATCGTATTTTCCTTCAAGTTCAATTATATTGAATTGGGTTTTATATTATATTCATAGATAATTAGGATATTTCCACTTTGTTTGTAATCAGATATTTGCTGTTGGTTCCTCTGAAGAAGGCACCATTTGACGGAACAAGTCACGGTTTTAATATAAAAAAAAATTGAGGAAATTATAAATATCATAATTTACTTTTTAAAAAGGGACAACTATAGAAATGAATATAAAGTTTATTAGTTTCACGACTTGAGTGCTACATGCAAACGAAACCAGGCAACCACGGAAAGTATTTAAACTAAACTCCATTTTACAAGTTTTGAAGATAACTTAGGTACATCCATAACTTGTAAAATGGTAAAATCCGTTGCAATTTCAGGACTACCTGCTCCGGCTAAGAGTGTGGCTGTTTTATTACAATTTTATTATAATAGAATGGTAAATAAAACAATACATATCTTCAATTTAAAACAATACATCATATCTTCAATTCGCATTAAAAAAATCTAAATTATATTGGATGTTAGAATAAATTATACTATTTAAATGGACATACATTCTCGCTGTGGCTGCTGTACAGGTTGTTGTATACTGTGCAATAATGGCTGCATAGGAGATTGAATCTTAATGAAGCTTGCTTGATTAGGATTCTTCGCAACACCAGTTGTTACTGTGGTGCTTCCTATAACTCGTGAAGTTCCATCTGGTCCTTTGCTCATTAAAATTCTTTTACCAGCAATTTTATTTTTGTTGGTTAATAGGGATGTCAGGGTATTCTTCCCACTAAGTACAGACTGTGAGGGTACCAAGACGTTTTTGACTAGTTTGGGTGTACCATCAGGACCTGAGACTATGAAACATTTATTGGTATTGACCAAGGTATTTGCTGGAAAAAAATAAAGGGTATACCTACACATGCAAAAAAAAAAAAAAAAGAAGTTTTTGTTTGTTGGAAATCATATTATTTTTCTAACTTTTATTAACAATCCTACCTTTCGGTTGAATCGGTTTTAAAGGATTAGTACTAATGGAAGTACTAGTTGTAGTACTAGATGATTTTTCCGTACTAGAAGATGTACTAGTGGAAGTTGTAGTACTGACGGCCGCTTTTAAAAAGAAAAATGTGTTACACAAATTTCACAATGATTCTTTCTTATAATATTTCCAGACACTTACAGTCCACTCTTAGAAGTTGTGAAGAAAGAGGTACAATTAATTAACACTGAAAATGGGCCAGCGTAAATTTCAAACAAATTTCGATATTTTAAAGGTATCATCATTGTCAAAAAAAATTTGAAATGTAAAGAGGATAGCAGATATAGGTAGCTTGTCAAAGTACGTAGGTCCTGCTATGCTATGCATAGGAAATATCCAAGGAAAGATCCCTACATAGATTCTCTCGAATATCTCAACAAATACTAAACCGATTTTTAGTATTTTCCGATATATTCAAGAAAATCTATGTAGGGATATTTCCTCGGATATTTCCTATGCATAGCATAGCAAGACCTACGTACTTTGACAAGCTATATCTGGTATCACTGATATATGATCCTCTTTACATTAAACATTTTTTTTTTTTTGCAATGATGTTACCTTTAAAATATTGAAATTTGGTTGAAATTTACAGGGGCCTATTTTGAATGTTAATCGTGCCTCTTCTCTTTCTTTGCCAAAATATTTTTCAATACCTAAATTAGGAACAAAGCATGAAGAAAAAAACAACTTACTATGCTCAAGTTCCACAGGACTCTTAACGTTGAGATTTCTAACTTCCAAAGCTCGTTTCTGCTGGTGCGCTGCCCGTTGCGCCCGCAGCGTTTGTTCCAATCTCTCCTTCAATTCTTCCGTATTACTATTAGCCTTGTAAGTGACAGTCACTCTGCCACTAGCCTCAGTAGTAGTTTCCTGCACAACGGGTTTTGGAGCTGGAAGGTTGCCCGTCCGACTCCTAGTGACAACTTGTTGATTAGTTCGTTCAGCCCTGTGTAAAAAAAAAACACACACAAAATGCAGGCTGGTTAGTTACGGGACGGCAAAAAGATTCATGCAGGAGAGAACCCATTTATTTAACGGGATTATTGAGTTATTATTTTAAATTAGATATTGAAGCAACAAAATTCTGACAATTTTTGTTGCTAACCATAAAACTGAGCGTCAAAATTAATGTTAAAAATGAATTAGACACATCAGGAAAAATCAGAGTAATTTTAAAAACCCTTGAACCAAATACCCATTAGGCAGTGGCGTAAATACCATAAGACAAGGAAGCGCAATGCGTTGGGGCCTCCAAGCTAGGGGTGCCTACTCTGAGTGGACAATCCGTTCTTAAAAAAAAGTATGCAAATATTTGAAGCAGTTGTAGTTTCTTTTTAACTGAACCTTGGGTCCCTAGGGACTTTGTTCTGTCAAGCAAAAATATATTTTCTTTTATCATGTCAAGTTTCACAGGTGAATCCGAGGTAGCTAAAACATTAAATCCTCGATTAAATCCAACTGAATGGTCCAGAACTTACTTCAATTACTGCTCCTTAAGCTTACTTCGTTCAAAGCTTCGGTTTGCCGATATTATTAAACCCCTTACAAATATTGAGCTTTCTGGTAAAATTAGTGATGGAAGAATAGAAAGAAGCTGGGCCTATAAAAAATAACTTTGTTGATAACTACTACTTGGGTTAAATTTAAAGTTACCTTAAAGTTTTGTTTTTCTTTGATGAAAAGAACTGTTTTGTTATTATTATGTAAGAGAAACGAATTAAACCTCGTTGGGGTCAAAAAATTCTAGTTACGCCACTGCCATTAGGGCCCGGTACTTTCACTTTTATATAAATTACTACTACTATCTGGCGGCGAATAACAATGTCAGGTCAAATACAGATACCTTCTTCTAAACAATTCGCAATCTGGAAGGTAGGTAACTTTTCCAGATTGACAAACCATTTTCCAGTGTTGCCAAATCGAATTAAACGGAACCCAAAAAAAGAAAAGTATAGACATCTCAGAAATCGTATCTGATAGAAAAAAATAGAAAATAATTATTCTTTTCCAACAAATGAAATGAAACCATTTTTTTTTAGTTTGAGGTTATATTCCATAATGAAATGAGGCAGTCCAACAACAAAAAATCGATTCCAATATGGTCGCTGCAGGAGGGACAAGCCGGTTGCTCATAGCTCTAGCTCTTTAGCTCTTGTTTTCAATTATTTCTTGGTAATTTCATTTCGTTTTTTATATTTTGAACTGATTTTACTAATTTATGTACCTTTGTGTTATAACAGACGTATAAATTTAATCAATAATTGATTATTATATTCAATTACAAACCAAGAACTCTCGAGGTTCACAAGAAAAACACACTTCCCGACCAGATAGAGGAAAATTGACTTGGATGTAATGGGATCGATTTTCGAGAAACGTCGACACACATTGGTCCTTACGACAAAAACAGATATAATTTTTTTTCTCGAAAACTGTTAGAGATAAGCCTATCGAACTTTATATCATTGAAATCAGCAAAAACAGAGCTATCCAATGAGCTATTAATATATAGGGTGTTTCATTTGAAAATATCGGAATTTAGTCGATATCTCAAAATCGGAGCGATATAGAAAAAAAACTGAATCCGCCACTGGATTGTGCTAAAAAAAGTGTCTCCATAATGTTTTTACAGAAATAAAAAAAATTGATAAATAAAAAACTTATAGCCATTTTTCATACAAGGCGAAAATCGAAAATCGCCCTGTATTAATGGTACCATTGAAGATATCGCGATACGGTTTTTGACAATTGACGTTTCTCAAAAATCGATCCCATGACGTCTAGGTCAATTTTCTTCTATTTGGTCTGCAAGTATGTTTTTCCTGTTGGAACACTCCAAATTGCAGCACCCTGTACCTATTAGAAAAAAGAAGAAAAGTTTGTTGATGGAAAATTATTGTGGAAATTGAAAAAGAACCGGAAACACCGAAAACTTCATCTTGTTTGTTTGAAAGTCGGTTTTGTTTGGTGTGTATTGCATTATTTCAATAATTCGTTTTTTGTGTATTAGGGTTGTTTTCTGTGTCGTATGTGAAAGCAACAATAACGGTAACCCAGCTTTAGGATATTATACTAGTTTTCCGAACGATAAACGACTGTAAGTAATCTTTATATTTATATATTTCATATTAGGTTTATGGTGAGTTTATAAGAAAAAATTACAACTGAATCAAGAATTAAGAATTAAAGTTAGCCAACTTTTAACTTCTTAGTTGTTAATTCAGTGAAAATTCCAATGCGCATGTGTTTGGGTTCTGATGCTTGTTTTGGTCAATATTTTTGCTGTTTAATAATAGCTCTGTTTATGAGTTTCTGCAGAAATCACAAACTAGTCAGAGTGAATTTCATTGGTTGAAACTAGTTTTCTGACTGTTTTCAACCAATGAAATTCGCTCTGACTGGTTTGTGATTTCTGCAGAAACAGACCTAATGTGTTAGAAATTGGAAAGTTTTACATTTTGAGTTCATTTGGTTTTTTTGATTAAATTTTGAAAGATTGGAATGGTGAAAAATCGAATTTCATTATGAGATACATGCTATTTTTATTCGCTGCTTCTGAAAAAAAAAGCTAGGACTGCTAAGAGTTTCACCACATCGACCTGTGACTATAATTCAGCTTTCATTTTCTCTATTATGGTATTTATAATGGCTGGGGCTCTGTGGCATTCAAAACAAGCCATTGTGCATGATCCAGTTAAATTTTCAATGTAAATCATCAAACTTAAAAAAATCCTAGTTTGGTCCATATAGTCAGCTCTATGATTCTAGTGTTTCCGATTAATAATGCGCATGGGCAGAATGTGAAAATCCAATCAAATCAAACCAAAATTTAGATCTAGAATTTAACTTCAATAAAATCAATTAAGCTTGCAGTCGGTACATACACTGCATACAAAATCAATTGTTACTGCAACGTACCTGCACTTCTGCAAAAATAAACTCCAGAAATATTAAAAATAAGAATAGAACACAACTGAAATTTAATCAAATTCTGTTAAAACGAAAGTGAACAAAAAAAAAATGAAAAAGTTAGATTAGATGTGCTTTATCTATCAATAATAAATCCTTATTTTACAAAATCAGTGGCGAATATCGTTATCCGTGAGTGAAAAGGTACAATTTTCACTTATCCTACCAATAAAATTTATTCTGCAGAATAAATGTAGCTATTATCATGTGAAAGTACCGGACCGAAGTATAGGTTATTTTTGTGAGAAATATAATATCATAATATAATTTATACTAGATTTTAAAAAGAAAATAAGTAAAGGAAATTAAATGAGTGATTTGCATTCAAGTTTTTCATCCGTATTTGAAATGGGTTCTTCCTGTAAATTTTGAAACTCCAGTGCTAATAAAATAGCTGATGAATTTCAGAACGTGCTCAAATAGTATCGAAGGTGCAATATTGCTGCAGAATGTTTTATTTGAAAAAAATGAAATCTCCATACAGGCAATAAAATGCTCTAGCAAACCCCATAATTTATATAAGCCACAGAACAGTAGGTATATCAAAACAAAAAATTTCAATAATACAACCCTATTACTGTAAAATATTTTATTTAAGAAGCTCCTCTGTATAAAGTTGGTATGTGGGAATTTGTAGAGCATATTAACGGGTCTTCAGAAAAAAATGTAATCAAAAGATGGCTATGATTTTTGAGACGTATGCCTAAGTTATATTTTTCTTTTATTTTGTAATGTCATATCAAAAATCCTGACGAATAAAGAAACAATAATGCAATGTACGTTTTCGTAATCAAAGCCCTCTTTGAATTTAATTTTTTTTCTGGAGACCCGTTATTATGGCTTGCTCGATTTATATTTTGCGCACAAAAACTATAAAAATCAAAAGTGAATGCAAATTAAACAGAAAAAGAAAATAAAATAAAATTTATACATTTTGCAATTCTACTTACCGTTCTCCATACTGCCTGATCTCCCACAACTCCAATTTTTCTTCATCGACCCATTCCTCTGTAACTTGTGGGGCCATCGACTGTGGTGACTCAGGCCTTTTTCTTTTTCTCAATCCACTTCTAATTGAAGTTACCTCCCTAACAGTTTTAGGGAGCTCCAGAGGAATTACAACTTTCCTTCTCAAATATTGGGTTTTTTCCAAGAACTGACCCATATGTCTATGTCTCAACAATTCCAGCGATAAAATTTCAGTATCGGTTGTAATTTGATGTTTGCCTTCAGTGTTCGGTGGTTTAGTTTGGATATCGTCCCATCTCAATGTGGCCCATAAGATTCTCAGTTGTATTGCGGCCGACGCTAAAGACTTTATGTTTGCTGTTCTGTAAGCCCAGCAAGTTTTAAATAAGGGTCTGGCACAGGGATAAGGCCATACTAAATTATTTGGTTTAGCAAGCATATTAAAACCACCAACATATGTTGTACCGGCATTTCGAGCCAGCTTTCTAACTTCATGTTTAGGCAAAACGAATAACGAACTAACTCCTTTTCTAGCTTGGAAACTGGAGACAGACGGATATTTGATTTGGCGTTTCTTGCGCTTCAAATCGACTTGAGTTGGAATTTTCTTCAAAAACACTTTCCCTTCTGTCAATGTACCTGAATAAACTCTTTCACTGCCATCTTCAGCATGTTCGGTTTTTGCAACCCTTTCTTCCCGCTTAACTCCTACTTTGTACTTGCAAAATCTTCGATTTTGTTGAGCTACGTAGGTGGGACTTTTACTGGGACTTTTAGCACTGTAAGTTTGTACACCATTGGCAGTTATGATTTGTGTTGTAACTGGTCTTGGCCCCAAAATCATTTCTTTAATTGCATCGGGTGACATATTTTCCATAGCAATGTGGCCACTTTCATCACATTCAATTTTAAATTTCTTTTTAACTGGGGAAGCAGGTGTACAAGTTACATCAATATCCATCGGCTCGTCTTTTATTTCAGAATTTTCATTCTCTTCCTTTTTAATATCCTCTTCCTTTTTAATATTCTCTTCCTTTTTGATGTTTTCTTCCTTTTTAATACCCTCTTTTTCGATTTTAACGTCTTCACCTATGCTCTCTTCCATTTTAATCACATCCGCTTCAATTTCTTGTTTTATTTCGGATTGTTTAGTTGAATTATGAAAATTTTGTTTAGAGTCATCCTGAGCATTTTCAGCAATAAGTACTTCTTTACACATACTGTTTTTCTCCTGTTCGTTTTCTTTATTTGCTGTAGTTGTATTTACGGGTGCTTTTAAAGTTTGTTCCAAAATGGAAGTTTTCTTTAGAGGATTTAATAAACTGGCCAAACTCACTTTTAAAGGATTAGGGTTGCCAGAAGCATCATGAGCTTTCTTCAAATATACTAAAAGCTCCCTGCGGATTTTTATTCTTTCCCTGCAAGTAGGTGAGTAACAAGTATTTTCTAAGCTGATTGCAGATTTGCACCCTTTTACATAACACTTTAATTCTTGCCCTACTTTGTAATTTGATGCATACTGAGTTCTAAGATAACTAATCTTTTTCGCAAGGAGATTAATAAGATCTGTATTACTGCCAAGGATAGGGTTTGAAGGGCCCGCCTTATTATTTGATTCTTTAGTGTCAATATCAGTGGACTCTTCGTCTTGCTCGCCAGCTTTGTTCTGAGCAATTTTGTTTTCTTCCCTAAGTTTCAATTCAAGCCTTAATGTTAATAGTTCATCAGCAATTCTTTTTTTGGCTACTTTATGGTATAATAAGCGCCCAGGTGCAGATAACTCTCTGGAGACATCCATTACCTCAAATTTCTCTGGTATAGGAATAATTTCAACGTTCCTGATGATTTCTGGAATTGATTCTTCAACTTTTTTATCAGCGTCATTTTTAACTTGATTTATTACATATTTGTACATGTTTGGACTTAGGGAGACAATTTTTTTTACTCCTTCTTTATCTTTGATATGGACCATAAATCTTTGAGCACCACCTGCAAGTCCCAATTTTGTCGAATCCACAAGCCTAAAATTTCTTGGTATTCTTATCCACAACCAACCCCATTTCCCATGTATCCTATACTCTTCCCCTTTTTGTTTCCATAATTGGTGTTTAAATCCCATAGTATACTTTGTATAGCTACTTATAATCAACCTATTCCTTTCTTCTTCCTCTTCCCGTTCTTTCTTTTCACGTTTTTCCAATTTTTTGCGTTCTTCGCGATCTTGAGCTGTTATTCGAGTTAATTTTGTATGCCCTAGTTGATCGTGCCAAACATTTGCAAAGCAAACAGGTTTAATGCAAGCCTGTAAAGCGATTAAAGCTTTAACAAAATCCTTTGGAGTTTGACAAGATGCTAAAACATTCAACCAAGGTTTACGTAATGATACCCAGTTTGTATGCATGAAAACTGTTGGAATCACTTGTTCTAATTGCATAATACTGTGCCTTACAGTATTCATCATAAGAATTTTGGTACCATTAGTTCCACCTACCCATTTGAATTCTGAAGCAGGTGTAAGAGAGAATTTGTGAGATAGATGACGTTTTTTATCTCTTTCTTCATTTCTTTGAGGTTTATTCAGTGCTATTGGGTTTGTGCTAAATTGATTAGTATAGCTTTTGCAGGTATTTTCCATTCCTAATTTGAATAGGTAAGTCCCATTAGCCATTTGATTAGCTTTTTGTCTGGTTAGTCTAGAATCGTTTCTATCATCTTCAGTGCATACCCTTTTTTTCGAGTCATCAATATTGAATGTTCTTGGTGTAAGACTGCCTGTTTTTGATCTTGTCGTTACTAATGAATCCTTATTTGTATCATCATCAATTTCAATCACTGATGAATTTTTAACAGTCACAGAAGAAGCTGTAGCTGTAACTTCATCTGTAGTTGTCTCTACAATTTCACTATACACAGCAGCCGGGACATCAGTCACTTCTTGCATTTTATCGAGCAAATCATCAAAGTTTTCACAACATTTTTCTTGCCTTTCCTCTTGGGATTTTTCTTCTTTTTCTTTAATTGCTAATAAAATAGCTGCATGTTCAGATTCAAAATAAGTTTTTTTGTTGGCCTTAAACTGGTTAGTTAATTTTTCAGTAAGTGTCATTTGCCTGACAATCTCTTCTTTGCAATCATCAAGCTCCCTGTATAAAGCAGCTTCCATATTATCTTGGTCTAATGTTTTAAGAAGTTCTTCTAATTGGATTTCAATGCTGTAATACCACACTTCTCCATCTTGACTTTCCCTGTTCGAAAATTAACCACAACGAAATTATGACTTGAAATTATCAAAATAATTTATATACTTACACAAAAATTCTTCTACAAAGAAAAAAGTACTTCCTTCCATGCCTATCATAGCCCAAAGGTTCCTGCCTATATAGTTGACCTTGCTTCTCTATATCCAGTACACAATCGACCACACCAGAAACTCTATGCGAACGACATATACCACATTGCCAATCTTCCTCAGGGATGTTCTCTAAGGGGGGATCCACACATTCCAAATGGTAGACTGCTGGACAAGTTTCACAGCAAAGAAGGTCGCCAAGTTTATGACAGACTCGGCAATGATCGTCATAATGCATAGGCACTAGAAAAAAGAAAATAGTATGATCCATCTTTGAACCATAAAGCTCTAAGTTCTATTGGCATAAAAATGACTTTTTTTGCTATCCCATCTATGTAAGTAGCACAAAATATTTTTTTGAACAATGCTAATGATACATTTTTAAAAGATACAAACAACATTGTGACATTGTGACCAAACTTTGGTTTGGAAATTTCCAAAAAATTTCATAAAAACATAATTAAATGCATTTTTTTCCCCACATTTTGTCAACAATTTTTTTTGGACTTCATGTGACAACACCGCATGGGGGCCCCCAATAATGACTTTCAAAGTAGGAAGTTAAAATAATAGATAATATAGCCCTTGAACCTGCCTTTTGTACTGGCGCCTGTGCACATTCTGGCAACACTGTATAGGGGTACCCTGGGATGACAGCCCTCTAGTGCTTGAAATAAAAGAGATAGGCATTCAACCCTTTTTCGTACTTATTGCTCAACACTTGTATACCAGATAACTAGAACTTTTGCCAAATAATTTAACCTTGATAAAATAATCTAGCAAATTACGACGCTTATCAGAAATTCCAAGAAGGGAAATGTCGAGACAATAATTACAAGGAAATTGAAACACTATATATTATGAAACCTTGACATCAAAGCAAGCTTATTCGAGAATTGGACAGATAGTGAGAATAGAAAATTAAAAAAGCCAGTTGACTCAGGCACAACAGAAATTCGCAGCACCAGCTGATTTAGTAAATTACAATGAATGCAATACCTTCTTATCAAACTTTAACATTATGCCTGACTTATCAAAAACTATTGATAAGTTTTATAATGTGGCTATAAATTCTTGTGTGTTTTGTAGTCCTTTGTCTTATTTGCTATGCATATAACTACTATTATAGTTTGTAAGGTTTTTAAGTGAATAAATAAATTTAATGGAGAATACGACTCAAGCCTCAAATCAAGCAAAAATAGGCAAAAAAAAACTGCTAAAAGCCACTTAGATGGTACTGGAAAGTACGTACTAATTTATGGGCTGAAGCAGTGGAAGAACTGACTGGCAAAGCTTTGAAACTGCTCCAGATAAATATTTATTTTCAAAATTATTAATAGCAAACATTTTTGGAAAAAATGCAGGAGTGTGTTGAAGCCAATTGGGAAAATGTCTGCATTCATTTTATTTTTACTGAAAAATTAGAAATATTAGTTTTCAAAAATTATGTAGCACCAGACAGTTCAATTCCTTACAATTGTCTTTTAGGTAGGGTTTTATTATGATTGACCAAATCGAATTTTCTTTAATAGGAGACCAAGTCAAAATGATGCCAACAGATAAATATCAAGGTGACAGTGACAGTAAATTATTCAACATCCTAAAAATTGATAATGTTGATAAAAACGAAGTTGACTTCAATATTATTCCTTCTTTGTGTTCTTTAGCAGCAAAGAACAATAATTACAATACCGAATTAATAAATGGAGCCTGGAAATTTAGAGTGCAGCAGGCGTTGTTTAAGGAAAAAGGAGTGGAAAAATGGATTAAATCTGAATTTAATGATAGTAAATACTAAGATGAGAGAGAGAGAGAAATGAAAAGATAAGGCAACAAGGCAAGCAATGCAAATCTATTAATTGTAGTCCAGTGTTTGGACTGGATATAATTCAAGATAAAAATAATGTTTGCCAGATGTGGGCGGCTATGAAAGATCGATATGAGGAGAAAGAGTAAGAAGTAACTTGGCAGAAAATTAGAATTTACAACAAGGTTCACAGAAAGATCAGGTCAACAGAAACATTTGATTTCTTAGAGAAAAACAAATAGGCGCAAAATCAAGAAATATGGATTACAGTTTTTTAATGATTCTGGGTGTAGGTACCCCTAGTTCAAATAAAAAAAAGGATGTTTTGAAAAGGGTAAATGATTTGATTTCTTTTAAAGCAGAACTAGAAGCCAGAATACTTGGGCAAAAAGTTGGTCATGGACAATAATGGGCAGTTCTCCCGTAAAGGAATACACAATTATTTTTTTTCAAATTTTTTTGTACTTCATACACTTCTCTATAATTTGGTATTATATATACTGGGTGTCCGTTTTTCCAGGTCAACCATTGGGATCTCGGAAACAGTAAAAGATACAAGATCGGTTAAATTAGGGCAAAGTTGCGTAATTTGAAAAATGGACACCCTGTATAATTCAGGCTTGACAAAAATCCTGATTTTTTTTCAAAGAAATCAAAAAAATACTTTTTTAAATTTTCAATCAGATTTTTTTGAATTAAGTAATTTCATTAATTTTTGATCCATTATTGTAACACAGTTACAACAGCAAATAATTGCTGAGGGACGCAGTAAATATTAATCTCGATATTAATACAAGAAAAAGACAAATATTTAAAATTTGTAAAAAAATATTTAAATCAGCATAAGCTTGAAAATATTTTTACGGGTGCTAAAATATTGAGGTTGAAAATTTTGAAATGAAAACCCAAAGGGGGTACCCTTGAAAAATAAGTCAAAAACGAAAACTTTTAATTTTTTGCGAATTTTTACAATTTCAATCGATAGAGCAAGTTCTAATTATTCAAAAAAAAATTCTTACATCATTTCCAAATGACAAATTCAAAGGGAAAAAAAATTCCTCGAAAAAATCCAAAAGAAAACAATCAATTTCAATTTTGTCTCTGGATTTTTTTTCAAGTTTTGACAAGGCTAAGAAGAATTGCTCATATCTAAATTGAAATTTGAGCAAAGAAAAATGAGTTTTATATCGTTAGGAAGAGCATTGAATTCTCAATGAAACTTTGCTAAATTGGTTCTGAAAGTTCAAATACATACTTTTGAGCAGTTGAGCCTCAAAGTTGGAATTTCGTCAAAAAAACTCAATATTCTTAATAACTATAAACCTGGAAATATTTTCCAATACACATTTTTTGAACCCTAATGAAAGCTGCAATTCCTGAAAATTTTGATTCAATATCTCCGAGGGGTGCGCAGAGATTTAAATATGGTGTACACTTTGCTTTTAAATACATTTTAAATGTTTTTGAATCTCTGTTAAATCCTCCAAATAAATTATTATTATATTTAAAATACTTTTATTTTTAACCATACATGTAATGTTGACATTACAGTCTTTTTAAAAAATTGAAAATGTCACTTTACTGGACGACCAAACCATAAAAGAATATTGGGCACTCCATGGAAAAACAATTGATAACACCGGTTTATGAACCGGCCTCATGAATTGTTTGTCCGTCATGACAGAATATGACCATTTGAGGCAACCATGGTTATTTTTGAGAAAACAAAAATTCAGATAATTATTTTTAATTTGGAGCAGTATTGAATACAAAGATATACATATATGAAATATTATGCAATTTGTATTTACATATTTCAACACCTTACCTAAGTGAATTAGAAAAAAAAAATCAGAAAGTCTGAAATAATTCAAAAAGAAACGAATTTTACTCGGAATTTTATTACTTTTCAGTGAAGCAAGTTTCTTGGCACAGTCATGTTACAATTTTATTAATTTTCAGTGAAGCAAGCTTCACAGTCATATATTTAGTAGCGGTTAAATAATTCCCATAAAAAAACTTTATAGCCTCTGACATCAGCTCCACTGTAAATACGCTACCAAGTGAACGTAAAGCCATCAGTCCCCTAATAATGAAAAAAAAATCTATAACTCAGTTACTAACTTACAAATTTGATTTTTTTAATCTATTTCTGAATATAGCACCTAATTCCTACAAAAAAAAATTTCCATTGAAGTTAGCTTAACTATAAATACAAACCAAGTAAACATAAAGTCAGCAGTCAGCTAACAATGAAAAAAAAATCTAGTTGAGTTACCGATTAACTAATTTTTATTCAATTATTTAGGAGCGCTTGAGTATATAGCACCTAATTCACATACAAAAACATTTTAGCCTCTGGCATCAGCTTTGCTGTAAATACACCACCAAGTAGAAGGCATAAAGCCAGCAGTTCCCTAATAATACAAAAAATCTATATTCTGATTCAAGTTTTTCTTTGACTATTTAGGAGCACATGAAAAGCACCTAATTGAAAAACAAAAAAATAAATAAAAAAAATATACATATTTTTTATTAAAGGGTGCTGCTAGCTTTCACGTCCTGTTTCACGTAGTAGTAAACATGTTTTATTGTCCAAGAGTACGAAAAATCTTATTGACAAAGCTGACTTAAATCTAACAGCAAGTGAGCCCAGCATGCCTGGAATAAATGACTCAATGAATGAATGAATCCCATAAAAATACACATAGGAGGGACATACTCATAAACCTAGCAATCCCCTTGTTTTTTTTCTGATTTTCTGAAAAAATAAGGGAGCACCTAATTTTCAAAAAAAAAATATACCTATATATTATAGGGGACTGCTAGGTTTATGAACCTAGACTTGATGTAAGCCAGGCATGTATGTAACATCGCTATTTTCAGGTTTCTATACGAGATTCTAATATTATCGATATATTTGGCTAAGAAAATATTGCATTAGAAATGGAAACCAGTTAATTAATAAGAGTTTTCTCTAAAAAAAAAAAAAATCAATTATGTTCCTTTTTGGTACCTACACCTGATTGGTATTTATTATATTTTTTGATAATGATGATGGTTTTTTTCTAACAATAAATGAAACAAGTTGAGTATTAAATATTAATAGAAATTTCCTGAATAATATAGGTAGGTGTTGAGGTAGGTATACTTAATGTTCCAGTGTCAGAAAAATACATTAATATTTAATACCAAAGCCAATGACTTCATTTTGTTTACATCAGAACCAGTTCTAAAACCATTTAAAATCTGTGGTTAACTATTGATACAAATTGCTGATTGTAAACAAAACATAGCCAAACTTTCACAAAACATTAAAAGTTAAAAATTATTACCTTCACTGGTTAAATCTTCTCTCACTGGAGTCGTGGTTAAAAATTGATCGGTTAAAAACTGTAAAACTTTGATTCTATTTTCCATTCCCGAAAATGGATAGTTTGTAGTGTTCAATATATCCAGTACATTTTGGTTAAAGCTTTTATCACTCTCAACATAGGATCTTAACACTTCTGGGTATGTGAGATTATCAATTGAGAACAGGACAATGTTGACACTATCTTTTTGATCTAGAGGTCCGAAATGAGTTTGTTGTGCATCTTCTTCTCTTAATAAGGCTTTTAATAACATTATGTGGATTTCTGACAAAAGACTACATTGTTCTTCAGATACTAATGCTGCACAGAAATCTTCCAATCTAAATGGTGATAATCTCATCAAATTTCTAAAATGTCTCATCACTTCGTATGTGCTAACAACATCCATAATAAGCTCTTTTGGTACAAGTAAATCGTCTGATGATTTTGGTATTTCCAGTAAGGGAATATCCTTGTTTTGAAGCCATAAAGGTTCTGGTGTCAGTGTAAGTTTCCTAGAGCCTAGGCTATTGCTTAAATTGCTAAAGCTACTAAAAGAAAACTCACTATCGCTGGTGTGATGTTCTATTGACTCAGTATCACTTTCTGATAATACATCTTCAATGTCACTTTTATCACTGTCATCGTCTCCAAAATCTGAGCCATAATGATACTCAGAATCTTGATAGTCATATCCAGTATTGTACCCCCTGCGTTGATAAGCTGACCCAGCATAACCAGACTTTCTGCCAGCTCTATGTCCATCCCTATGCCCATCTTTTCCTTTTATTCTAGTACTGCTTCTCCTTGACTCATTTTCTTGTGGAGAAGAGGTTCTAGATGCTGAAGATGTAGTAGAGGGTGAGTCAATACCTTTCTGATATTTTTGCAAGTACTTCGGCTTTTTAAGTAAATGATATTGGAATTTTTTACCCCTATCAGCAATAGGGAGCTTGGGGGGACGCCCCCTCTTCCTAGCTCCTCTTCCTGACATTTCTTGTTAAAACGTCATATGATAGTCGAAATACACGTGGGTTACACAAAAACAAACTCGTACACAATAGTAATGTCAAAAGTTTACTGTGTGAAAATTACTCAGTGTGCCTTGATTTCTTTAGCCAATCGCCATACTAATCGACTCCGTCACGTGACAACAATGAACATTTTCGCATTTTACGAAATTATCCCTTCACTATTCACACGAAATCACCTACAAATCGAACTAATGGGTCCTAATCTCGCCACTCAAGGGGTTAAAATCGCAATGTTTCTCGGCGATTAACGAAAATGTCGGATGACGCGTACCTACCCAAACCCAAAAAGAGAAATCAATTGACAATTACCAATGGCGTCCTGTTCTCCTATTGGTCGCCGAGAACACCGCCATGACAGATCGCAACATTTTTTAAGAAAATTCACCACCCTTGCAGAAATTTTGAGGGCAATGTTTTAATTATACCCACACGAATTTCCCGAGCACAATTTTCACAGTAAAAACCCGAATATATACCGATAATGCGATGACGATGAATTTTTGCGAAACGATGCTAGGGCGACGCTTCAGCCTTGCATTTGCATTTCTATTGACAAATGCCAGTGCCCAGTATCGATAAAAGATGTCGTTTGTGTCGGAATATCAATTATTTTTAAATATTTTCGAATTGAACGGGAAAAATGGAAAACTGTATGGAAACTCATTGGAATTTAATGTTTTTCCGTGTTTTTTTTGTTGTGCCTCCAGTTTATTTTTTCAAAATTTTGTCAAATATTACGTAACCATTTCGGCGCAGACATAATGCGCCAAATTCAAATTTCCAAATAAAAAGGGACAGAGCTAGTGCTGTGAGCGAGCAGTCCAAAGCTAAACGAATGAGCCTAGGGGAAAAAATGTAGTACTAGTACTAGGCATTTTTCACGGAAATGCTGATCCGATTAAAGTACCTAGTACTCATAAATGCGAATCACGGATTTTTTTGTCTTTATTTGTTGGTATTATGTTCATTTTTTATTTTATTTTCTCATGCAGAAGTGAAAACTACATTAAAAAAAGCAGAGTGAAATACCTATTTGCGGTTTATTTTCAATGGAATTTTGACTAGACAACTGCGTTTTTTTTTTGACAGTTTCTACCTCTGCAAGAGAGAATAGAATAAAAAATAAACAAAGATTGCAAAAAAAGCTCTGCGAATTTCGCAGAAACTTGAAATGAATATACCTATTTAACTTCAATTTTCAACCCAAAAAGTTGAAAATACCCGCAATAGTTTCGCGCCCTATCAAATTTAAATATTTTTGACCAATTGAAAAAGTTCCGAATAAAAATCCCTGACTCCCAGTTATGTAATGGTTTTTCCCATTTTTTCAATGAACACAATTGAAAAAAGACAAAGTACATCAGCTGGTGTTCGGATCAGCGTTTCCCTGAAGGCCTTGACAGACAACAAATTCTCCTATTTCTCCTAAACCTCAGGGCCATGCAACCCGATAGGCTACTCCATTGGCGTGCCGTTAGAGTGGAACATAAAAATAAATTAATATTTTGTTGTTATACCTGAATTTTTGAATAGAAATTAATTTGTTTACTGATGTTCAGAAGAAGTGTGTTAACCTAGGATGAAAACTCCATTTGGCGATATGTGTTGTAAAATACAAAACATTTTAATGTTAATTAAAACTCAAACAAATTCACAAGTAATCAATAAAATTACGCTTGCGCTTCAGCATTTTGTGCACAATTCAAATTTCAAAATGCATAATGTATGTATAAAAGTTGGCTAACTTTTTGCTATTTATAATTGCATCACAAATTAATCAAATATGCATTATCCGCTAGTTATGCGCTGTATAAACAGATAAATGTATTTATTTTTAAAATTATGCATTATGAATGAAATCAGATCAAAATATACCGCTGGCCAAATCAACCTAAGGGCCGGTTTCTCAATTGCTAATTGCTGCAAGTCACCCCTGGCCGGGTTAAGCATAATTACCTATCTACAGGGTAAACATTGCAACATTGCAACTGGAAAGGACACGTTTATCCTGGAGTTAAAATTGCTAAAAACAATATATAGGATATTGGTATAACTTTATTTTGTAAATTTTTTGACGAAAGGGTTGGTATCAAGGTTGTGTTTGTGGATTATCAAATTTAAATTATCATTTCTTTTTGTTATTGATTTTTTCGGATCGTGAACACTCAAACGAATTGGGCAAACGTCAAACGTCAATCAGAATGTCACTCCAATCCAAGTTGTAACCGAATCGTGATGTAACGAGCAATGAGCAAGGGTTAGGTGGAGAGAGAAGGGCGTGAAAAGAAAGAGGTTATATGTGGTGACAGCCAAAAAAAAATTGAAAAAATAAAGTTAAGTAATCCATATTAATAAAAATAGAGAAAAAATGAAGTCTCCAGTGAAAATGTATAATTTAAAGCCGATTGTAGAACAGGGCTTTACCGTAGAACTTCCAAAGTGCATGTACAAATTGAGCAATATTCATGAAAAGAGAAGCACAGAAGAACACGTTTCATCGCCAGCAAGAAACTTGGATATTTTCGACCAGGTTAAGCAGTTTTTAAAGGTTTTTCATAATTTTTCTACTTACTGGCTTTATAAGTCTAGTTAAAACACTTTTTGTTCAAAAAATTCGCTTGTACTCACCATAATCCTCCAAAGAATCACTTGCTCAATACCACAGTTATCAATTTCTGTGAACAACTGTCAAGTATAACTGAAATATCTAATGAAATAATGAAACTCATAAGTGGAACTGACTGGTGGAGCATCAAAAGTCCACAGACAATGAATTTTATATAATATAAACTTAAGTCAATTTTTAAAGAAGTGAACATTTTTGTAGCTCCAAATTTATATAATTTTAATTTATTTAAGAACTTTCCCTTAGAACTGCCAAGATATCCCAGGAATGGCGGAACTTGAGGCTAAGCAACACAACATACTGGAACAATTAGCTGAGTTGAAGAAGCAAATATCTAGTCTTAGGCAAAATTTAAGCATTCAAAGTGATGAAAACTCTAAAAACACCATTCCAGTTATGCAGTGCATCAAACCGATATCAAATGTAAGTATAATCAGCATTTAATACTTTGCTACCAAGATTCAGTTGAAATTTCTATAGCTAGTCCTTTTTCCCAAGGGTTTTTAACAAGTTTTTCTCAAGAAAATAATTATAGCTTAGGTAACTCTGTAGTTATAATTGTCTTGAGAAAAGCCTAACATGCATGGGCGTCGTTTGGGGGGGGGGCAAGGGGGGCATTTGCCCCCCCCTAGAAATAGTTTTTTGAACAAGAAAGCAGTAAAAGAGAGTTCGTATTCGTATTGCTTTTTTCCATTTTTTCAAAATTTGTTAGGTACTTTGAAAAATTGGCTGACATTTTCATTACATTCAACGGAATTGAATTTCACTTGACTTAGGGCCGGTGTTATAAAACACTGAACCGATGGTAGAGTTCCAACCTTCGGTTGAATCCTATCAATTTGCATGGAGTCAACCCAAGGTTGAAACTCAATCATCGATTCAGTGTTTTATAATACCGACCATTTGAAAATTACCTAAACAAATGCAGTGGCGACGCCAGGGTTCTATGTTAGGGGGGGGCATTTGTTTTTATTTTACTGCTTTACTTCTTTGGAAGAAAAAATGGGAAGTACCTGTCGACACTATTATGTTTGAGGTAATCCCAGGAAACCGAAAGCAGCATCGTAGTTGCCTGTGCCCAAGAATACTCAACCTAATAGGACTGCTTCTTGAGCTGAAAATGTCTGCCATCTCAGCCGAACACCTTAACACTTGGCGTAAATTGCATTAGCCGAGTTTAAAACAGTCACAGGTCATAGTAATCGTTATAATCTTGTTAAAATCACCTTTTCTACATTTAAAATTGACGAAAAAACAAGCACAACCTGAATCGCAAACATCCCATCGAGGCCTGCGGGTAACGTCATCATTATAAGCTGTTATGCTGCTAACTACTAGTGACGTCACTCGCAGGCCCTGCCGACTCGAGAGTTGACGAACGTACGCCTTATGAGGATGAGAATTCCTGTTAGTTTACGATTCTTGGCCTGTGCTCACCGAATACCGAATTAACCGACAGAGGCTGCTGATGTTACATTGCGTTGTTATCGACATGAGAGCATGTTTTCCGGGGGAGGCGGCTAAATTTCAGTGGCGGCCCCGGCCTCCTCTGGCCCTCCCCTGGCGTCGCCACTGAACAAATGATGCGGACAGTGAATTTGTTGCGGAAAAAAATACCATCATTTTTAACTAAATATCGATATTAACTAAGTATCTTAAAATGCTCAAAAAGGGGCGTGGCACTGGAAAAAATTAGCCTACGGCGGTTGCCTGCGGCGCTGATGGAAACGGTCTTATTATAATACTGCCCCCCCCCTGAGAAACCTCGTAACGACGCCCATGCTAACATGTCAAAACCATTGAAGAAATTCCACATTAATATTTGAAACATGAAAAATCAATTTTCTTTCCAAAACCATGGGTACCTAACTATTATATATTCATCCTGTATTGTTTTTTCTTCCGTAAAGATATAGCAGCTTTGTTTACCACCACAAATAATGAATTATTAAATATTTAGTGTTGTTAACATTTGGTTTTGAATTCGAATCAAATGTGCTATATCTTTGAAGTTGTCCTTAAGCCATTTTCCTACCCTACCCGTTCTTCTATGGCATAGTGTTGCGGTTTTTCAAGAAGTCTCTGTCAGTGTATGCTCTCAAATGCTTTCTGCTATAGCTCTGATTTGCAAAATTGCTTTTGTGAAATTCATACTGGCCATTCAATTTATTGTTTTCCTTGAGGTTTGCCCAAATCTTTAGGAATAACACTTCACTTTTTTGCCAGTGTTATTACAAGGCTTTCAGCTGATTGATATAAATTACCAAAATACAGCAATTTCTGTGATTGTTCTACAAACGTAGAATGTCAGTTAAGTTTCTAGAATGCGAATTATTTTGTTTTGTTTCCTTCCACCCAATCTTATCATAAGACGCTGTACTTTTTCCATATTGCACATCTTTTTGTTGTTGTAATAGGTATTTTGATTTTTGCACTCACACATAGAATAGAATAGAATAGAGAAAACTTTATTATGCACCAAACAATAAGTTAAAATACATAAAAGGTATTACATTCGCCAAGCGTTCTTCCATGTTACCCTTTGAAACTTAAAACTCACTACATATAGGTACAAATAATACTTAGGCTCATCAGGCCTTACCTTATTATACTAGGGTTTGAAGCAGGCAAGTCTTATATTTTTTCTTATATGTGAAAACCGAGTTATTGACAATGAGATCGAAGATTTCTGAGTTGAGCAATTCTACAACTTAAAAGGCAAATGAGTTTCTTAACTTAGAGTAGTTATGTCGAGGTATATTAAATCTTACAATATTCCGCAAATTTCGATTAGATAAGTCTTCTCGGGCTACCACACATGCAAGTATACATTTTAGTTTCATTGAAATCACAGTCAAGTAAGCTCAGTGAATTTACACTTTTCATAAGCTTTGGTCTACTCCTTCTTTGCTTGAAACACTAGGTGATTCTACCTCGTCATTTTATTACTATATGGCATTTCTTGAACAGTGTAATTTAATTTTACCTACCTTTGTGATATATTCGATTATTGAACCAACAAAATACACAATTAAAGAATTGGCTTATTTCAAATTTACATAAATAGGTCTGAAATCTTTGAGGATTTTTTGATTTTTGTTTTAGAATGCTCTACTCTGAGGAAGTTTTTGAATGTTTAATCCAATTTCTGCAGTATTTTTAGCTTTTCAGTCCCTTTTGAGCAGGACTCTAAAGCAAATCTCTATGGCCTCAGCCAAGCTAGTGGAGATGTTGATTTGACTTTGCTTTATGTTATTACCTAGGTATCTTTTAGAATTTTTATTACAAGACTTTTTTAAATAGGTTCATTTTATGATCTTTAGAATTAAGTAACATGGTGTTCACTCATTAAATATATTTTTTTTCCAGGCCAATTTACTACCAGATACTCTAGTAGTCAATTCAAACCCATCCAATCCACCTTATTCACTGGAACTGCTACAGAGACTACTACAAAAACAAATTGGCTTGACTGTCACCTCCTATCTACATTCTTCAGTTTCTAGTCTTCCAGAAGAATCATCCAAACTGAAAGACTCCTTAGTGAACTTCAAACCTCTAACTGGTGTACCTGTGATTAATATTAGCCTTATTTGGAAAAACAGTAAGACATTTTCAGTTATTGTTTCAATAATTTATCAGTCAATTATTTTCAGTTAATTCTAATGCAGAATTCCTAATCACCCACACACCAATCTCGGGAGAAGTTAATTTACTGAGATTCCTATCTCGATCAGCGAACACAAACCTTAATTACGATGCCGAAGCAAATTCATTCGAAATCGATTCGCTCTTGGATCAATCCTATTTGTTAGTACGAAGCAAAACTAAAGTCGAACGTGCAGGTATCCTGCAAACTTTCAACCAATCTTTGGGCAAAGCTGAATGGTTGCTAGGCAAGAAGCAAGCTGGAATTGCCGACGTTGCCGTTTACTCAGCCATAAAACAAGCAGCAGTAGCAAATCAATTGAGTGCTAATTTAGCTAAGTGGTACCAGAGATGTTGTGTTTTAGTTGCTGCATAATAAAAATTTCTTTTTGAAGTAACATTTTTTTTATTATCAAAGTTATATCTAATATAAAATGGTGGGCATGTAGAATCGTGCTCCTTATAAATTGGTTGTAATAACATTATTAGACGACTTTTTCATTCACATAAAACCTAATTATTACATGTAAATGAGTCAGTTGATTGTAAGTAGATCAGTTTTTGTTGTGTTCTTATTTACTTTCTTCTTTCATTAAGTTGTAACCCTTAACTAATGCATAAACTATATTTTTTTAATTCCCTTTCTATTGATCATAATTGAGATTTTTTTTAAAACCCCATCATTCGGATAGTATAATACTCATAGTCGACAGCAGATGTCGTGATATTTCTAGCAACGTCTTTTGTGTTCAATAATCGTCTAGTCGAATTATTGAAAATTAGTATTTGTGTTCAATTTCATCATTACATTGGTTGATTTCGTCATGAGTTGTTGTCATGGTAACGTCACTGTCAACAAAAACCTTGCATTAAAGAACGAAAATGTCGGAATTATCTCAATATGGTGTTTTCTTCGACGAAATTGATAAAATGTGTATTTTAGAACCCACAAATTACAAACAGACAACCAATTTAAAAGAGGAAAGTTTCATCTATGTGGAAAGTAAGTTCAAAAGAAAGTAACGTTTCACCATAAAATTGAATGGCTGCTTTTTAGAAATAGACGAGTTCCAAAAGATCGCAGATAAGTTTATTTCTACAGTGCAAAATTTGGGCGAAAAAATTGAAGTTCAAAAAATTAAAGCCATTGGAGCGCGCAATTTGTTGCAGTTAATGGAAAAACAGAAAGAAAACAATCAACAGCAGATGCGTGTAAGTGGAAACCTCCACCATCAAATGACTTATGTATTGACTTAAAAACAAATTTATTTAAGGCCATAGTAAAAGAAGTGTCCATGGAGGTAGAGAGGCTAAGGGTCCAACTGCATTCTCTACAGAAAACTGAAGCGCAACAAACTGATTTTTTGAGTCAAATGAAACATAACTAATATTTTTATAAACTTTATATTAAACAAGGGATATATCCATAAGGGAAACTGAATCTTGTTGTTTAATTCAGGCTCATTATTCAAGCAACTTCCACCTTTGCTAAATGCATATATCAAACATTTTATAGGGCTTTTCAAAACTGATTTTATGCGAATCTCTTAATAAGAACTTGTGTACTCATAATGAAAGCCGATTAAATGTTTTAAAAATGTTCACCACTTGCAACATGTTCAAAATAAAGGCAAGTCGGTATGGAAATTCCTTCTAGACACCACTCAATTGATCCCTATCTACTGGATCAGATATCTAAGATCGTCGTCATCGAAATTATTGGGTAGCAGAGAGGGCAACACACCTGCATGATCTTTCACGTAATTCCAGAAAATATTCACATGATGTCAAATTTGGGTATCTCGCAGGCTAAGCACAAATGATCAAGATCTTGCTGTTTTCTGATGAATCCATAATTCATCTCCTGCAAACTTCTTATTGGGTGGTATTCTTTATTTGGAAAATGATTGAATCTGAATTCACTACTTGCAATAAAGGAAAGAACTAGCCTTGGTTGGAGGACATTGAGTAGGACTGTCATTCTTTTAGGCCTCCTACTGGAGGCATATATGAGCCATAAACCTTGTTTTTAGACACAATCCATAAGATCTTGGATTCCCAATTATGTAGTTTGAAATAATTTTAAAGGCCAACTGTATCTGGGGTCGTATTTTCGAATTCATTCGAGAACATTTCGTACACGAAATTTGACTGATAGCAATGTATATTAAATGGGGAGCATTCGAAGTCGTATCAAATTTCGTATGCGAGAATATTCAAAAATACGACCCCTGTATCTGTAAGTTTGGGAGGGAGGTATGGCATGCCACAGCACTTAGGTCACATTAGGCCCATTGTGCGCCTGCACAAGAGGAGAGGTCATCCTTAGCTCTTCATCCAGCCTAGCGATTCCACGTAGGCGATGACCTCTGATCTCTTCTAGCGATGGGTACGATTGGCCTAATCTGGCTCTGCGTATTAGCGAAAGAGCAGTGCAGTCACAGAGAATGTGCTCTATCACCTCGTCCTTTTGATTACAAGCCCTACACAAGATGCCCGTTATTAGGCGTAGCCGTTTCCTGGTCAACGACAGCTTCTGGTTCGCTGCAGCTTTATCTGGGTAGCTTAGCAGTTCCTTGGATAAGCTGCAGCCAATTGTATCGTCCCAGCGCATTGAAAGCGGAGAAGCCTGAAATTGCCCAACCTATTTTTTCCTCGTATATTATCTGATTCACTAGTTGCCAATCAGCCACAGAGGGTATGTATGTTACCTGCGTCTGATCCTCCACAATTGTGGTTGTGGAGTCAGGAAAGTGGGTTGCTAGTAGCAACTCTGTGCTTTCTTGAAGGTTGGCAGTGAAGGTGCCATCCGTCTTGCACAGAATACCAATTTCCCAAAATGGGTTTTTATTAAGAGCTCTCGGAAGTCTCGCCGCTTCCATATAGTTTTCTATTTCGTTGCAGTTTGTCCTCCAGGCTCTAAATAATGATAAAGTCTGTTTTGAAAAAATAAGAAAGTTCGATAATTTACTATACAAACAATATCTCAACTTGAACAGATGGAAATCTTTCTTTTCTTTTCTTGATTAATAGGAAAGGAATAAAATGGGAACATGCTTCAGGCCAAAATAATACACGAAAAATATTTAAAAAAATTGTCATTAAAATAAGTTTTACAATAATAAATTATCTACCTATTAACAAAAAAAATTTATACAACCTTCTATATGGAAAACTAATATTGAGTATGACAAGTGATTCAATATATATGTATATATATATTTGTTATACATTACTATCAACGCACAAAAAACTGCATGATAATTTACAATGAGAAATGTTTTTTACCATCCTAGATTTTCGCAACATATTTGAAAAAAACTTGTACTTTGTACAAAAAAACTTTGGGGTCTGGTACACCTTGAGGATAGCCAAAATAATCGATATAGTTCAACTTACTCTTCATGGAACAGTGAGGATGATTCAGAAGTAAAAGCCAGTCAGAGGGCAAGAAAACTTGCACTTGCAAGAGTTATTGCAGCATGTACAACCCCCCTTAGAAGAATTATGTCAATTTTCTCTTTTTCAGAATTTCATAAAAAGAGGGAATAAGCCTTTTATTCATTTGTTTTACTTACACCTACTACATAAACCGAAGTTGTTGAATTTGAATAAATAATAAATAAATTAAATTCTTTTAAACAATAAATAACAATATGGAATTGAAATGAGGTAGCGCGTTAGAATCATGCCAATTTTCTCTTTTGCAGAATTTCATGAAAAAAAGAAATTGGCTTTTTATTTATTTGTTATACTTACACGCCCACTAACCATAAACCGGAGTTGTTTGAGCAAATAATATTCATTTAATTTTTATTAACAATAAATAACTCTCATTGTAAAATTAAAATGACCTTTGACAAAGATCGATAAAAAATAGCTACAGTAAGTTGAAACAAATCGATTAGAACCCCAATTATCAATAAAAAATTCATTATTTTGACATCCCCTAAAGTGTACCAGAAACCATAATTGTATTACACTATAAACTATTGCATAATTCACACAAATTTGTTTACTACAGAAAAAGTCTTTTTAGGTTCTCAATTTTTTGTAGTAATTCTTCACACCCACAAATTATTTCATTACTCAGTCAAGTAATTTTTAAATTAGAATAATAGAGTTCCCATTCCACCCATTTCGCTTTGCTCCTTAACAAAAATTTCAAAGTATTGGTAAATAATTGTTACAGCTAGCAAAATACCAGTACCAGAACCAATAGCTCCCATAAAATCTGCTAGTACTGATAAGGCTCCAATACTGAGGCCTCCAAATGCAGCAGCTGTAGGAATATACCGATTCAATTCATGAATCATGGAGTTATCTCTGTGTCCTCGCATAACCATTTGTTGTTCTTTAAGTTGCTTGGCAACATCTTTAGCTGAGCTGCCTGATACTTCAATCCACGTTTTTGAGAAAAAGGCACAAGATCCCAACATGAAAACAATGTAAAGGAAAGCGTGAACTGGATCTTCGAGAATGTGACTCACACTTTCTGGTGGAGATAAATAGTAACATAAACCACCGATGGGGTACGATCTTGCTGGGCCACCACCGCCTACATCTGCCCAAACGCCCAGTAAATTAATCAGAATGTTGCCTTGGAATTTTACTGCCAGCATTTGGGATATTACATACAAGTTGGAAACTAGAGCAGATTGCAAAATAATGGGTATGTTTGAGGTGTAGAAAAGTTTGATTGGATAACTGGAATATTGTCCGCGGTATCTTGCACTTTTGATAGGTAGGTCCACCCTGAAACCTTGGAAGTATATCACTATAGCGAACACTAAAATAGTGGCTAATAAGTTCATCAAGTTAGGCAAGTTCTGGCGGTAGAAAGCTTCACGCAAAGCCCTGATTTTATCTTGTCTGGTGGTGAGCAAGTGGAACAAGGCAATTACAGCTCCTTCAAATTCAGTACCACGTCCAGTGTTGACGGTAGCTGGTGAGAAGGCCTTCCAGATAATCGTTTCGCAGATATTGGTGGCAATGAAAAGAGAAATACCAGATCCTAATCCATAACCTTTTTGTAAAAGTTCATCCAGAAGCAATACTATAAGTCCAGCAACGAATAACTGGATGATGATCAAGAGGCATACTCCTGCTCCAATTTCTGCAGGATCTCCGTACATACCTGTCATTACATAGACAATAGCTTGACCAACAGTGATAACCATGCCAAATACTGAAAAAAAAAAGGTTTGTTAAAAAAAATTGCTTTTAAGAAAATGTTTAATAAATATTGTTGCTAATTTTTTGCCTTGCAAACAAAAGTAGAGAAAAACTTAGACAAAATAAATATTAAAGACCCCATAATTCTTGAGAATTTGGCTTAGTGAAGAACCTTTGGGAAACAGTTGTACAGTTGTACCCAGATTTCTGCCAAAAAGGAACGATGGCCTTAAATGAAAAATGCTTATGACCAAAATTGTTAAGTCAAATTCATTATTAGGCCTATGGTTCTAAATCATTGAGATAGAGAGACACACACGCACAATTTTCAAGTGCTATACACCTTAGTGCATGATAAATATGCAGTTGTGATAACTACAATATAGACATAACTATCTGCAATTCCAATTTCAATAGTCTTTGGATTTCTTTCTATGGAGGATGTGCCAAATCTTGAAATTTTACAACCATTCTTTTTTTAAAATTAATCATGTATTTAGCCAAATGATTAAAATTAATGAGAAAAGCTTTTGCTAATGAAAAATAAACGATCTTTGGTAATGCATGTGGATAATCAGTTTTTCAATTCAAAATTCTTATAAGGCTAGTTTATGCACCTAAATAATTTGAGAATTTGTTTGTGTTAGCTTTATTAGAATGACTTCTATACAATATACAAAATTATTTACTTGAGGCCAGTACTGATTAGAGTTTCATTAAAAATAAGTATGTTTTTAAAACTTTGAAGTAATATATTTAGCTAAGGGTAAGTTAAGAGCAGACACATTTTAAGGGATTTTTAATTCCCTATTGTAAAATACCCATTAAGTGTAGGTGATTTGAAATACCTAAATTGAAAGTTGTATTATTATTTTATGGCCTCATTGGTTATTGAAAATAAACCTCGTTGAATGAAGTATCATGAAAGGTAGGCATTCAATTCAAATATGTAAATTTAATAACTGATAATAAAAAATATGTGACATTATCTCAAATATTATGTAACATTACTGATAAAAATATCGAGATTAATAATTGTTTAAAATTTTAAAAACAAATACCTAAGCATGTTTATTGATTTCAGAAAGAATAATCAGGAAAGTTTCTAATTCGATTACAGAATGTTACTTTGACAATTATTGGCAAACTATTTTAAAATTTAATATGGGAATTATGGAAGAATAATAAAAAACAAATCCAATGTTGGAATTCCGAATTCAGAATATTTAAAAACTGCTGCAAACATGAAATGTGTAGATACATAGATATCATCATATCATTTAAAGGAAAATTAATACATAATAGTAGATAATCCTTACATTTTTGTGCACCATTAAATAATGCCCGGTCCTTGGGAGTGTCGCCTACTTCTATAATCTTTGCACCAGCCAACAACTGCATGATCAATCCAGAAGTTACAATAGGTGAAATACCCAGCTCCATAAGTGTTCCTCTGTTTGATGCCAGAATCACACGAATCCAGTAGAAAGGATCTGCCGAGTCTGAACTCATTATACCAAAGAGTGGTATCTGTGGAAATACAAGAGTCATGAATGCTGTAATTGAGTATGAATCTAATTAATTAGGTTATGTGGCATTATAGGAGTATTTCTTTTGAATTTTAGGTAATATTAATGAATTACTTAGGGGTGTAAACTTTAATAAAAAATTGTATTCAACTGAAAATTTCCAGAGATTGTTTTTATTACTGTTTTTGAAAATGACAGTTGGGTAAGTATCCGAATTATCTGTATGTGCTTGATAAATAAATAGTCTTGTGTTGAATATACTTAATTATTTGCCAATTGATAAAATAACTGCTGTCCTATTGAAAAAAGAACATAAGAAAGCTTTTGTGTTTTTTTTAAATATAATTTCGAAGTATTCTAATTTTAGTACTGTCATGATAAGGCTCAAAACAGTCAATTCAATTGTATTATGAATTATTATCAGAACTATTATACACCTATAGACAAGGCGCTAAATGAATGATAAATACTAGGATAAATATCAGGTTGAAGGTATTCTTTTTTTTTTAGGCATAATTATTAATTAATTGAAATGATGCTGCTGGTTGACATTTATAATGACATAATTACACTACTGAAATATTTTATTAATATCTTTGAAGTCACTAACCTTTTGTTGTAGGTATTCCCCTCCCCAAAAATTATGGCTAACAGTAAAATGCTATAAGATAAGTGTATATGCCTCAATATATAGGTTGATAGAATTTGTATACAGTAGGGTTGAAAAAAAATAAATTGATCAAATCTGAACCCCAATTTTTATTTATACCTAAGTACCAACATACCCATACCTATCGCAGTAAAACATAAACCTTGAAAGTTTGAATTGAAAGAAAATCTTGATTTTTTTTTTCGAAAAATGAGCAGTTTTATTCTCGGTTTTATTATATCAGTGAATTTTGAAATTTCAGTGGTCAGAGCCATGATTACGGATAATGAAAATACCCACTCTATCAAAGAAGCATTTTGAATACCTGCCTAAATTTTACAGAAATTACTGAAGGAAGCCGATTTATTAAAAGTAAAGAAGAAATATGCATTCAGCCCTATTCTTTTATTACATAATAAATAGTATTAAGTACAAAGACTGCTATAGTATTCATTTTTTTGTCCCAAAGGTACATTGAGGATTAGCAACTTTGGACTGTTTTTCAACAATAAACAAAATGTTAGAAGAATGTAATATTGTGATTGAAAAATGTGATGTAGACTTTTTTAGTTCCTTGATAAGTGAGAGCCTTTGAAATGAACTTCTAGTCTTCTGAAATTCATTAATTCTATTGTATGTTGTTTTTCCTTTTTTTGTTCTCAATTGTAATCTGTAGGTTTAGTTTTACTGTAGGTAATAGGTTGTAATATAAGATAGTATTGGCAATAAGCAATCTTTTAATGTAAATACAAATCTCACAGTATAAATGAATAAATGAATAAAATATATCTCAATTCTTAGATGATAAGTATCTCTGATAAAATATAAATTTTTAAGGCACCTCAATTCATTATAGTGACTTCTAAAATGCTGAAATATTGAAAATTCTCTTTTAAACTCTATATATATTGTTGTTTCTTTTGAAATTCAGTTACTATTCAAGTTTAGAAGTAGGGCACATGCAAAGGATGTATTCAGATTCAAAAAAATTACCCTAAGATGCCTGATCAGAGTAGACGATAATCATCACTTACCTGACAACATACTAAAAATATGAAAAGTGTAATTGCCGTCCATAAAACTTTTTCCCTGAATTGAATCTGAAAGAAAATAATAACTGATATAAGATCCACATGTGGTTTTAAATCTCAACAGCTGTCAAAGTTTTTGAATGAAAATGCAAAAAATTTTGTAAGAAACTTGAAATAACATATGTTGGAAGTGCAACTCTACAAGCTGAAAAACTCGAGAGGCTTCAATGAGAAAAAACAAATAACACAGGTGGGACTTACCTTTCGTTCAGGCTTGGCTATTTCAGGTAAAATGCTGCAGAAGGGCTTGATAACCTCCAAGAATTTTACTGAAATGAAAGAAATAAGTAAAAATTAGGGCACAATGTGGGTACCACGTAGGCACGCAAGAAAAAATTTGGAAATTCAATGGGCATAAAGTAGAGGTTATTTCGGCGAAAAATACATTAGAAATAGGCAAATAAATACGAAAAATACTCACTTCCCATTTTGATGGGTTTGTTGGCTAACTACACTTATAAATAAATCACAGTATTATTTTGTTACTGGGTTTTTTGTAGGACAAAAACTGCACGAATGAAAACCGCCTTTCCCGGACCAATTTTGTAGTTGACTTGGACTCCGAAAGAAATTTTGGCCCCTACCACGGCATCCAACTGGTCCTACACGTTACACGTAGACAGATATTTCGGTCACGTGACTGATGATGTTGGAGTCTTTAATGCTGACGAGGATCCAAGGACACGACGGATCAAGTTCAAATAGAATACGTTTTGGCGTATGCTTGGTTGCCGAACTTCTTATTGTTTTTTTTTTCTTCGACATTGTGTTAGACAAAGACGAAAACATAACGGTACTAAAGTAGAGAAGGAATATAGGTTAACCGCTTGAACGGTATTTGCCTGATTCGATTCGATATCAACCAATTCCTGTTCGAGCGGTCAGAACAGAGCTCTGATAGAGTCACAAACTCCAGAGTTATTTGTTCGGAGTAACACCCAAAAATAATGCTTTTTCAAAAGGGTTATAGGAAGTTGTATTCCTTTCAAGAGTTTGAAACACTCGAGCTACTCGCTTCGGTGCTCAGTCGCCCCCCAATTTGCAGGGAACAAGTGCGTGGTGCAACAAACACTTTTCGAAAGGAATAAGCGCGTGAAGCCCCGGAGCTGTTCCGGAGCTCCTCCTAGGTGTGAAAGGAATACAACTATTGCCATATCTGCCAAAAAAATGAAGCCATGAAAGACAGATGCCACAAGGGGGAATGTTGTTTTTTCCCATGAACTATACTTTCCGTGCGTTCGTTATTTTGGTCCGAGTTCTCCGAGCTTGACTTTACCGTTCGTTTATTTAAAAAGTGTACTCGGTGCAGCCTCATTCGCGTTCGTTTATTAAAATTTCTGGCACTTTTAAACAGCGTTCAACTGCTCTGTGCGCTCACTGGTCACGTGATTACGGCTCCGCTCAGCACGCTCTGCTTTTTGAGCAAAATACCGAACGCAAGGTATAACCAAAAACTGGAATGCGAACACATATTGACGAACGTGAAGCCTAGTGCCGCTGCTGCGGAGGGGATACCCGTTTTTGTCGCATTCATTATGTTAAATGGCGAAAATTGCTTCCAACACGTATTCCAATTGATGAAACCTGTGAAGGTAAATATGACAAAACTTTCCAAAACCTCATATGTCAGCGAGCAACAGAAAAAAACAACATTCCCCTTTGTGGCATCTGTCTTTCATGGCTACATTTTTTTGGCAGATATGGCAATGTGTGCGCATTCCAGTTTTTGACTATAGTTCATTGTTTTTTTCTGTTGCTCGCTGACATAAGTGACATATGACGTTTTCGAAAGTTTTGTCATATTTCCCTTCACAGGTTTTATCAATTGGAATACGTGTTGGAAGCAATTTTCGCCATTTAACATAATGAGTGCGACAAAAACAGCAGCCGCACTACGCTTCACATTCGTCCTTATGTGTTCGCATTCCAGTTTTTGGTTATAGTTCATTGGATACACGCATAAAACGTCAAATTTTCGAAGCAATGTCAAAAAAAGAGCGAATTTCGCGCAAGTGAGAATGAGGCATAAGAGGAGCTCCGGAACAGCTCCGGTGCGTTACGCCCTTATCGAAAACTATTTGTTGCACCTGGTGCTCAAGCCCGAACTCAAACCATAGCCGCTTTCCAGTATGCGAGTGTGACGCCCGGAGCTACTCGGGGCGTTGGGCTCCCGAGCTGTACGTATGCGTCAGCCTGTCAGCTGTCACATCCGTGGGTGGCTATTTATTCATTTATTTCTTGTTATATCTCAAGATTGAACATTTTAAAAAATATATAGTTTGGATTCTTTTTCATTTTTGATAAATAAAAAAACAAACTGCACAAGCAAACAGATATTTATTTTTAAAATTTGACATATTTGACAATAAGACAGGCGTCTCACGCCATGATACTGGAACGGTACAAATCTAGTGCGTTGCGCCCCTGAGGTGCTCTAGAGCGCGCCAATGTTCATACTGGAAAGCGGCTCATAATGGACGAAAGCCAGCTCATCTGTTCCTTTCAGATGAAATAGGGGCGACTAAAACACCGGAGCGAGTATCTCTAGTGTTTTCAATTCTTGAAAGGCATACAACTATTATGTGCTCATTTTCTATATAAGTATTATTATTATAGATTATAGATTATATCGTGATAAATAAATCGGATTTCCCTATTAATAAAAGCGATGTTATGTGGTCAGTGTCAGAATTTTTAAAAACGAGTCACATTGGCGTTCGTCTACTCAGAAATTAAATAATAATAAATCAATTTTCATTTTGAGCCTGGGACATGCATCGTTTTTTATACAAGAGATTATAGGTTTATTCTCATAGAAATCACAAACCAGTCAGAGCGAATTTCATTGGTTGAAAATAAATAGGCAGAAAATAAAACTAATTTTTGACCGTGGATATTACACACCTTATCGGTCTCGATTTTTGAAATGTTCATAATGGTGTAGCACCGCAAGGATAATATACACTACGACTACAAGATAGCCGATCCTCATAAGACCTGTGTAAAACAAACCTGAAGCCTCCACCTCCCAAAGCACCAACTATGAGGTAGAGAGCATGTCGTTTCTCGCCTTGACGTAGGCTGTTTCCACCACAGGTTATGACTCCGCGCCCTTTTGCTTTATGCATACTTGGTTTTACTAAAATATTTAACATTCTAAAAAAATCGTGCAGCGCCGTACACGTGGTAGAAGGGAAACTTCTCAAAAACTATCCCCCCCTCATACAACTTTAAAGACTTATGACCGTTTCCACCAACTATTTTAGGGGAGCCTTGACGATAAGTATTCCCTAAACTGACATTTCTCCATGTAAAAATGTCATTTTAGGAAATACTTATTGTTAAGGCTCCTCTAAAATAGTTTGTGGAAACGGCCATTGGCGACCTTAGCGTATAAGTCGGGATACAGACGGAGGACCACACAAAAGGGAGACGCGCATGTGTACTGACGTCACAAGAGTATGGGCGCTTGACAATAATAGGGAATCCTCTTTGCGCTTATAAATCTTGATTTGTGGCAATCAATGGCTGTTTTTCTCCAAGGAGAATACACACTCTAAGGAGTGCTTATCGGCCACGTTTTTGGTAATCGCCACCATATTGGTGTGCTACCATTGCCGACGTCATAATTAAGTCGTCAGCTGTTTAAACAGCCTACATCAAGGCGAGAGATAACATGCTACCTACGTAACAACTGGTAATTTCGCGAAGGAGGGAAGAGGTGATTTGTTACACACAGGCCTTATGAGGATTCGCCATCCTGTAGTAGTAGTGTGTATCATCCTTGGTTTTCCTCCGTCTCTAATGTCATTTTTGATAATACATATTTCAATAATTTTATTAATTTTAATATCTTACATTACATAATGATGGTTCCCGGATATAATCAGAAAAATCACATCACACTAATTTATAAATAACGAAAATAATCATAAAACACAATGACAATAGTATAACAAAAGGAAGACGCGAATCTGTAGTGACGACACAAGGATATCGGCGCTTGTCAATAATAGGCAATCCTGTTTGCGCCTATAATCCTTGGTTTGCGTCAATCAATAACTGTCTTTCTCCGTCTCTTTACGTTATATCTTTCTTCTCTCTCGAGTAACGTTATCTGCCCGTGACGCGTTTTTCCAAATATCAGACCGCCGCCTAAAGCTTAATTCTCACTTGAGCGAAATTCGCTCTTTTTTGACATTGCTTCGACAATTTGATGTTTGATACAAGCATAAAACGTCAAATTGTCGAAGCAATGTCAAAGAAAGAACGAATTTTGCGCAAAAAGGGCGAATTTCGCGCAAGTGAGAATGAGGCATAAGAAGTTTCACTTCAGCAAGTATTTTTTAGATCTCGTTTGCATCTTCCTATCCTATTTGCTATTATGTAAATCAAAATTGAATAATATTTTTCATCATAAATTTAAATTCTAAACTACGACCGCTAACGCAAACAGCTGACGACTTAGTTAATGATGCCTGCAATGGTGATACGAGGCCGAATAAGCAATCCTTACTAGTGTGTATTATGCTTGGTATAACCGGTTGTCTCATCAACACTGTCGTCAACTGTATGCGCCAGCGGTTGTATAGTTTAAAATATAAATAAATGAAGGTAAATATGATTTTATTTCAATTAAGATAATTGGCAAAGAGGAAGATGCAAACGGAATCTGAAAAAAAATTGTTTAAGAATGTTAATCAATGTACTAAAATCATGTAAACTTAAAACAAAATACAGCAAAATTATAGGCTGTGGTGTGGAGCAAACACCCTGCATAAGAATGAAGACGAAAACCGACACATTGGCTACGTCATCACTGAAACTTTGGCTTGGAGGGGGGCTTGAGATTTGAACTACACACAGGCCTTATGAGGATAGGCTATCCTGTGTAGTATCATATATCCTTGATTACACACTGCTACAGGATTGCTCATCGGCCTCGATTTTTGGAATCAAGCTCATGGTGTTGCACTGTTGCCGACCGTCGACGTCATCAATGGTGTCGTTTGCGGCAACGGTCATAGTTTGAATATACATACATCTATGATGAATTGAAAAATATTATTCAATTAGGCAAAGAGGAAGATGCAAACATGATCTAAAAAAGGGTTGTTTTAGAATGTTAATTACCGTGCGTTAGTTATTTTGGTCTGAGTTCTCCAAGCTTGACTTTACCGTTCGTTTATTTAAAAAGTGTACTCGGTGTATCCTCATTCGCGTTCGTTTATTAAAATTTTTGGCACTTTTATTTAGCGTTCAACTGCTCTGTTCGCTCGCTGGTCACGTGATTACGGATCCGCTCAGCACGCTCTGCTCTTCGAGCAAAATACCGAACGCAAGGTTAGTGTACTTAAAAGAGATGATGCATAAAGCAAAAGCCAGCGGAATCATAGCCTGTGGTGCAAACACCCTACGTCAAGGCGAGAAGCGACACGCTGCTAGGTCATCACTGGTACATTGGCGTGATGGGGCATTCGAGATCTATCTAATCTATCTAAACCAATGAACTAAACAGGCCTTATTATGAGGATATGCTATTCTTGTAGTGTGTAATATCCTTGGTTGTTGGCGATTTGCACCAATCAGAAACGGTCTGACTGTTTTGTAACATGAATAATCCAAATTTCTATAAATAAACCAGACGATTTCTAAAATAAAACGAGTTCAATTTAAATTATTTAAAAAATTATCCCCGGGCTGTTCTTGCGAGAGGCATGAAACATGGATCGGTAAAAATGCGCAGTCTTAGCTATTTTATATATTGCAATCAATGGGTACATTGGTGGTCCCAGCGGCTAAACTCACCCATTCAGCAGGGACTTTATTCTCGAAGCCAAGGAACAGCGTTTTCATAAGAACGATTGCTCTGTCATTGTCAGTGTTATGCCGGACGACAAAGACAGAACCATCGTTCCAATGAGGACGTTGCTCCCCTGTTTCGAGAATAAAGTTCCTGATGAGTGGCTGAACTAAGCTGGCACCACCTGAATGCACCCATTGATTGCAATTAAAAACCTTTTTCTTCTGGAATTTATGAAAGCACTGGCGTAGCCAGGGGAGGGCAAGGGGGCATTTGCTCCCCCCAAGACCCTTAAATTTTATGAATAATTCTTTAAAATAAAAAAAACAGTCCCAAAAATAGCGTAAAGAAACCTAAAAAAGGGGTGTGGCACCCAAAAATTTCCCGCCTGTCGCGCTTTGCCACCGACAGCGGTCGCCGTGGAGCCGCAAGAAACACTTCCCGCAAATTTGCCCCCCCCCCCAAGACAAAATCATGGCTACGCCACTGTATGAAAGTAATGGTGGGTTGTACAGACGCGAGGATATTTATTACACGCTTATTACTACAGGATTACTCATCGGTCTCGATTTTTGCTGTTTGCGTCAGTGGTCAGCTAAGAATCGTTTATGATGAAAAATAGTATTTAATTTTGAATAACATGGGCAAAGAGGTTGTTTAGAATGCTATGCACTAGAACGCATTAAGCAAATGCCAGCGCACCTGTGGTGCAAAAACGCTACGTCAAGGCGAGAAACAACACTCTGCCTACGTCATCACTGGTACTTTGACGCGGGGGCTTGAGATTTGATCTACATAGGTCCTATGAGAATAGGCTTTTCTGTGTATTGTGTTATATCCTCGGTACAGACGCACAGAAACATTCATTTCATAACATAAGAGAGAATTTTCAACCAATCAACTGCACTTCAGGTGCAACAAACACTTTTGGAAAGGAATAAGCGCGTTATATGGCCAACTTTTATACCGTGCCCTATTTGCAGGAACGAGCAAATTATAGAAAAAATCTGCAATTTCGTCATAATTGAAAAAAGTGTTGGGATGCTACTGATTTAACAGTTTGATATGTCAAAGTTGTCAAAGTGACTGCAAGAACTTACGCGAAATTTGCTCTTTTAACGCGAAATTCGCTCTTTTTTGACATTGCTTCGACAATTTGACGTTTTATGCGTGTATCAAATGTCAAATTGTCGAAGCAATGTCAAAAAAGAGCGAATTTCGCGCAAGTGAGAATGATGACTTGCGCGAAATTCGCTCTTTTTTTGACATTGGTTACATTCAGGCGGTCCCAGCGGCTAAGCTCAGCCACTCAGCAGGGACTTTATTCTCGAAACCAAGAAACAGCGTTTTCATAAGAACGATTGCTCTGTCATTGTCAGTGTTATGCCGGACGACAAAGACAGAACCTTCGTTCCAATGAGAACGCTATTCCCCTGTTTCGAGAATAAAGTTCCTGCTGAGCGGCTCAACTAAGCCGCTGGCTGGGGCCGCCTTTGTACCCATTAGTTCTTTTCACGTGCTCCGGTTTAACTAACCGGGTTACAAAACGGTTAGAGAAATGACATACCGTTTTCTAACCCGGTTACAAAGTGACGTGATGGATACCTACCACTCGAATTTGAGCGGTTTGTTAAACCGGAGCCACGTGAAAAGGGCTTCGACAATTTGACGTTTTATGCGTGTCTCAAACGTCAAATTTTTGAAGCAATATTAAAAAAGAGCTAAATTCGCGCAAGTGAGAATGACGCATTATGCCTAATTCTCACTTGCGCGAAATTCGCTCTTTTTTGACATTGCTTCGACAATTTGACATTTGATACACGCATAAAACGTCAAATTGTTGAAGTAATTTCAAAAAAAGAGCGAATTTTCGCACAAAAAGACCGAATTTTCGCACAAAAAGAGCGAATTTCGCGCAAGTGAGAATTAAGCTTTAGGCTTTCAAGGGGTAGTTAATGCCCTTGAAATAGGTATATCAGCTCTGTGCTCTATTTGGTTGTTTTTTTTTTTTTCAAATTCATCTGCAGAGAGAAAAAAAAAAGCTTGCATCAGAATTGGCTAAAGTTTGGCATAAATTTTAGGTCTGATTCTGCAGAAATCACAAACCAGCCAGAGCGAATTTCAGAAAACTAGTTTCAACCAATGACATTCACTCTGACTGGTTTGTGGTTTCTGCAGAAACAGACGTATTATTTTGATCGATTATCTACAATGTCAATTTAGTTTTTCGATATTTTGCCTTCTTCTCAAAATGAAAAATAATACCTATATGTGTATATTATCTGGTTGCCTATTTTTTAAGGTTTGGTATAGTTTTCGTCGCTATGGATTATTTCTAAGAAATAGATTACGCAAAAAAATCAAAAAACTAAATTACTGGCATTGTTAATTGTAGATAATCGATCAAAGAATTTTTTTGCTAAATGTGCGCCAATTCTGAAATCTGATGTGAGGTTTTTTTTTCTTTGCAGACGAATTTTAAAAAAAAATGAACCAATCAGAGCACAGAATTGACAAATTTCAAGGTCATTAACTCATTGAGTCAAGATAGTACTTAGGTACCTATATACAGTTTCTTGTGAGGTTTTTTTTTCTCTTTGCAGACGAATTTAAAAAAAAAAATCAACTAATCAGAGCACAGAACTGACAGATTTCAAGGTCATTAACTCATTGAGTCAAGATAGTACTTAGGTATATACAGTTTCTTTTAATAATTGTATTTTATTTATATACGAGAGACCTACATTTATACAATTTTATGTTAGAGCAGGTAATTTCCTAGGTGGGAGGAGTAGGAACATGAAGTTGGAAATTGAAGCCATTTTTTCCAGATATTTTGAGATCCAAAATAATGGTGGTATAGCTAATTCAATGCATTACCTGTTATTTGGTGTACAAACACCTACTAAAAACTGGCTTCACTTTTAGTTTCATAGCAGAATGACGCTTTACCTGCTCTAACAATTTTATTGAAAAACCTTGGATTTTACGCGTAGGGCCCCAGCAAATGAATTTGAAAAAAAAAGTGAGATCTCACTCCATTGAGAGCGCTGTTACTGAAAATGATTAGCTCAATGACATTTTGGTTAATTTTTAAACAGATATGTAATTTTATTTACATAGAAAAACTTTTAATTTTATTTATAATCTCGGATTTCCCGCATAGGACCCCATCGAGTAAATCACAAAAAAAAGACCTCTCTCGATTGAAAGAGCTGTCACAACATATAATAGATAAAATAATATGAAGAGCCTGGCTTCTAGTCACTTTTGATTCCTAGGACAACCATAAACAATAATGCTTTTGTCTTCAGAAACGGAAATGATCTTGTTGCTGTCTGGATTAAATTTCACACCCCAAACCTGAAACCAAAAAAAAAGGTATATGTATTAAGAATGGCATTTACGACTTACTGGGTAAACACAATGTGGGTAAGGGGTATAATTTTTTTGTACAACTTATATAGCAAAATTAGAAACCTATATAAAATTTGGCAGCTTTAAATTTACGTTACATTAATGAAATTTAGAAAAAAATTATTTTCATTTGAATAAAAATAATCTGAATCAAATCTGATTTAGATAAAACGAAACGGATACGAACCTGGCTATGTGCTTCTGTCAGTATTTATCAATAAGCATAAACATTATGAATTATATGTGAGGAGGACTAATATCAATTACTATGACTATACATGCCATCGTGTCAGTTTTAGCAACCAATAAACACTACATACTGTCAAATATACTAAAACCAGACTGTAAAAATCAAGTAGGTACTGGTACTACATATTTCAAGTTAACTAATCCAAGGAATGTTTAATTTTGTCCCTTACCTGATCAGTATGTGCACTAAAAGTATAAATGCTCTGTCTACTGTTTGCGTCCCAAACTTTGACAGTCTTATCTGAACTTCCTGAGACAAAATATTTACCATCAGGGGAAAATGCCACATCTAATACCCAAGATGCATGTCCGGACATTGTACCTACCAAATGGGTATGTTGCCTAAAAATAGAAATATATATAAATGATTTTTCAGTAAGAGATTCTTTGTTATTGAAAATGCTTTATAGGGCGTGACTTACACATCATATAATTTCATGTGTCCATCATCAGAGGCAGTCAACAAAAACTGGCTGTCAGGAGAAAAACATAGAGATCTAATTGGCATAGCATGACCTTCCAACGTATGCCATAATTTATTTGATGCCACATCAAAGATGTTTATAAATCCATCAATAGCACCACTAGCTATGTATTTGCCATCGGGACTCTACAAATAAAACTTACAATGGTGGGAAACTTAAATAAATGTTTTTATAACTGACATAAGCTAAGCTCAAGGTAAATTTTCCTCTGGTATCAAAAGTTTGCTCTACATTAGCTGTTTCAACGTTATATTGTGTAATTTTCCCAGAACGACTGCCAGAAATAACATATTTATCATCTGGACTAAACGCCACTTTCCAAAGATCTACAGGTCCAACTTCAACATTTGCAATTTGTTCTCCTCTTTCAAGATCCCATATTCTCATTGAGGAATCTAGTGAACTAGAGGCACACACTGCGTGTACACAGAATAACAAATAAATAATGCTTAATTTATTTTTGAAAAATTATAAATAATTACATTTTCCATTATTGCTGATAACGACACATAAAACACCCAAAAAATGGCCGTCTAAGTTATTTTTGAGCTCAAGTTTATTATCTTGTAAATCCCAGACTTTTACAATATCATCTAAGGCTCCAGTTATTATATAGTCTGATGGTGCATCGTCAGATAAAATGGAGTCGCTAAAAAAGAAAATTTTACAAATAAATGTTTCGGTTTATTAGGAAAGTAGAAGAATATCTTTATTTTCCTCAAATGTGCGGAAAGACACTTTCCGCATAAATAAGCAGCAATGTTTTCTCTGCAATTAATTCAAACCATTTTATTTTTTATTTTACCAATAATTGTAAAGGTCTAATAGTTGAAAAATTACTTATTATTGTTGAAAGTACAATTTGTTGTATATTGCAAATTATTGGCAGATCTATTTCACTCGGAAACATCTTTCGAAATATTACTTTTAAAAAAAAACTCAAAGATGTAGGTAAAAACAAGTTGAAGTTTTGACATCTTGACAATGTAATTCATGTTGTATGGAATCAGATGATCTAAAGAACTCCTCTGAGCTAAGATTGATGCTGATTGCCCTCAATAGCGAAATATGAAGGAGAAAAGGGGAGGACTATATCCAGAAGTGACACGTTCAGGGCTGATTCGATAGAGAGATACTTGAAATTACCATTTTATGAATTTTAAATGTCTGTTGTTTTCCTAAATCAACTTAAAAGACAATTCCTACAAAATAGTGTTTACTGGTTTTGTTCCTTATTTTTGCTTTGGCAACCTAAATTATGTTATCAAAGTGTCAAAAATGTAACTTGTGTAATAAAGTGTAGACATCTTTGAAGTTATTTAAAGAGTCCAGAAAATGTCTTTCCTTCAAGAATTTCAAGCACTTGTTGGAAAAATAATTATTTTTGTTACACATACTTAGATTTGTCATCATCCTCTCCCTCTATATCCTCGTCATCCTTTTTCTTTTTCTCAGGATTGTGTCGGCCCCATGCACAGGTCCAGATAGCTTCGCTGTGGGCATTTTCATGTTTGCGTAGTACTGAATACTAAAAATTATTCATAATCTTAATATTTTGGTATTAGCGAATATTTTTTCAGATGGCATAGCTCAAGGATGTTCTCTCTTATTACTGGGAAAGTTGTGCAATAGAATAGTCCCACTTTAAACTACAAAAGGAATTAAGACATAAGAATAGTTTCTGCAAATGTAAAAAAAAACCTACATTCAAATGTATTAAACTTTGTAAATATTCCTTGATTGAACTAGTTGCCTTGTTTTGGTGTCTCTCAAACAACTAATTCTTGAACCATTACAAAGGTATATCTTGAACACCTTAGCATGAAAGCGATTTTCTTAAACCATGATTGTTCATTAAGCAATAAGCTGTTTTCTTCAACAAATGGTGAATCTTGCTGATGAACAACTTTTTCAAGCACCTTTAAATTAGGTGATAACATGCGAATGGGGGCGAAGGTTGCAAAGATCTGATTAATTGTCTTTTTTCTTTAAGTTAGGGGTATTATCTTTGAGTTATTCCATGCACCTGGACTGTGCACGGTAATTAGGGATGAGATTATAATGTTCAGAACGGGGTTCAGAAGGGCTGAACTACAAAACGGTAAAGCCTTGGGTAAAGCCAACTTCAACTAACTAATAATCAAATCATTTATTTAACATGTCAAATTACACAAAGTGTTTACATGCGTCAAATTATCCTCAATAATAATAAGAATATGCTCCCTACAACCACAAACCGGTATTGGGGATTCAAAAATTTAAAACTTAAAAACCAAAACAGACAGCTCCACTACAATGGTTACCCACATTACAATTTTATCACACAGGATGTACACATACACATAAAAATATGTAAATTGAACAAAAACATGGTAAAAATACAAATAAATTTAAAAATTGAATAAAATAATAAACTATTGTTATAAGTTTCCGTTTCACATCTTTGGTTTCACATTCAAAATAATGTGATTTAGATAATTATTTTCCGTTTACTCGTCTAAATTATCTCTTGAATCTACTATACAATACTGGACCTGTTATAGTAGTTAGTTTACCTCTAAATAAATGAAACAAAATTTGTCCAAAAATTCTTTTTTAAAAAATAGGGGTTTTTTAATTTTTGGTAAATGGATCCCCACCTTTCGGAGTTACAGCCTTCTATAATGCGCCCTAAGAATAACTAGTATGTATTTTTTTTCTTTCTCAGAACAGTCAGAACCCTGCTATACGAGAATCACTTTGTTTGGTACATAGGGGTTTAATGACATGAAAAATTTGATGCTGCTACGCTTTTGAGCAGAGGATCCCCTTAAGACACTTATGGGTCCCTTTGTCTTTAGAGCCTCAAAACTTTGGTTGCCTATTTGAAATTTTCAAAAAATAAATTCAGATAGAAGGCACATTCAATTTAGAAATCTTTTTGTCTCTTGAAATTTTTTCGTTTCACACATTTTTCTCGAGAAAAATGGCAAAATGTCATCAGGATTATTGTCCAAGTCCTTAACTAGTTTTTAAAAAAATAAAAAGATTCAACTTACCATAATGGTAGGATTTATATCTTCTTATCAAGAACTATAAAGACAAAGCTAAAAACTTAAAAAGTGCAAGCAAAGGAAAACAATCCACTTTTTAAAGTAGTTGTTGTTAACTGATGTTCAAATAACCGGAATACTAGGTTAGGTTGGTTCTCTTCTTCTTCTACTACTCTCTTTTTTGGCTTTTGCTCCTTATAAGGCAAGTTTGCCAGCTCGCCATTCACACCGACTGCGTCCGGGGCTGATTGGGAGGGTTGGAGCGACCCTTCCACGTCACCAATCCACCTTCTTCCAGTTTGCAGCCTTCATGTGTCTGGAGTGTACGGTGAGGACCACGACCAGTCGGGCTCTAAGCCCTAACGTGGCCCCCTATTTTACAAGTTTATTTTATATTTTACTTTTTGTAAAATTAGGCAACTTCAAATGCACATCCAGAATTTGAATAAATCAATCGCTCAAACCGGTTATAACCTGTTTCTGTCAAAACAAACAGCGTTTTCTCGAGTCTCAAGACTCTCAAGCTTTGTTTTGGTTCGAAATTTGGAACAGTTCTCTGGGATTGCGCAGAACTGCTCGCGCGCAAAGAATAATCGAGGACTGTTCTAATAGGCCTGTTTCTGCAGAAATCACAAACCAATCAGAGCAAATTTCATTTGTTGAAAACAGTCAGAAAACTAGTTTCAACCAATGACTGATTTGTGATTTCTGCAGAAACAGACCTAATATCAATTCTGAACTGATTTGGAACCAAAAAAACCAAAACGAGTCGCAAATCACAAAATGGATGGCGATGAATCTTGGTTTTTACCGGCGGAGGTGAGCCAAACTTTGGTCTCTACATGCCTCTAGTGCACCACCCGCTGAAGCTCTTGGAGCTCCTTTGAATAACCGACCACACTGTGGTTGGTTCCCAATTTTTTCCTTCTTTTCTCCCTCTCCCATCCATTGCAGTCTGGACACAAGCAAGCCCAAGCCAAGGATGATATACAGTGGCGACGCCAGGGGGGCCGGGGCCCCCCCTGAAATTTAGCTGTCCCCCTCTGAAAACTTGCCCTCATGTCGACAACAATGCAATGCAACATGAGTAACCTCTGCTCTCTGTCAAAGTAATTTGATATTTGGTGGGCACCAGGCAACCGCGACTATGCTTTCGCTTTTCTGGGATCCCCCCAAACATATTTGTGTCGGCAGCTACAGGGTTTTCCTGTGTATTTTTGGCACCTCACCTGAAGGCCGGTTTCTCAATAGCTGTATTCCTTTCAAGAGTTTCAAGCACTTGAGCTACTCGCTCCAGTGTTTAGTCGCCCCCGATTTGCAGGGAACAGATGCGTGGTGAAGCAAACACTTTTCGAAAGGAATAAGTGCGTGAAGCCCCGGAGCTGTTCCGGAGCTCCTCCTAGGTGTGAAAGGAATACAACTAATAGCAAGCAAGTCACCCCCGGGTCAGAGCAGTTAAGCATAACTCCAGGGTAAACATTGAAATTGGACACGTTTACCCTGGACTAGCTATTGAGAAACCGACTCTGAACGGTTAATTGAATAGGTATCAAGAAGATTTACCTATACAGTGTGTCCGTTTTTCGAGAGCAATCATTGGAATATAGGAAACGGTAAGAGATACAGGTTCGGTTAAATTGGGACAAAGTTGCGCAATTTCTTGCTTAACAAAACGCTACTTCGAAATTTGGAAAATTCCGAATACTTCCGGAGATACACGGAAATCAAAATTTTGTAAAATCATTTCTATTTTTTCCTGGACTCATTTGTAAAGGTATTCCAAATAAACTTCACTTTATTGGGGCAACTTTCTCCCCTTTACATAATGGTGTAACCAAATTTGAAATCCGACGTTTCGTCTTTTGCCGATCATCATCAACTTTATTTTTTTAAATAGAGGTTTGCATTTTTATGAATTGTATTCGGAGTTTCTTGATCTCACAAAAGCAGTAACACATTTGGCCATTGATTGCGATTTTGTATCTCTTACCGTTTCCTATATTCCAATCGTTGTCCTCGAAAAACGGACACCCTGTATACAAAATCCAAATAAAATCCTTTTTGATACCTATTCAATTAACCTGTTCAGGTGGAGTGCAAAAATATACGGGAAAACTTTGCAATTCCCATTTTTTATTTCAAGGAAGAAAAGCAATAAAGTAAGAGCAAGTGCCCCTCCTAATTTTTTCTGGACGTAAAACCCTGGCGTCGCCACTGATGATATACACCTGCAAGGATTGCTTATCGGCCTCGTTTTTGATAAACGCCGCCATATTGGTGTGTTACCATTTCGACGTCATAACTGATGCTTCATTCACAGTTGCGCGAAATTCACTCTTTTTTGACATTGCTTCGACAATTTGAAGTTTGATTTGATACACGCATAATGCCTCATTCTCACTTGCGTGAAATTCGCTCTTTTTGCGCGAAATTCGCTCTTTTTTTGATATTGCTTCGAAAATTTGACGTTTTATGCGTGTATCAAACGTCAAATTGTCGAAGCAATATCAAAAAAAGAGCGAATTTCGCGCAAGTGAGAATTAGGCTTTAAACGTCAAATTGTCGAAGCATGTCAAAAAAAGAGCGAATTTCGCGCAAGTGAGAATGAGGCATAAAAGCTTTACTCTCACTTGCGCGAAATTCGCTCTTTTTTGACATTGCTTCGACAATTTGACGTTTGATACACGCATAAAACGCCAAATTGTCGAAGCAATGTCGAAAAAAGAGCGAATTTCGCGCAAGTGAGAATGAGACGTCTGCTGTTTAAACAGCCTACGTCAAGACGAGAAATAACATGCTGCCACGTCACAACTGGTAATTTTGCGTGAGGGGGAAGGGGGGGATTTGTCACACAGGCCTTAAAAGGATAGGCCATCCTTTAGTAGTAGTGTGTAACATCCTTGAGCCAAACCGTGCGTTCGGTATTTTGATCTGAGTTCTCCTCATCTCTCTCTCATGAATTAACCGTTGGTTTATTTAAAAAGTGTACTCGGTGCAGGCTCATTCGCGCTCGTTTATTAAAATTTCGGGCACTTTGATACAGCGGTCAACTGCTCTGTTCGCTCGCTGGTCACGTGATTACGGCTCCGCTCAGCACGCTCTGCTCTTAGCGCAAAATTTTTTGGGAAATAGTAGACCTTCTTATCGAAAAAGCGTTTTCATCATGTAGGGGTTAACCAAGGAAAATACACACTCTGGAGAGCTTATCGTTTTTTTTGATAATCACTGCCATATTGGTGCGGGATTTGTTACACACAGGCCTTATGAGGATAGGCCATCCTGTAGTAGTAGTGTGTATCATATCCTGGGCGGTTAACACCGTAGATACAGACAAAAACAGACGGAGCGGTTTGTCAAATCAAAAAATTGTCGACCGTGAGTGACCTCATCCATTGGACCACATAAAAATATTTGGTTCAGGGTTACTTTTACCATCGACTCGTGATCCTAGGGCCGGTTTCTTAATACCAAGTCGCCGCCGGGTTAAGCATAATTCCAGAGTAAACATTACGAATCTGAGTTTTTAACCAATTCGAAACACATATTCGAAACTTCGCACTAACTGTTATCAATCATAATCGGGGCTTCGGTTGCGCCCGTTTTGGAATTTTATTTTTCTGCTGGTTGAAAATCGGTAGCACGGTCATTCTTAGCACGGTCATGAAAATGCTTACAATGATTTTTTTGCTGGTTATCAACCAAGAACACTTAACCAACTCCCCAGTATTTGTGACGTCAGTCGCAGACCTCAAAACTCAAAATTCATTATTCGAGTTTAAAACACCATAGTTCAGAAAACCTAATTCCTTAAAGGTAAAAGTCACATTTTCTACATTTAAAAAAAAAATAACTCACAAGCACAGCCTGAATCGTAAGCAATCCATCGAGATCTGCGGTGATGTCACCACTGATAGCTGCTGATAGTAGCCTCTTTCCAGCTGACGCTTTTGAGCACGCAATCGAGCTTTTGCGCGCGCAAATGCTTCAAGCGCGTGTTCGTGTTCCAGCCGTACTGCGCTTTGAGAGCACACAGAACACTGTGCTACACCGTGCTTGAAGCACACAGCTGGAAAGCGGCTAGTGATGACGTCGAGCTCTGCACAAAATTTCTGAGGGCCGGTTTCATAATAGCGAGTCACCTCCGGGTTGGTTTTAACTCCAAGATAAGCGTTTCCAGTTAGTACTCGTGCGTTCGGTATTTTCATCTGAGTTCTCCGAGCTTGTATTTTCCGTTCGTTTATTCAAAAAGTGTACTTGGTGCAGACTCATTCGCACTCGTTTATTAAAAGGTCTCTTTCTGCAGAAATCACAAACCAGTCAGAGCGAATTTCATTGGTTGAAAACAGTCAGAAAATTAATTTCAACCAATGAAATTCGCTCTGACTGGTTTGTGATTTCTGCAGAAAAAGACCTAAAATTTCGGGCACTCTAATACAGCGTTTAACTGCTCTGTTCGCTCGCTGGTCACGTGATTACGGCTCCGCTCAGCACGCTCTGCTCTTCGAGCAAAATACCGAACGCAAGGTATGTTCACCGTGGAGACCCTGAAGTTATGCTTAACCCAGCCAGGGGTGACTTGCTTTTAGTTGTATTCCTTTCACACCTAGGAGGAGTTCCGGAACAGCTCCGGGGCTTCACGCGCTTATTCCTTTCGAAAATGTTTGTTGCAAGACGCATCTGTTGCCTGCAAATCGGGGGGCGACTAAACACCGGAGCGAGTAGTCCGAGTGTTTCAAACTCTTGAAAGGAATACAATTATTGAGAAACTGGCCCTGAATATCTCAAAAAATCAAAACACAAACAAATGTGATCAAAAACCCTTTTCACGTTGCTCCGGTTTAACAAACCGCAACATACCGCTCAAATTCGAGTGATAGGTATCCATCACGTCACTTTGTAACCAGGTTAGAAAACGGTATGTCATTTCTCTAACCGTTTTGTAACCCGGTTAGTTAAACCGGAGCCACGTGAAAAGAACTATTGGGATCAACTTACTATCAAGGTGTATATACAACCAGTTTTTAAATCGTAACCGTAGCGATACCGGTTCTATCAGCTCTTTTGCCTCTGCAGCCGGTTAGCGCAAAAACCTAAGCCGTTTTCTCGCGTCCACTTTTTTCAAAACAGGTTTGAAACGGGCAATAGTTGTATTCCTTTCACACCTAGGAGGAGCTCCGGAACAGCTCCTGGGCTTCACGCGCTTATTCCTTTCGAAAAGTGTTTGTTGCACCACGCATCTGTTCCCTGCAAATCGGGGGCGACTAAGCACCGTAGCGAGTAGCTCGAGTGTTTCAAACTCTTGAAAGGAATACAACTATTGGTAACACCAGCCGTTTCAAAAAATGTTTCGAACTAAATGTCAAAAAAGTGGCCGCGAGAAAACGGCTCTAGTGACTAATCAGACGTCACATGTCACTAGTTTTCGACATTGACATTTTTGTATTGGTCCAGTCTTGTCATGTAAAAAGAATAAAAAGATAAAAATAAATAGATAATAGATTAGATTATCAAAGCCCAATTTGCAGAAATTGCAGAAATCTTTGTAAAACCTTCTCAAATTATAAATTATTATTTGTTAAGTGTACACATATCGGCCCGTTAGCCTCAAAAATTATGTCCTTCAGTAATATCAAGCCCCACATCATACATAACCTATGCAAAAGGACTTTGAAAAGCTACCATTTGAACTCAAAGACTAAAATTACAACTTGTTCAAGACACAATCATTTAGTAAGTAAAAGAAGTTTCCATATTAACTCATTATTAGCTGGCACGGGAGGCCATGCGGAGACAACTAGCATGACGCAGGGTCTTTCCAAGTTACAAGCCCAGGAACTTGTTTTGAGGCTGAACGATGAGGAGAGGAATCATCTAACTTCGGCTTTACACGAATTTAAATCTAAGTTAGTTAAAGATGAATACGAAGGTAAAGGCATTAGTAGTTATTTGTGCTGGCTGTTGACCAAACTCTTCATTACTTTTAATGGTACTTATGGTTACTTATCGAGTACCTGATGATACATGAATATTGAGTTTGGTTAAGGGCAGGCTTTTTTAGTAGCTAGGGTTTATGTCGAGTGTGTTTGCATAATTCATTAAATGAACCTTTTCCTGGAGCCTGAATGAAGATAAGTTGCTGTCATGCTTCAGAAAAAAAAAGCTTTATTACTGTAGTTATTTGATTGATGTTGTAAATACACCTCACAATATTACATAATGCTAGTAAAAATATAATGAAAAAAAAAAATGTAGGTACTTTATTGTCAAGACAGAATCCTAAAGAAAGTACTGAAAATTGACTAGAGAAACCAGTAAAAAAATTAAATAAACTGAACAATTCTCTATTGCTCTATTTTCAACTATTCTAATATTTAATGAAGTAATTTAGAATCAAGTATTAGAAATCAGTAGACTTGTGAGTCTACTCTGTAACTAACAAATAGCAATCATTAATATTACACCTGTCTTCTTCTTGCTTAAAAAAATCATTAGGAAAGGGAATGCAGATGAGATATAGATCTAAATCGCTAATCCTTAGAGAATTTCAGCCCTGAACCCTTAAGTTTCTTCATTGAATTCCGAAGTCCCTATTTTTGCATCATTTATATCCATTCCTTAATCACATTCTTATTCCTCAGATTTATTTTGGGGGTATTTTTGTTTTATTATGTTAACTTTATATTTTATTACCTTTTCTGTTTGTTATTAATTTTATTTTATTACATATTAGCAACTAATTTAAAGGTCAACTAGCCGCATCCAGATGGAGAAGTAAATTCGGCAGGCCAGCCAAATTACCCAGAGTGGGCGATGTGGATCCTTCAGGAAGTTTTTGTCCTGTACCAGAGGACTGGCTCATGAAAAAATTTGGTAGGCATTCTCTCATCAATATTTTTTTGGGATTCTCTGGTGACAGATTGTATTTTTTATTCGGCCATTAATTAGTTGCTAGAATAATTATTTTTGCTTCAGGTATCACCAGGAGTAATTAAAAATCTTAGATGATTGCTGTTTTTCTCAATAAGTATTTTTGGTTTATTAAGGCATTAGGAATTTAAAAAAATTATGATAATATTCCAGAATTTTTAAAAGAAATTCCCACCTACCTTTATTACATTACATTACATTACATCATTACAAACCTTCCTCATACATTGATGGTATCAATAAAATTAAGCATATGCTTAAACGGGTAGAAAATTAATAAATTCAGCTTATAGTCATACTTGATCGAAAGTTGGAGCATTTATTTGCGTTCGGTCTGGTCCGTTGCACACTTTTGCATCAAGTGATAGACTTTCAGGTAGGGTATAGTTACTCGAGATAGTTACTCAATACTTGATATTCTTATTTCGAGTTTCATTTATACTGACTCTACTCTCACAGGCACTGGTGCACTGTTCAAACCTTGTGCCTAATAATGTGAAGTCTGAAGTCTACTGAGAATGAGAAAATGCCTCATCTATTTTTATTAATTTCAAATAGAGCATATGTTCTGCATTCTGCATGACCCAAGTCTGAGGTCACACCTTAGAGTACACTGAATTTTAATAATACTGCACCATAAACTTGTTTGGCTTCCCTTGAAATACTTATGTGAAGAAACTTGCCAAAAAGTTGAAACTTAGTCTAATCAACTGTACATGGTTTTCTGCCTTAATGAACCAATATTCCCAAACTCGGTGCAAATAGATTTTTCGATTACTAATAATTTTGTAATAATTACATCTCGTGCTTTCTATGTCAAGAAAATAAAGGTAAATATAGGATTTGAGGTAGGGTATAATATTTGATTTATCAAGCTGAACCTTTACACATTTCAGCCTTCTGAGTTGGTAATGATGAAAAACATTTCTCATTCTGATGGCTGAAAATTGCTGTAATTTTGAGTGACCCACTCAGTTATCAAACACACGAATGCACTTATTCACGTTTATCAAATATTATTTTTACATGTACAGACTTGCTGCATGTAGATTTATGTGTTGCACCCTTTATTTATTATTTTGTCTGCTTATAGCGAACTTCGAGGAGCTGGGAAAATATATTGACTTGCATTTTTTTCTAATACATAAATACATATCCAGAATCTCGTTTAAAATACTCATATTTTATATATTTTTTTTCTGTAAAATGAATGTCACTTGGCTTGGTCTATTGAGCATGCAAAGTATTTGATGTTTGAAAAAGTGTCCGCTTGTTTGTTTTGCCTATTTGAAAGCTAATTGAAAGCGGGTTCGTTAATCGCGAAAAAACTTACAAAAATTTAAAGTTGCGTTAATAGTTTGTACGCCAAATTGAAAGTTCTCTATAAGCGGACATTATCCTGTAGTTAGGAATGTTTTGATTAATATATATAATTTCTACTTTAATTACAGCCGAATCTGTTCCAAGGCCCACAACAAAAAATTTAATTGACAGTAAGCAATTTATTAGAATTCAAGTGCCAAATTCAAAAAATACTCATTTTCAGTTGGAATCGCAAACTCAATTCCATTTATAGGATTTGGATTTTTGGACAATTTTTTTATGCTAATCTTTGTAAGTAGGTGATATTTTAAAAAAATCTACATTGAAATGTTTCTTATATTCTAGGGTGATTATATTGATTTATACCTTGGCTCATACTTTTGTCTAACAACAATGGCAGCTGCAGCCTTAGGAAACACGCTCTCAGATATCCTGGGTATAGGTAGTGCTTTCTATGTGGAACGTTTAGCGAACAAAATAGGATTCAGCCCGCCAAAACTGTCCCCTGTTCAGATGGACATGAATTGTTCTAGAAACGCAGCAAATGCTGGCAGGGTATTGGGTGTAACTTTAGGTTGTATCTTGGGCATGTGTCCACTTTTATTTAGAAAAAATAAGGACGATGAAAAGGAGAAGGAGTTGATACAGGTAGAAAGTTAAGTAATTCACTATTGCAACATGGAATAAGGTTCAATTTTCTTTGCTTGAAGGATCACTGTAGCTCTTATACTCAGGGTTGTAATTCTAGGTCTACAGAGTTTTTTCGTTGAAATAAGTTTTGCTTGTGAGAGTGTTCATAAAAATATGACTAATTTTGCCATAATTTGTTATAGTTATATTATTTATTATGATAGGTTCCATTCACTGTTTATATTTACTTAAATATATTGTATCTTAAGACTAAATTTTATTTTGTTATTATTGTATAAATTGTTCTGTTTCAATATGTATTTTATGTTTAGTTTAATGTTTACAAATGATATATCATAGGTACCTACTTCATATCAACTCAAAGCATAGTTTTGCTTTTGCTCAAAGCATATTTCCTATTTTGTTGGTGCTACCATTTTTGAATCAACTGTATGACAATCATCAGCGGTCGATGTTGTAGCTTTCGCTTTTAGTGTAGAACTGTAAGTTAAGTCACCACTTTTGATGCCTGTGTAAAACATTTTTAAGTTAGGTTGACAGTAGGTGGGGTAGGATAAATAAAAAGCCAATTAGGTCTACTACAGGTGATTAATGAGACTATTCACATTTCTCTGGCTGGCTGGAGTAAACTCTGTGAGTCTTTTTTAAATTCAATTTTTTCTTAATTAATGTCAAAGTACTTGTTGATCCTCCTTAGACTTCTACAGTTAAACTATACTGTATGAGAGACACAGTCAAAGGCCTCATCCCAGCAAACATAAATTTCTCAATTTAGTTGTTGAAACAGATTGTAAGTCTATATGAAGATTGTTGCAACAATGTTCACAATAATTGAAATTGTATTATCTACCCACAAACCCAGCTTCCAGAATAGCTGATGGGTGCCTCAATGTTTCCCAAAATATAAAAACAAATAATGCAACTTCAATTTGGTTCTAGTGTCTGATCGAAATTGATGAACAAGATATTATACATATAACCAGCAAAAAAAGTTTTCACAAAGATTTCATTGGGCTTTTATTTTCCCTATGTTTAAACTTTGAACCTAACTTATAAATTAGGACACGCTTCGCAATATTCTCAACTGATTTTTAAAATCCTCCAAGTGCATGCCATCCAGTTGTAGAATAAGTAATTTAGAAAAATATTTAGAGCATTTTGTTAGGAGAATAAATTCTAGTCAAAGTAACGAATAAAGAATCTATTTACTGACTGAACCCTATTAAAAAAAAAACACAAGTGGTCCCTTATATTCTGTTATGAATTAGAAAAAGAGTATTCGATGGGACCAAATATGTCAGATAAAACATATATAAAATAAACCTTGTATTTTCTTTCTCAGATGTTTAAAATAATATTACATAAATTAGTTTATATTATGATGTAGTGCTTTAGCTGCGCGAGACAGGGAGAGTTGCTTCTAATTAGGTTGTAGAGGGTCTAGGATAAATATTTAACATTAGTTTGTCCATGTAGTTTATTGCTGCTTTTTCAACAGGGTAAAAAATATGCCGTTTTACTGGCATCAATAAAATAATTCGAATTTTTATCTATGTGGCTGAGCTAGGATTTAGATAATAGTTAAAACAATTGTTTTTCTTCAGATTCTATGCAAATTCATATAAAAAGTTATAAATGTGCAAGTGTTATTGTATTTTATGAATAAATTGTATCAGCGTATTTGTTTGAATTGAAAAGTAAGAATTAATTAGGTATCTGTTTTGAAAATTATAATTGTTTATTATCTCTTGGTGCTATTTTTTTGGATCATTTCTATCAATAAAATAGAGTCGAAAATATTTTCTTCTGTGTTTCAGTATAAAGAATTAAATTCACTTGAATGAAGAGACAATAACGATTGGGTAAAGTCACCATAGCAAATGGATGGGACGACTACCTCAAATTCCCTTATTTTGAGATATTTTTGATCAACCTCAAGTACTTAGTACTATACCGCAATTACAAACATACCTTGAATTCAGGAATTTGTGGATTCTTTTAGTGAAAGGCTTAGTAAGGAAAGTCATCTAACTACTTCTCATCCGCTTTCACTGCTTGATAGGCATAGAACAGCCAATGGCACTAGAATTTCCAGGATTCAGCTATCCAGACCACCAGATGGAGGAAGGGAAAACTTGAAACTTGGTGAATCTAGACCCATACCTCAACTGTGACGATTCAAATTATTCGAGTTGAGATTTAATGTTGTTGATAAAGGTATCCTGCCTGTTAGTAGTTATAAAGTTTTATTAGTATGGTTTTTTGTCTGAGATATTTTGGTTGTGTTTTTGGTATCATGGATGTCTCTTCTAAGTTTCCAATACTTAATGGAGGAAGGGCATTTTGTCATCCAAGTGCTTAAGAAAGGAGGGCCCAGTATTTAACCCTATGTATTCATAGTTTTTGTATCGTGTTTTGGGAAGCAAAAACAATTAAAAACAAACAAAAGTTGTTTTTCATACAAGTTTTTTTATTTCTCAAAAATAGGATTTTCGTATCACTGGTTCCAAAACTGCTTCTGGTTTGATACAAAACAATGCTAACAATTAGCGGCAAACATATTAAAAGAATAAGATACATAAAATAAACTAGTTTTCTAAATACTTTCTGAACAACCTTATTCTATAAAACAAGAAAATAATTTTTAGACATTAGTATTTTCCGGGCTATTATTCTCAGTAAACCCATTAAACAGCCTATCCTTAATCATTTGCGCCATAAGCCCATGGATTACTTCAATGGAAGTTTTGCAACTGTCTTTGGAAGCTTTCATTAATTTATCTTCAGTACGTTTTTCATTGGGATCTGTTGGCCCAACAACAAAACATCCACGACCAATTGCTGTCTCAGATTGCTCAAGTTTTTCAGACAAATCGAATATTTGTCCAGTAGTATAATCAGCATTTGTAAGGAGGCTGGATGTGCTAAGGGTGTTAACCCAGTACTTATTCCATAAGGAGTCCAGCAATCTTCTGTCAAGCGAGGATTTGAAGTAGGATACATCCAGAGCATAGTATTGCTTGCAATGTACACCAAAATCTTCAATTTTATTCAAAGGTATGGTTTGGTATTCAGATGGTTCTTCATTAGGGGGTTTATAACCCTTTGGATAAGTCCTGAAAGCTCCCAAGCAAACTTTTCCAGCTGAAATAGTACGCACTGGATCAATAACAATAGCAACAAAAGGCTCCTGGAAGTTTTGGTTTAGCATTTGAGTGCTAACATCGATACCAGACAACCAACAACCATAGCCTGGATGACTGTGGTACCAGCCTATTGCGTTCTCTTGTCTTCCAACCAATTTAGCAGCATCAATATAAGAGCTCATGTATTCGTAAGCTTGTGCTTGAGCATTTACTCTTGTTTCGGTTCCTTCCACCGGCAAAGCAAATGAATCCATTACAAGCATTGTGTTTCCATCTACCTTACCCAAAATAAGGCCCATAACTTCTAAGGTTCCTCCTGATCTTGCATGCATGACCATTTTTAGAAGCGCCAGGGCCGATATTTTGATGTCTTTGAAGAAGTGAGGGCTGAAACAAAGAATAAAATGAGAGGTTCTTTGTACTGAAAAACCAATTTTGGCCTCACAACACTGGGTGAGACATGAAATGAAGCTCGAGAAGACATTTATATAGCAAGGTCGTAAAGTTGCCAGATATTAAAAAGAACAAGCCCAAATATAAGGCCGCACAGAAATTGTTTAACAGTTTCTTGGTTATGTTGTTTCCACTGTGGAAAGCCTCATTTAAAAAAGTTTTAAATGCTTGGAAAGCTGTAAAACGCTTTTTGTGCGGCCCTAGAGTTTGTGTTTGGGTACATAATCCACCAGAAGGTCTTTGTGTCAGTCATTTCTGGCTTTCAACCTCCTAAGAGAAAAACAGGCCAAAACGTAGGTAATTTTTAGTGAAAATTCTTATGGTGGATTGTTCAAGGTGCTCTATTCAATGGAAAAAAGCGAGGAAAATGTATTAATAAGCAGAATTAAAAAAATAGTGACCTATTAACAGGTTGACTGCCATGCATGAGCATGATAACCTCGATGATAACGTGCTTCTCAGAAAATGCACTGTTATAGCTGTGAGAAGTATCATGATTCTAATGCATCAGTAAAATATAGTCGCTGTGAGAAGAACATTCTGATTATTATTGCTGTTTAAATCTCATAGATGGCTTGAAGGCATAAATAGTTCAAATGGCCTGCGGATTTGAGAATCACTAGGCGCTTTACAATAATTTTTACTAACATGATAACCACAACACAATTTTTATTACTTTTCTGATTATGGCATTAGTCCCCAGTACATCGACCCTAAAATTTTGTAACTCATGTATGTACACGCCAAACTTCCTGAGCGGCTTCATAACACCAAGTCGGACAATATTTTTCATATCTCCACCCTGGGCGATGGGACATTGCCGCGCTAGCTCTTCGTGAAGTTGTCCTTCTGACGTCTCTAAGGAAGATGATACATGTACGTGTAGTTTCAATGCCAATCGACTGTTTTTTATATTACATTAACGATATTACATTTGTCGGACAAAAACCATGTGGCTTTGGGGAAGGTCCGACGCCCTAAACATGTCGCTGTGGCGTCCCTGAGGAAGTTCAAATCAAATCAAATCGCGTACGTGGGGTTTTGATGCCAATCGACTGTTTTCTATGTTACATTATTGATATCACATAGGTCGGACAAAAATCACGTGGCTTTGGGGGGGTCCGACGCTCCCAACATGTCGCTGTGGCGTCCCTAACGAAGTTGATACATGTAGGTCCGACAAAAATAATTATGAATAACAATGTAATTTTAAAGCATGTGTAGTAAGTGTCGGACAAATAAAATGAGTATTAAAGTCAGTCGGACAACAAAAGTCCTTTTGATCAATTTCTGCCGAAATTCAGGATCTTCACTCCTGAGATTGCACAAAAAACATGACTGAATATCCATTCTTTCTCACACGCGTGGTTTTGAATGACCGTTCACTAAATAATTTCCGTAAATACTCGGAGAACTATCAAAAAAACAGATCAGGGAATATGACACAGGGCCCCACAGGTATTTGACAAAGTAGGCAAATAATAGGTAAAACTGACTAATATGCACGTTGCGTTAAGGCAAACTAATTTTAATTTTTTCATTGATTGTCTCAAATTTCTTGTCCGACAAATGTGATATCGTTAATGTAATGTAAAAAACTGTCGATTGGTATCAAAAACACACGTACCTACATGTATGAACTTCCTTAGGGACACCACAGCGACATGCTGAGAGCGTCGGACCCCCCAGAAGCCACGTGATTTTTGTCCGACGTACATAATATCGGTAATGTAATACAAAAAACAGTCGATTGGCATTAAAACTACACGTACATGTATCAACTTCCTTAGGGACGCCACAACGACATGTTGGGGGTGTCGGACCTTCCCCAAAGCCACATGGTTTTTGTCCGACAAATGAGATATCGTTAATGTAATGTAAAAAACAGTCGATTGGCATTGAAACTACACGTACATGTATCAACTTCCTTGGGGACGTCAGAACGACAACTTCACAAAGAGCTAGCGCAGCAATGTCCCATCGCCCAGGATGGAGACATGAAAAATATTGTCCGACTTGGTGTTATGTAGCCGCTCAGGAAGTTGGGCGTGTACATGAGTTAAAAAATTTTAAGGTCGATGTACTGGGGACTACATCGTTTTACAGAAATTTATACAAAATAACTTTAAAATAAAGTAAGGGCAGTAAACAATACTGACAAATTGATGATGTTTCAGCCCCAACATGAGACACTGGTACTATGATTTTCAATTTAAAAAAAATGGAGCAGTTTTTTGAAAATTCTTACCAAATACTGTTACATGAATTTGTTTCAAGTGTTTCAACCAAAAAAATTCTATTGGCTGGCTGGAGATAAGGTAATAATAATTATTCGATAAGGATAAAGCCCTTCCATAGAAATCCTCAAGATGTTTGCTGACTTTAATATTTAATTTGAACATAAACTTTCTGCATACTTAACACGAATTTTGTATTTTATTCAAATGGGGCTATGCTATAGGATATTTCCAATAATAAGGAATAGGACAAAATTGGATACCAGTGAAGTTCACAATTTTTCACTAAACTAAACATGTTATGATAATTTGACCGTGAATCTTATCAAAAATAGATCGGCGGAAAATACACACCGCACAAAAATTATCGCATCACCAATGCTTTTAAATAATTTGGCTACAGTAAATTTATTTTAAAAATTTCTTAAGTATTTCCTGAATGGGCATTCTTTAACTGAAAAATTCGAGTCAAAAAACATGTTGTTTCTTCTTCTGTTAGGTTCTTGTTTACTTTTTTCGGGAAAATGCGGATAGGCATACATTCCACTTTGCAATTATGCTGTTCATTTCTGTGTTTTCTGCTTTGATAGATGCGATAATTTTTGTGCGGTGTATATATTTTCTGCCTACTTGTTAACACATTTTCTATTTTATTGAAACGGGGAAATATAGATATTTCCCCAATATTATACCAGCCATGGGAAGTTTTGGTCAGTTTTGTAGCTTTGGTTAGTTTGGGGAAAATATATTTCTGCCACTATATTTATGTTTAAATTTAGTGTCCAATTATGGGAATAGAATCCAATTTTGTCCCATTGCTGATTATTGGATATACTTAGTCCTATTTTAATAAAATACCAAATTTTTTGCTTACACTCACTGTTCAATTACTATAAGACATGTTGGATAAAAGTCATGACTTATTAAAAAAATCAAAAGTCAGATTTTTTTGATTTAAATAATTTCGAATTGATAGTGATCAAATATTTTGGGACATGAAGAAATAAAACCGATCAACAACAAAGAGGTTTATTCATTATATTGCTTGATTAAAAATGTTAACTTTGCATCCTTGTCAGCCCCCATTCGATTTCTCCCATATTTGTGTATCATACCAAAGATTGAGAAAATGCATTTGCTGTCATGAGCTGCATAATTTCTTCTTTTACAAACAAATTAACTAGTGCATTGACATTAAAATGGCATGTCCACCACTGAACGTCATTAATTCCATCGATTGCAGCTTTCCTCATCAATGGCCCCACAAATGGGTGATGTCAATCTCATACAAGCTGGAGAAAACCCAGTATTTTTTTTTTCTTCTATTCTACTATATTTTCATCAGTTTCATTTTCACCTTCAGCTTCAGTTATGGTGCTGGTAGACTATTTTGGTTCGTTATACAAAATATCCTGCTGTTGCTTTTTATTGTATTTGTAAACTTCATCTATAGTCCTGACGAGCTCAACACTATTTGCCATTTCCCAGGTCTTTTGGGCGATTTGGTTTTGATTATCGGAAGTAGAGGGGCATGTGATTCAAATCACAATTTATGTGAGTGATTTAAATCAGCTTGATTTAGATCTCGATTTAGATCAAATCCACCCTGCCATAAGGTATTTAGTTTAGCAAAAAATTGAGCCAAAAATTAGGTATTACTATGATGGGGCTATATCCAATTTTATTTCATTCCTAATTATTCGAGACACCTCTTAAGCTAGAAGAGCAAAGTCAGCAGAATCGAAAATCAATACATGGAACATTAAAGGCTAATTAAATGCCCTAATGAGAAATTTTAGGCTCCTTGAATTTTTGCGAAAATGACTGTTCTGAAAATGCAATGCCACTTGCACAGACATTAAAGGCTCTCGAAATACACCAATTCCAAATTTCAGGCTCAATTACTTTTTTTCGTGAAAATGCAAAAAGCGCGATGCATGAGTGATGTCGACCAAGCATGGCAGAAAAACCTCTCAGACGGTGAAAATCAGTGCTCCGATAGTGCAGTCGTAGTGAATACATTAGAGGCTAATTAAATGCTGTTATTACAAATTTTAGGCTCCGCCAATTTCATGGCTAATCTGCTGGCTTTAACCTAAGCCAGCAGAACATGAGCAAACAAGTAGTCAAAACAACGAAAATCGCATTCAACTTGCACATATATCAAAGGCTCATTGAAGGCTCTGAAAATGCACCAATCGCAAATCTCAGGCTCAATCACTTTTTTGATTTAGTGAGTTTGGGAAATTCTGATTAAAATTGCAAAGTACCCAAACTAACCAGGTTATTATTGGTGAGTTTAGAAATGTCTGAAATTCGCGATGAGTGTATTTCCCAAGCCTTTAATGAGCCTTGAATGTCTGTGCAAGTGGAATTGCAATTTCTGTCATTTTAGCTACTTTTTTGCTCAGGTTCTGCTGGCTCAGGTTAAAGCTAGCAGCATAGCCATTTTCTCGGAAATTAGCAGAGCCTAAAATTTCTCATTACAGCATTTAATTAGCCTTTGATGTATTCACAACGACTGCACTATTGGAACACTGATTTTCACTATCTGACAGGTATTTCCGCCATGCTCTGCCGACATATCTCACATATTGCCACTTTTTGCATTTTCACAAAAAAGTAATTGAGCCTGAAATTCGCGATTGGTGTATTTCTAGAGCCTTTAATGGGCCTTTAATTTCGGTGCATGTGGAATTGAAATTTTCTTTGTTTTAGCCACTTTTTCGTCCATGTTCTGCTGGCTTAGGTTAAAGCTCGCAGAATAGCAATTTTCGCAAAAATTGGCGGAGCCTAAAATTACTCATTACAGCATTTAATTAGCCTTTAATGTATTCACTACGAATGCACTATCGGAACGCTTATTTTCACCATCTGAGAGATTTTTCTACCATGCTTGGCCGACATCACTCACACATCGCGCTTTTTGCATTTTATCAAAAAAAGTAATTGAGCCTGAAATTCATGATTGGTGTATTTTCAGAGCCTTCAATGAGCCTTTATTGTCTGTGCGAGTGGAATTGCAATTTTTGTTATTTTAGCCACTTTTTTGCTCATGTTCTGCTAGCTTAAGTTAAAGCTAGCAGAACAGTTATTTTCGCGAAAAATTAAGGAGCGTCAAATTTCTCATCGGGGCATTTAATTAGCCTTTAATGTTCCATGTATTGATTTTCGATTCTGCTGACTTTGCTCTTCCAGCTTAAGAGACGTTTATTCGAGTGATTATCAGATATTGCCAAAATTTGTGGAACATTAGCTGTCCAATTACCATTACATGTTCAGTTTTGCAATAAAGTGAGAATTTCTGTGATGGGATGGGGCTGTATCGAACTGAACTGTTATATTTTGTCCATAAGACTATGGCAGTCTACCTGTTATAAGATTTACTAGTAGGTGAATATAGTAATATGTTTAGTTACTTACTCTTTGTCCCAAGGCTTAGCAGCCAAAATATCCTGCTGTTGCTTTTTATTGTATTTGTAAACTTCATCTATAGTACTGACGAGCTCAACACTATTTGCCATTTCCCAGGTCTTTTGGGCGATTTGGTTTTGATTATCGGAAGTAGAGGGGCCTGGATCCGACATTCTATCTTCACCTTATTAAACTGCAAAAAGGAATAAATGTTTCTTCACGTTAGGAATGAACAAAATAAATTAAAGGAAATACCCACCTGAGCTGCTAAAACTTTTTAGCAAATGCAAACGGGCCTAAGGAAACGGCAACGGCAATTAATTTTAATTAAACAAAACAGAAAAATAGGTTATGTCCGTTTAGTCAGTTTATTCTTTTTCAAATGAGATGAGGCGCTAAGACCACATCAAAAAGACTACACTTTTCGGTCCTCGCCAGCGTTGCCGCTCCTTTCGTCCTGGAGCAGAGAATGCACTGAATGCAGAAAGTAGTTCATAAGACAAATGACGGGTGTTATCGGTGTTTTCACTGTTTTCTCGCGATTGATCAGGGCCCGGATTCCGAATCCACGATTCAATAATATCGCCTGTCTATTTTATATGAACGATACTATCGAATCGTGGGTTCGGAATCCGGTCCCTGGTTGAACTGGTTCGGTACTTTATTATTAATCCGTGAAAATAATGGTCAAGGATAATACACGCTACTACCACAGGATAGCCTATACTCATAAGGCCTGTGGTGAACAACTCTGAAGCCCCCCACCACGCCAAATCACCAGTTCTGACGTAGACAGCATGTCGTTTCTCGCCTTCAAGGAAGATACACACCTACAGGATTGCTTATCGGCCTCGTTTTTGTTAATCGCCGCCATATTGTTGTGTCACCATTTACGACGTCATAACTAAGTCGTGAACTGTTTAAAAGCCTACGTCAAGGCGAGAAATAAGAAATAACATGCTGCCTACGTCACAACTGATGATTTGGCATGGGGGGATTTGTTCCACACAGCCCGGGGATTCTAAAATTACGATTCGACACACGACTCGATAACGAGACGATTTTTCCGACGATTCTAGGTTGGAATCTCATTGGAATCATACTTTTCGAGCGACAGGGCACAGGGCCGGTCTCGTTGTCGAGTCGTGTGTCGAATCGTGATTTTAGAATCTCCCCCCAGGCCATGAGGATAGGCCATCATGTAGTGGTAGTGTGTATCATCCTTGTCTCGCCTTGAAGTAGGCTGTTTGCACTACAGCTTATGATTCCGCGGGCTTTTGCTTTATGCATACTTGTGCCTGTATGCATAACGTGACCATACGTCCCGTTTTCAACGGGACCGTCCCTTATGTCGGCTCTCCGTCCCAGTGTCCCCGAGAAACACTGCAGGACTAAGACAGAACCTTCATTCTGATGAGAACGCTGTTCCCCGGTTTCGAGAATAAACACCCAGTCAGGACTAGAGTGTTCGGTCAATGGCTCACCTGGTTCTTGAACGCACAGTAGAAAGGGTCTTTTCTTTAATGAACAAACTGTGGACGACCAGTGTTGGTGTTGCCACGCCAGGGAGCAAAAATTTTTTGCACCAAAATTAAACACAAATAAAAATGTACCAGCTCATAAATGCGCATGCGTTTCCTAAAAATGTTTCGATAATTTTTGATCCTGGTAGGATAAAAGCACGTTTTGGTTTGACTTGATGATAAGTGAAAACCCAAACTGAACACAAACTACATCAACCAAGAATCACAAAACGAGTGCTACATTGTGTGTTATGAATCAGAAATAATTGTTATATTGAATTTACATTCAGAAATTAAAAACAATATTAATTGCAACATTGACATCGGACTTAGTAGACGGTAGACCAAGACTTTATTTGGGAATTTGGAAGAAATGAAAAAGTGCAAAACTGTACCAATTATGCCAGCGTCGTACCAGCGTACTTTTTCAAAGCGAATGTTACCAAATCTGGTACAATTGTACCACCTCTGGCAACACTGTGGACGACAGTTCAGCGCCGTACACGTGACAATTGTATCGGCGCTTGTCATAATAGGCAATTCTCTTTCCGCTTTAGGCTTAGGGTGGATTTTCATGCATCCGTTTGTCCGACGAAATATGTCCGAAAAATCTTCTATTTTGACATATTTTTATACGATTATGTCAGAATAGAATGTTTTTCGGACATATTTCGTCGGACAAACGGATGCATGAAAATCCACCCTTACTTTTCATGAATCCGTTTCTCCGTCATAGTCCGTTGATCCGGGAGTATTCCTATTGGTTCAATATTTTGGCGCCAATATATTGGACCAATAGGAATACTTCCGGATCAACGGATTGACGGAAAAACGGATGCATGAAAAGTAAGTCTAAAGCCTAGTACTCATAACTGCGAAATTCGCATTTTTTTGACATTGCGTTGACAATTTGACGTTTTATCCGTGTATCAAACGTCAAATTGTCGAAGCAATGTCAAAAAAATGCGAATTTCGCAGTTATGAGTACTAGGCTTTAGGGAGGATTTTCATGCATCCGTTTTTCCGTCGAAATATGCCCGTTTAAGATTCTATTCTGACATAATCGTATATAAATATGTCAGAATAGAATGTTAAACGGACATATTTCGACGGAAAAACGGATGCATGAAAATCCTCCCTTAAGCCTAGTACTCATAACTGCGAAATTCGCATTTTTTTGACATTGCTTCGACAATTTGACGTTTGATACACGCATTAAACGTCAAATTGTCAACGCAATGTCAAAAAAATGCGAATTTCGCAGTTATGAGTACTAGGCTTTAGGGTGGATTTTCATGCATCCGTTTGTCCGACGAAAGATGTCCGTTAAACATTCTATTCTGACATAATCGTATAAAAATATGTCAAAATAGAAGATTTAACGGACATATTTCGTCGGGCAAACGGATGCATGAAAATCCACCCTAAGGGAGGATTTTCATGCATCCGTTTTTCCGTCGAAATATGTCCGAAAAGTCTTCTATTTTGACATATTTATATACGATTATGTCAGAATAGAATGTTTTTCGGACATATTTCGTCGGAAAAACGGATGCATGAAAATCCACCCTTAATCCTTGGTTTGTGTCAATATCGGCGAATGTCAATAATAGGCAATCCTCTCTGCGCTTATATTCCTTGGTTTGTGTCAATCAATAGCTGTCTTCTCCGTCTCTTTACGTTATATATTTTTTCTCTCTCGAGTAACAAAATTTCCCCGTGATGCCTTTTTCAAATCATCCTCCATTGTCGTCCAAATATCAGAACGCCGCCTAAGGTATGTTATGCCTAATAGATATGAGCATGGGGTTGCTGATTAAAAAAAGGAGATTAGGTAATATTTATATTATTGTTGGCAACCTTGGCGTTGACCCAAACTAACCCATCCACCTAGTGGGATCTAGTATATCTAGTCCTCGTAAGTTCCCATTTTATTTAAAAAAAAAGAAAATCAGTTTAGTTTAGTGCATAGCTTCCCTCGAGCGCACTTTGTTTTTTTAAATAAAACGCTAATTTACGAGGATTGACTAGCACTAAGCGGAAGAGCTATTTTGGGTAAGTTTGCATTTTATTGAATATTTTGATTCAAATTTAATTTGCTTGATAGCACTCATTCATCATTTGCTTGTAATGATGCTATTATTATCCAATGCCTGAATCTAATCTCGGCATTTGTCAAATGAAGATTATTGCAAGTATAGGCAGAAACAAATCCGTACAAAACGCCCATTGCTAATGCGTTGTATGTTCTGCCTAAATGGCGCGGGCATAAAGTACACCGTTAGTAATGTCCAATCAGCGCTCGACTTCAAAAGACTCATTGCTTAGTTAGTGTGAAGTTATCCATAAAATCTCAGCCAAGGCATAAATGTTAGCCACTACTACTAGAATCAACAAAAATTAATTTTGCGTAATGCCCCGCCCTCTGAGTGTCTCAAAAAATGAAAAAACTCTAAAAAAAACGTGATTTTTATCATTTCTAGATTATATAGTCTCTACACCAGTGGTTCCCAAACTTTTTTCTATGGCGCCCCCTTTCTGAAACCAAGAAGTGGTCGCCCCCTTTTTTTCTCCAGTATACAAAAACATTTTTTTCACTAGTAACTTGTCTGAACTGGACTTTGGGAGAGAAGGAATGGGCATGACAGTGGGCAGCGGTACTAATTTTTTAAAAGACTTACGCCCCCCTCAATGTTACTTCGCGCCCCCCAGTTTGGGAACCACTGCTCTACACGGTTGTGTGTGCCACTTCAAAAATAGCCGTAAAGGTACGATTTTTAGGACAGTGCGCGTCGCAAAACTCACATTCTGTTGAATGCCGCGCACGTCTGCTAAAATCAGCCGAGTGTAAATTATATAGACCGGTTTGTTGGCTTTGCGTAGGTGAGCGCGACGTACAGCGCCAGCAGTGTGTCAACGTCGTGCTGAACAGTTCTGCCGACGCATACGTTTTGGCTGAGTTTGGCTTTACACTCTGTAAACTCTGAGTGCGCTCTAAGCGATAAGATCCTGTTCGTTTTAGCTCTCAGAGTGTTCTCTTTTTCGTTAGGCTCATGACCGCGTATGTCGTCACGATATCCATGCTCATACCGTTCCGCTCCGTGGAGTGCAAAGCTGAACTCAGCCTTTGAGTTATGCGTCGCGCACTGTCCTAACAAACCGTATTTTAAATGTTTGCTACTACTCCTAGCAATCAACAAAAATTAATTTTGTATGTTGACAAAAATCACGACTTTTTTAGGGTTTTTAATTTTTTGAGGCTCTCAGAATGAAGGGCATTACACAAGGTTAATTTTGGATGATTGCTAGTAGTAGTAGTAGTAGCTAACATTTATAACTTTTTCTAATATGGCACAAACAGCCCCCAGAATTTATGAGAATCCGGCCGGTAATGTTAAAAGTAGGCCTTACCGCGATTCGTTCGTTTCATCGCCAAGTTTTTATGGATAACTTCACACTAACCATTGCTTATCCGTTGTACGTTTTGCCAAAGTTTACTTTTGCCTAAATGATCGGGCATAAGGTACACCGTATTAGCAATAGCCAAGCGCTCGACTTTAAAAGCCCATTGCGAAGCTATACGTTCGGTTTTGTCATGCCCAATTTATCAGTAAATTCGTCCCGAGTTTCGTGTTCCATGGTTTCTCGGCAGTTTTGGTCAACTAGGTCAAGAACCGAGGAATGAACTAGTAACAAGAAAGTTTGGAATGGCCCCTTGCCTATCTACTCAATACGTATATTTATGGCCAAGATTAGAGTAAGAGAACAGCAGAGATCCGTGAGAATTTCTGCCCTGACTTAGGGCGGGTATTATATAAACATGTTTCAATGTTAACTTTGTAACAGTCAAGTTAACTTTAGCTTTTAAAATGTCAGTTTTATAAAA